GCTCCAGTAGGGGTATTTGTGAACCATGCCATGGACGCGTGGGAGCTGGCCTTTGTCAACATGCTGCTACGTGCTGTGCTGGTTTCAGTGAATACGGTCTTGTTTGCTGTTGATGATGTCCATTGAGAACGATAGCTGGACCGAGTCTCTTCATCAGCTCGTGCAAAAGTTGGGTCGCGAAGCTGGGAGAGGCTTTGTGCCCCGAGCAGCTGAGGCCTGGCATTGGGGTTGTTGCTGCCAGTGCTGTTTGTACGACTGTAGGCAACAGGAGGACGAGGAAGACCAGGGGAAGGCGCATCGGTATTTAGTGGCTGTGTGGGCGGGACGACCTGGGCATTGGGGCGCGTGTTGTCGGTGGATGTGCGGTCTGTGGCGGAAGAGTATGTGGAAGACGATTTGTGAGAAGAGACGGACATGCCGCGCGCACGTTCGCGTGGCCAAGTAGACGACTGCGCCGAGACTGCGGCAGCCGGCGCCGGACTTTCTAGCCGGACAGGATTGGGGGTATGTGAGCTTGTAGATATGGCGGGGAGAGCATCACGCGAGCCTTGTTTGACGCTGGGCTTCCGCGGCCGAGAAAAGTTCCCGACAATCATGGTGTTTGGAACCGCCTGCGGAGGCGGCGGTGGTGACGAGAAATCGGGGGATAAGGGAGGCGGCGGAGTCGAGGGAGTTTCTGTAGCTGTTATCGCTCTTCCTGTTGCTGTTGCTGCTGCTGCTGTTGCGGTTGTGTCAGGAAAGGGGCTCGGCTTGTCGGATGGCGGCAGGAAGTCGTCGGTCGAGCTGGATGCTCGCCCCTGTGGAATATTGTTCGATACGAATGGGTGTGAAGAGAGCCCAGCAAAGCGAGGTGTCGACGAGGCGGAGGACGGAGACCGCAGGAGAGACTTGGCCGCGAACGTGCTGTGCGAAGGCGAGACCGGGCTGGTCGGCGCGGTCGAAAAGCCTGCGGATGCAATTGACGTGTGTAGAGACGACAGGGGGACGGGGCCAGTGGCAAAAGACGAGCCCGAGCAGCTGTAGACGGCAGAGCCGTTGGCGAGCTTGGGCCAGCGCGGCGAGGTGGGCGACGTCGGTGACTGGGGTAGAGGTGGAAGATACGAAGAAGGTCGAGTGCTGCCGTCGTGATCAGAATCACCTTCCAAATCACCGCCGTCTGGGCCTTCGTCGAGGCTGTCGTCAAAGTCGAATTTGTTTTTGTGTGACTGCGTCCTCGTCCTGGGCGAGCCGAGCAAAGTCCGCCCAGTTGTTTTGCCGCTGCTACTTGTGCTGCTCCTGCCGTTGTCGCGGTTGTGGATGCGAGATTGCTGTTGACGGTCATTGGCAGCAGGCCACGCACCCTCGTCGAAACCCAGGGGCTCCACGTCTGAGGCAGTATCTTCGTGTTTCGTAGGGGGCTGGTTCTGTCGCAGGCGGCCCGCATACAAGCCGACGTCGCGGTTCCTCGAGCTCTGCCGCCGCCTAAACGACGCAGCCGTGGGCGAGAAAGAAGATGCCGGGCCCTCAGCATCCCCAGCATATGCCGAGTCGTCGTGCTCCTGGTAGGCCATTGTCACCAGTACGGCCGCGCCACATGCTGCAAATACGGTGCGGACGATACGAATTGCCGGTGTGCTCGAATAGCGGCGAGTTGGGACGAAACAAGCTCAATGGCAAATCTGCCTTATTTGGCGGACGGGGAAGCGAGACGGATTGCTTTTATGATCTGGAAATGGATCGTTCTACGGCGTGCCCAGTGGACGTTACTTTCTCTTTTTTTCCTCTTTTTGGCATGTTCGGTTTCCTTGTTCTTGCCTAATTTGTCTGGACGTGCGTCCTTTTGTTTTTATCGACTTCCAGGGGTGGGAAGCAGCGGATGTGCACAAGACGGGGTGCTAGTCTCACAAGCGGCAGGCGCGTGGCGTACGCGCTGGTAGTGCCGTAATTACATAAGTGCCAGGAACCACATCGCGTCTGGAACGCCCGCACGGCTGGTGCCATGGCACGCCTGCGTCAAGGGAAATTGGTTTTTTGTGGAGGAACAATGTCGCCTCCGTATCCAGTGCTGCGCTATTTCAGGACAAGGGCTGGAAGGCATGCTGGGAAGTTCCACATAGCAAGCTCGTTGCGGTCGCGAAATGTCTCAGCGGGCATTTTGCACGCGGGAAGTTGGACAAACAGGGCATCAATTTCGTGTTCAACGCAGCACAGTTTCTGCGTACGGCTTGGAGGAACGGGCGCACGACGCAGGAGAACGGGCGACTTCAAGCGACTGCGCAGGAAACCATCCGGAACGCATTCATACTTCGCAAGCGGCTGCCAGTAAGTACAAATCGCTTGGCGGGCGAGCCATGGTCCATCAACGACAAGGGGAGAGGCTGCTGTTCGTGGACCGCGATGGAACGCAAGGCAGAACAGGCTGTATCATATCACGGCTAGTGGATGGGGATGGAAAGAAGCGCAAGCGACAGCTGGGGCTGTTCGTGAACAGGGGCGCCGCCACTTGGTTTCACGTTGCTGATCGATGCGGACAACATGTGATTGGCTACGAGCGCTCCAATATGAGGATTTCCAGGCAGGTTGCAAGGAACCTCTGCCGGTAGGACGCAGGCTAGAAAATTGAGTACGACCCTGCACGCGTGGTGGCACGCAAGAAGTGCCATGAGGGTGTAAAGTAAAAGACAAAGTAGACAAGAATACAGGACGCCTGTCCTTTTTGTACAGCTGTGCGAGGGCCCCACGGAAGGTGCCGAACGCCTCCTGGTGGCCTCATTTATTCATCAGAATGTGAAGACAAATGAAGTGGGAAAAGCGCGATCCTCAACTTCGGTTAGGAACGCAAACCGCGACACTCGAGGCACGAGACAGCATATTTGCTTGACCGAGTCTCATTTCACGGACGAAACCTTGCCAGTATTCAGATTTTTTTGATTTTTTTTTTTGTGGTTTTCGTTTGGTCCCAGGAACTTGCTCCCCCTCTGTCCAGCGTTATGGTGTCAAATTCAAACGATACACTGTCGCCACTGTCGCGTTCCCCGACCATCGTCGCCGACAGGATCAGTCCTCAGTACCAGGGTTCGCCCAGGATGGAACCGGGGTGCGTCTTCCAGAAACACAGTTTTCTGCTTCTTTGTGGAGGATTGTGGAGACTCCCAGGCCAATTCCAGGTGCTTGTCTGCCTGTCAAAATTTCGGTTCCAACGCTTTCTTGAGGTGTTGTCTCCTCTCTCGTCGCACGTTTTTCGCCGAGATCGCTTTTCTGTCCTTCGCCGTTCTCCGCGGCACATTTTTCGTTTGATATTTGCTGCCTTTATTCTATTTGCTGCCTCCATTCCACAAGCCCACTTATATCTGTTGCTTGTGCACTCCCGCATCGCTCATTTACCGATAAGCCTGGAAACAGTATGTCGGATGTTCAGATATTCCTTGACTTCCGAGGCAATCACTCAAGAATATAAACTCTGTCCATGACGCCACAAAAATGAACTGCATGCTGGCATGGTGGATCAATCATTTGAAAAATAAAGTGGCAAGACGGAACCACGCACGCCAGGATCATCAATCAGTTTTTTCGACCATCACCAGAACCTCATGGCAAAGAACATCTTCATCCCCGGCACATGGCACTATCACGCAAAATGATGAATAACGGCGATCTTGTCGCGAACCACGATAGCACAGTGAGCGGCACCATCTTTTGACGTCACGGAAATGAGCTTGTTGGCACCTGTGCGGCTATGTCTTATCCTAGTAACGCGCAACAACGCGTCGCGAAGTGGAGACCACCAGGAACCGAAACTTCCACGGGTATCTGGGCATTCTCACTCCTCCTCTGTCTTGCAAAAAGCTCTTGCATTTCTGTCGAGCATTTCTGTAGTCTGGTTTTTCTTTTTATTTCCTCTTTCCACAATCCAACAGTTTGCGTGATCCGAACCTCGAAAGAATGTTGCAGCCCACGTCCAACATTATCGCTACAACTAGGCCGTGTGAGTTACTCCCGTCACGCTCTGCGTTTTGTTACTACTCTAACCCGTTCTTTAGGACGAAAACATGTCGAGTTGCAAAAACGTGTGGCTCGCATCCAGCATCGTCAGTGCCACTTGCAACAATCCGACTCTTGACGTCTGGCGTTGCGTCGAGGCATGCTGGCACGTTGCTGACTGTTCATCTTGGTTGCACGTGACGCAGATGCAGTGCGATAAACGATAAGAAGAGTCACCTGCTTGCCGCCTGCCAACAGCTGCCACGCCTTACAAGGTGAACGGACCACCCCTCCTGGGTGCATTTCCAAAAGTTTGCACCGTTGACCAATAGCAGAGCCGGCAGAGGCCGGCCGGTACCTTGGTGACGACAGCGCACGGACCACATTGCGGTTCCTGCTTGCCGTCCCCAAAATAAGAAACGACGTGCTTTGCAAAGCGCAATGCGGGTGCAGGAGCAAGTATCTGCATGACACCGCTACCCAGGAGCTGCACCCACACCTCTTCCTCCGTCGCCCCCTTTTGCGCCCGCGCAAGGGAGGACAGCGAGCACACAAAGGAAACGCCCGACCTGGCCAGGGCAGTTGAGCTCGAGCTCCCCCCCTCCCCGACCCGTTGCGCCTTCCACCTCTCCCACCGTTCTCCCATTTTCCCTATCCATTGCGCCTTCCCTCCCTCTTTTCCCTCCTTCTTTCCTGTTTCTTTTCTTTGTTAGCTGCAAGCACCGCTCCTTCCTAACTTCAGCCGTCTCTTTTCTGCGCTTTCCCACCCAGTTTTCCCACCAGCTGTGACGGCGCCGTTCCAGCAGCATGCTGTAGTTACCCGTAGTCTCACGTAGAAGGGGCCTTTCGCCCCAAGAATCAGGTCCTCCCTCCTTTCCCTCTTGCTCTTTTCTTTTTTTGTCCTCTTTCCTTCCTCTTCTTCTCCTTTCTTCGCTGTTCTGTAAACTATTCCATCTCGATTTCTATCCCAACTTACCATCAAAATACGACCAAATTTGACCAATTGGTCTGCCGAACCCACCTTTTAACCACCTTTGAACATGTCTACCCGCAAGAGGAAGCAGGAGCAGGACGAAGAGGAGGAGTTCCTCTCCCTCCCCAGCGGCGACGAGGAAGAAGAGGAGTAAGTGACTGCTGTTTTACACTGCTTTCGTACTTCCCACCATCGATGTCGAGTTTTATTTGTCTGTGTTGTTGCAAAAAGGCCGCGAACGATCTCATCCGGGCCTGTCTAAGTCGCGCAATTGGCCCATGCTTTTGAGCGGTCTCGTTGGCCAGCAAACCAGCACCCAAATGCGACAGGATGCGCCTGCCCACCGCGCAGTCGCATCCAATCGCAATCTGGCACATTGTTTTGATGCGATCCAGATGCAAAGAGTCGTGTCCATCGATGTTTTATGATGGACGCCGTATCTTGCGTGCATCCGACTGTGCCGGTGGTAGAGTGCAATGGAACGATAAGAACCAAGCTGACATTGGCCCTTTCCCTCCAGGTTCGAGGATGAGGACGACTACGAAGAGGGTGATGACGACGATGACGAAGAGGAGGAAGAGGAGGAGGAGGAGGGCGACGAAGAAAACGGCGATGATGCCGGTGATGCCGCCGCCAAGCCCGGTACGTATTTCTTGTTGGATTGCAGAACCAGACTGTGGAACATCTTTCCCTTACAATTTGCATGCTGACAAATGATGCCCATCCCAGCTGCCCCTCCCAAGAAGAAGCAAAAGGTTGCTTCCGCCGAAGATGGTGAGGAGAACGGCGAGGACGCCGAAGGCGATGACGATGCTGAGGAGGATGAGGAGGACGCTGAGGAGCCTGACGAGCCCGAAGAGCTCGATGGCGACGAAGAGGCCGAGGCCAATGGCGATGCTGCCGACGACCTCGTCAAGAAGGCAGCTACCAAGACCGATGCGCCTGTCGTTGCCGACGGCGAGGACGAGGTTGCGGCTGGCGGCGAGGACGAGGAGTAGGGCAGGAGTCGAGACTACAGCAACGGCCGATCGACACGCCGCCTTGCTGCTGTTCAGCATCCTGTGCGCCTGATCTATGCCACTGGCGTTTACCACCGACAAGCCTACACCCATAACGAGCAGACCTCCCTTCATACCTTTGTTCTCAAGCCTTCTCGGCGTTGAAAAGCCATCTCTTTTGCAGTCTTGTGAATAGAAAAAGTACTCAACGCTATTTGGGAAATAAATAGACAGCATTAGCTGGAATACGTCTTGCGTCCAATTTTCTTCTTACTGCATTAAGCCAAACGACGAGAGAAAAACATGAAAGCAACATAAACTTTTCCAAGATGCCAACGTAGAAATGCATGAACACTTCCATAGTTTGACTATCCGACACGAGGACGGAAAGAATGACAGAATGAGTGGCCAGCACGCAAACAACTTAAAAAGCAATGTATTCTGTTGCGTTTGGAGGTACTTTTCAATTGCTATTTTTTAATAAAAAATAAAGCATATAGAAACAAGAAAAACCCAAAAAAGCCCCAAAAAATATAAATAAAAGGGGGAATAAGTAAATACATCAAATGCCCTTGGGCACTCGCGCATAACACCAAAGTACGTATTGTTCACGGAAAGTCTATTTTGAGTTGACTCTTGATACCCTCACATGACTTTCCACCGTTCAATCAATTTAGTCTCTTTTATTTGCATTTGAAAAATCAAATGCCTCTACTCTCCACACCAACATAAGAGCTATTCAAAGAGAGATTCATGACCTCTGCCAGGGTGCGTCTATTTACAAAGTATATTGAGGCGCACCGACCCCTCACTTCACCCATCCTGTGTTCAACACGACCTGAAAAGAGCGGGCAAAGGAAATGGAAGAAAGACCTTCTGAGGACTCCTAACTGTTAACTTGAGTTACACAGCGGAAGCAGAAGAAGTATATCTACGCCCTGGCGGAATAGGCCGGGTTCACTTCCGGCGCCCTTTGTAAATTAACTTTCACATACCAACATCGTTTCCTTCTGCGTGGAAGGACGATAGGTGGCAAGGGCCGCGGGTATAACTGTGTATCTTCAATTACCGCCATATAGGCACCGTTTTCGTCTATTTCGGAAACCAATCCGGCGTCCATATCGTCCTGTCGACATGCAAGTTGACAACTGCATTTTGAATTCTTGACCAACCTCGCGGACTTTCATGTGGAAGCACATGTGTATGCAGTTCCAGGTTCCCTTGTACAAGGGTTTGCCTCGTGACATGCTGTTGTGTACATCCCTTCTTTTCCTTCCATCGTTTGCTCCCAATGCCTTCAATTCATTGGCTGCTATTGTAAAGCCAAAGCCAAACAAAACTGTAGACGCCGTACTTCAATATGTGACACGTCCGAGGCATGCTTGACTACGAGCCACTTATCTTTGTGTCGAATACCGGTTAAAGTTTCTCGTCACCTTGTCTTAACACCGTACGCCGTGAAAAATGCGTGTGGCCCCAGTGCTGGTCATGTTGACCACATTACTTGATATATATTAAGATGGCCGTTTGCAGGAGCCTCACCATTGCTCTTTATCCCTCCTGTGTGTATGTCCTGGGCACGGTCCAAGCAACTTAGTGAGCCCATTTGCTCTCTTTGCACGACACGGATATCGGCATGGTGCTATCTCGCAGACAGAGTGAAACCTCGGTGTTGCAGTTGTGTTAGCCTTCGAGACCTTTTCATCAGTTGGATCGTTGCCTGCATTGTTGTGTCTATGCAAGCATCCACGTATATGATGCAAAGGACAGTGGCGAAAACGTCAGAGCCAAACACTCAAACTCTCGTGCCCCGACCCCCAGAATCTCCATGTCCAAGCTACGTATAAAGTAAATAACTGCAAGGGGAATCCCAGGTAACGAATCTAAATATAAAAGGCTCGCCTGACCTTGTCGCTATCAAAGCAAAGTTAGGTAAGGAATGGCTGTGATGGTGACATGCTGGCCTATTGTAGCTGACATATTTTTGAAATTAAAGGCCTAAAAAAGTAAGTTATTTAAGAGGACCCCTGCGTTTTCACCATATCAGACCTAACCCACTCAAGTATTTGTGCACGTCACCGATTGTATTGTTTTGACCGTCCTCAGCCGCAGCCATTGGTATCGATGTCTGGTGGTTTTCAGACATTGGGATACGGGAATCTGTTTACGTTTCGCTGTCACCTCATCTAATTTCTTTCACGGAATTCCGAGCTAATAGAGTTTTTTTGGAGCTCAACTGGAAGCGTGCAACGGTATAGACGGAGTAATATGTGCTGTTCTCAGTCAGCTTTTCAAGAACGTAGATCGTTAAATTCTGAGATGCAACTCTACATTAGTTGTAAACACTCCGGATGGTGATTTTAGTAAAAACGAACATAGCTGTCACTCTTGAAAATGCAACGTCCTATCCTTGGTTATTGTTTTCTTGTTTACAAGTCTTTGTCCTCGGGGTCCTTTGACTCATGACAAGGTCGCAATCTTGGTGTCAGTAGCATTGTACAGAAGTAATCTACAGCAAAATTATTATCAGACAGCGCTAAGCTGTACGCAGCTTGGTTATGTTCGCACCGATCGTCAACCCCGCGGATATTACGATTTTATCGAAGGCAGTCTTTTGACACTTGCCGTGTCTTTCAGAACGCGATGTCACAACAGTGGGCCCCCGTTCCATCTTGACTTGCCAGAGTACTAACTGCTATGATAAAGGTGACCGTCATACGGCCTATACCGAATACGGTAGGGATGTTTTGGATGCACCTTCCCGGGGACAATTTTTATCTGCTCCTTATCGAGTTGTGTCGAGGCAGGGTCGTACTTGCTTACTGCGTGTTCCCTAATGTCCATTGTTCCTGCCATATTTGCATTGTTGACAAGGTCTAGTTTTTGCGCCTGGCTTGGAAAGAGGCCCCTGTCGGCAGGGTCGGTCGGCCTTTGTTGTCATAGCCAAGCTCCAAAAAGTTCGTGTGGATCACAGCTCTTTCCAGCATGACGTGCAGCATACGGACTTCCCTTTCCCCGCATGATATGACAAGGTGTGGTACACCCGTTGGAATTCTATTGCCGGTCGACACCCTCTCCTTCGTAGCTTCCCTATGGGGGAGTAATCGCAGCCGTAAGAAAGCAACGACCTAGCTGCTAGGAAAAGAGAGGTAAGGACTACTAGACGACAGCGAGCTAGGAAAGTGCAGCCGGGAGAAGGTCAGAGAAAATACCACATCACCTTCGTAATCGCAAGCTTCCTTCAGGTCCATTCTTCCAATCAATAACAAACGAACCACATCGAAGATGACCTCTAGAATGAATCGATAGAATTTGTCCCGGTGACACCATGGGTACGTACTGGGTACGTGTGGTACACTATCCGCGGTCTAAGCAATCCGGGCCAGGCCAGCACAACAAATGCGGGTGGACAATACAGTGGTGCGACTCCCGCAGGCAGAAAGGCCCGCAGGTCTGCAATCCTCCTTGTGGTAGGCGTTGGGCGAGAACAAAATAAAGCGGTGCTTTTGCCTTGGCATACCGGTCAACATCCTCGGGGTGTTGACCGGCGTCGAAAAAAATCGCGAAACGGCAGCAAAAGTCGAGCCGCAACAAACGGAAGGCCCAGGCCAAACTGAGAGACACGAATACGTCAGACCGATACCAATTTCACCTCCGTTCGGCGAAAGGGACACCAAGGAAAGCAGCTTGTCAGCGGTGTCGAAAGTGTATCTGCAAATCTCACTTGTTGCCAACAACATAGACGAAACGAAGACTTACAAAATTGAATGAAAGGAATCCCATCTTAGTAGATGGGCCCAACCAAAGCGGAGGGCTGAGCTCACACCACATGCCGCTCTTGGGTGGGATGGACCAGCAGCTAGACGCAGCCAATCGTGGATTTCGGATCCAATACCGGTGGGTTGCAGCACGACGGTGCCGTGGGAGGATTAAGGTGGGATGCAGAAAGTTGCCGTTGCAACGCAGCTCAATTTCGCATACTTTTCACATCCCTCTATGTGTCCTACTGGCCGGCCGTTTCTTTTCCAGCCAGGTTTATGCCACCAACTTCGTTTAAAGGTTCCATCCCCCTTCCCGGCTTTTCCGTCGACCAAAAGCATATAAATAAGGGGATGCGGCTGCAGGACGAGAACAGAATTGCCACAAAAGGTACTTCCATGCAGTCACACCCAGTCCCGCATGTACCTCGAGAGTCCAAACCGGCAGGATCTCAGCCAACACGCGACGCAACCCCCCCGGCAAACCTTGGTTATCTCGGCAGATTTTATCTGCTCTGGGGAAATGCATATACTTGCTGTCCTGCACATCTCCAAATTCGATCACCGATCTCCCGTCAATGCTGAAGAGCCTCAAAGGTTCGCACTCCTTGTAATCGGTCCGGCCCGAAGTAAAGGATAGGCAAACGGCGTGATCGGCATCAAAGAACTCGGCGATCCCCAGAACGACTAGAGTTATGGACCAAACCTCTGCCACGGCATTTGAAGGCGAGGGTGATGTTAAATTTATGGGCGATGTAGGTTGATTTTGTCTACAATCTCCAATATTTCTATTGTTGGACTATTCGAAGATGTCAAGTCATCAACCGCAGAAGGTCCCGTCTGTTAACCTGCATTCAGTCTCACAATATGTCGAAAACCACTGTTGCCACTCCAAACTCACTGTTTGTGAGTCCAATATGGGGCGCTGAGACCACATTCTCTACGGCGACCTTCACGCCCGGTATTTACCTGCACGATAGGGATCCTGCATACGGATATATGGATCCCCTCGACACAACTGGATTAACCGATTGGGCCAATTCTATCCCGGGCGACATGGAATCTACCAGAAATTCAACTGTGACAACACTACCTTTGCTGAACCAGTTCCTGTCGACGACACCGCCCAGCAAGGAACACCATACAGGTTGGGCAATGAGCACTACCGACCAGCTACAACCTGGTTCCTCCTCCGCCTCGGCGTCATCCTACGCAAAGATCAATGATGTACCGGCAGCCCTACCTTCGATCCTGCCGGACCAAACCCGCGTTTCGGCACCGACTTTCTCAAAATCTGGCACAGCCGGCCCCGTACGGCCCTCACGTGTAGTCAAGTCAAAATCAAAGCTCGCGGTTGGTAGTACACGGCCGTCTCGGAACAACAGCGGAAACATTGCCAGTAGCTCAAGTCTCGTCCAGTACGTCACCGTAATGGATGATAAGCACCAGACAAACTCGGCTGGCTCCTCATGTGAATCGCCTCCTTTCGACGAGCTGTCGCACCGAAGAAGCCGAACAGGATCGAATTTCAGTAGCAGCGGTGACAGTGGGGGTAGCTCCAATGGTCTTATGACGACAGGTCATGGTGGGAACCACAATGTCACGCTTCGAACAGCCAGCCGCAAGCCAAAGTCACAGCCCACTGCGTCGATAAATGCATCCACGTCAACCGTCACAGGAACCAAGGAGAATGGAAATCCAAAGACTGAGTCGCCCACCTCAGAGTTGCCCGGTGCCGCAGCTTCATCATTGTCACCTGATGGCGACAGCGGGAATACCGAAGGCCTGATAACTGAAGAGCACCGCGCACGCCAGAATCACAACATTGTTGAGAAGCAGTACCGCAACCGACTCAATTCACAGTTTGAGCGGCTGCTTTCCATCCTGCCAGCGAATCAGATGGAAGGTGCCGATACGGGCAAGTCTGTGGATTTTGATGAGCGGCGGATGAGCAAGGCTGAGGTGCTGGACCTGGCACGGCGGCGGATCCATGCTTTAGAGAGCGAGATCAAGCAATTGTACGCCGACCGTGACAACCTGCGCAACAACGTGGCCACGCTCAACCTGGCGATCCGGAACGGGCAGCATCCACAACAGCAGCAGCCACAGCAACAGCAGAGGTTGAGCATCGCCATCTAGGCAGCATACTTTGTATAGCATATAAGAGGAGGCGGTTTAAAATTTACGAGCAACCAAAGGGAGAGGCCAGTTTGTCATTTTGGGTCTAGGAGGCTTGTTGCTTTCGAATTCAGGGCGACCACGACGATAAGCCATGGAGTACATGCAAACCAGGGTTTTTCAACTTGCGAGAAGAGAATTGAGTTGACGTCAAAAATGTTTCTTACTAATTGTGATGGTTTTACTACTAATGTGGCTTTGTTTTGCTTTGCGTTTTTCTTTCGTTGTTGTCCCGCTGTTGATTTTTATATGTAATAACAGCTGAAGATTGTTTATTATCGTTTGGCCGCGACTGTTTACAGATGACGTTACTAAATTTACTAAATTTCTCATAGCTACTGAACTTCACACCGTGCAAATTTTGATATCATGTCGTATTGGTCCACACCACGTACGTATTTCATCAAGGAAAGAAACCAAGTTGCAACGTTCAGATACTCGCTGCAAATAGTGTAAGATTAGGATGAGAGCTGAAATTATGTGCTGATAACCCAATAAGCAAAACAGGCACCGATGTGGTTGCAGTGGGGTCTTACCAACTCCGCCACCGTGCCTTGCTTTCTTCTTACTGAGAGATGCTCTGCATCAGAAAAAGTACCACAGCCAGCCTTGGCCCAGGGACCGAAACCATGGAAAGGCTGTCAGAGAAACGGAGCCAGGGAAGCTCCTGTGGGGCCGTGGATCAGGGAGTCCCGAGCTTGGTCGAGCGCGTCGAGCGTTATTATGAAGACGATGGCAAAGCGCGCCCGTCGCGGTTCTTGTCTTTGCAGTGAAACATACATATCGTCTGGATGCACTTGAGCGCGCAAGCAGGGACGGACGTAGGCGAACGTCTTGGCGTGCATGTCAATACGAATTTGATGATGTTGATGCTCTGGATGTCTTACGAAATACTCGTCTCGGATGGCCTCGATGGCAGCTTCTGTTCAGTTGATAATTTTTAGCCGTGCTATCGACATGCTCTCAGTACGTCTGGAGTTCACATGTTACGACGTTATTAAGTGCTCCCTTGTCTGTATCCCTACGTGCCTGAAAGAACCGAACGCACCGTCAAAGTTTTTTTTTTTGATGTGGTCACTTCTATTTATGGATTTGGTGGCAAATTCTCTGTCAGGGCGTAAAGCGAGTCTAGAACACACTTTCACAGTCTCGGCCTCCTTAGGCACGGCATGGGGAGAGCAAGTCGGTATCAAGCAGAAGATAATATCTGTAAACGATATATCGTCGATTGATGCTCTTAAGTCTTTTGTCAGTGGATTTGTTGTTCTTAATTCGGCTCGTGTTGGTCTACCGAAGCTGCTCCAATCGGGGACCTCAGATGCTCGACGTCATTTGTTTGCGTCGCCAGCTAGACCCTGAACTCGAAACAACGCCGGAAAGAGATCCGCCGAAGCGCTGTAATCACCTAGAACAAAGAAACAAGACAGGACCACTCGCAATGTGTGAGCACTGTGGCGATTGTGGCTACGACTCTCTACACTGCCAGGACCACGGGCCCACAAGTGCCACAGCGCCCACCCCCCTAAATTGTACCTCCCTAGCATCCCGTCGGCCCTATAACGGCCCCCGCTCGTCTTATCAGGGCTCTCGGCGCAAGTGTCGTGCACGTCATTTCAAGTTTTTGTGGATTGTTTTGCCATAAGCTGTCGATGCGGACGGGTTTGCGCATGAGTAGCTATTCGAGATGCATTTTGCAAATCTCTTTAGTAAACACCTGTTTGTCCCAAGAGCGGCCCGAAGTAGAAGTAGATGCATTGTCCGGTAGATGACGAAACCAGCACTTGGGCAAGTCTAGACCATCCCGTCAACCAAAAAAAATGAATAAAAAAATAAATAAAAAAAATAGCAGGAGCGATACAGCAGGGCGGCCTTTTTGCCTCACAAGAAAAATGGAGACTAGACCTCGCCATCTTTATCAGCATTAAGACTAAACAGGAAAGCCCGGCCGGATGCTCTGCACTGGGCTTCCAAATTCAGGATCGACAGATGGCGAGTTTTCCCATCCATTAGCCCTTTGTGACTTCCCCATTCATTCCTTTTGCGGCAGGCCGCAGCTTGTCCATTAGCAGTGTGGTATGCAAAAGATGGCTCCGAAGAGAAGGAGCAAGTAAAGGTCTCCTTCCCGATTTCCCGGTACTTATGGTCTGTCTATCGCTCCTTCTCTCGTTCTTTTCTCGCTCTTACTTTCGTTTTTGAAAGGACCCCGCGAGCCTGCCTCTACTCCCCTGCATTGTTGTCGCGTCTTTGCCCAATTATCGCCACTTTCAAAGCATCTATTGCTGTTCCCAATCGCAACTGGTTGGCGTTCAACCGGGCAATTTTACGATTTTGCATCTTCCCCGCTCTGTTGTCGACGGGTGACGACCAACGACTGCGGTTCATATATTCCCCATCCTCGTCACGCATTGACACGCATCACAATACGACGAGCTTGGTCCTGACTTTGAACGACGATGTCGTAACGATCTACGGCAATTTGGATGTGGAAACCAGCAAGAGTACGGAGGCTCATATCCAAACCAAGCCCCCGATTTCGCATGTGTGCATTTGACGTCGAGTTGAAATTGGTTGACACGGCACGCAAACTGCGCACAGGGCACAACAACGAGTATTTTTAACACTTGCCTGCTCGACTTCGACCTGAGAGCGACCATCCAAGGGCACATACACAAACCGTCATGTCGACGCCAAACGAAACGGCGACGAACCCTTTTGACGCAATAACGCCCCCGATAAAGGGTAAAGAGAAGAAAAGAGTGGGCTGGTCGCAGGGAAATTCAACGCCACACCAAGCACACTCTGTTCCGGGCTCGGCTGGAGAAGGCCGCGGAACTGGCCCGTCGCAGGCCGGCCATGCGTCCCATGACGAAGACCGGACCTCACACGACGGCGTTGACCACCACGAACTGACACGGGCTCTCACGCGAATCCTTAGCAACGAGAAGCTACAGCGTGGCACCGACAATTCACCACCTGGCGAACAATCAGGTGCTGCCACGTCGAGCCACCCGCCGCACGAGCCGGCTCTTTCTCCGGTTCCGGCCGTGACTGTTCTTGCTGAGCCAGCACCCCCGTACTTCCCACCGGCCCGACAACAACAGCAAGAGCAGTCTGAAAAGGCTGCACGTGAGCGTGCCGATCGTCTCGCCCAAAGTGTCGAAAGGGACTACTCGAATCCTGCGTCGCGAGCTGAGTCTGTAGCAGGCGGGTCAGGCGACGACGACGACGACGAAGAGGCAGCTGCAGCCGAAGGAACGCTCTTTGGATTGCGGCGGCGGCGGTGGAGAAGCGGCACGATCAGCCGCGGCAACGAAGTCCGCGACCACGACGATGAAAATGGCGAGGGGCGTAATGATGGTCACGACAACGAAGACGATGAAGAGCACCAAGAGATCGACCCTCACATGGCCGCGCAAACCTTGGTTCGGTCGCACACGCGAGGACATGTTCCCAAGGCGGCCATTCTTTCGCAACAGGTGACGGACGACACTGGTTTCCATTACGACGCAGCCATGGCACACTCGGGCAACTCGACCCCCGGCAACACGTTCGGACACGACACCGAGGAATATGTACCGCCACCAAACAAGTACAACGGCGGAATTCTGTCGTCGCTCCTCCGCCTGTACAACCACCCGAATGCGTCCGCCAGCAACAGTGCCGTCAACTCTGAGCGCAGCACACCCACGGGGACGCCTGCTTCGTCTCGGCCTCCGTCCCCGGGTCCTGGCGATGGCAGCGAGACACCGAAGCGACGCAGCGGATTCTTTGGAAAAAAGACCGGCAAGCCTCACGAACACGACGGAACCCACACTCCCAAAACCAAAGGCCAACCCTGGGGCGTTTTCCATCCAAACCACAAACACTCCCACTCCACGACGAGTCTCACGGCTGGCCTCCTCGGGACGTCGTCCATTTTGGCGTCGACGGGCTCGGCTGGCATTGGCCAGGCGGTGACAGAGCGGGTCAAGCGTGAACGACCGCCTCTGAAGCGCAACCGCCACTCAGCGGGCAGCATCTTCACGACAGGGTCACCCAAGTCCCGCGAGGGCAGCAATGGTGGAGGCGGGCGCCGTCGCCGCCGCGAAGAAGAGCAGATGCGCATCACGAAGCACATTGCAGAGGTGCTTTCACGGCACCGATATCTGACGCTGTTGTGTCGAGCCCTGATGATGTACGGCGCCCCGACGCATCGCCTCGAAGACTATCTCAAGATGTCGGCTCGCGTATTGGAGATTGAAGCGCAGTTCCTCTACATTCCCGGCTGCATGCTCGTGAGCTTTGACGACAGCAGCACGCATACGGCCGAGGTGAAGCTGGTCCGGGCGCCGCAGGGCGTCGATCTGGGCAAGCTCAGTGATGTTCACACCATCTACAAGGAAGTCATTCACGATCATATCAGTGTGGACGAGGCCATATCACTGCTCAACGGCATCACGAGCAAGCCGCCAAAGTATAAAGTCTGGATGCGCATTCCCGTGTACGGACTGGCGTCGGCATGCGTAGCACCTTTTGCCTTTGGCGGTCGCTTCATCGACATTCCCATGTGCTTCGTCCTCGGTTGCGTTGTCGGGATGCTTGCGCTCATTGCCGCGCCGTCCAATGCCTTCTACTCCAATGTTTTTGAGATTACGGCCGCTGTCATCACCTCCTTCCTCGCGCGCGCAATCGGATCCATTGCAGGCGGCAAAATCTTTTGTTTCTCGGCACTCGCCCAGTCGGCCATTGCGCTCATTCTGCCGGGCTACATGGTCCTTTGCAGCAGCCTGGAGCTGCAGAGCCAGAATATTGTGGCTGGCTCTGTGCGCATGGTGTATGCCATGATCTACACGCTCTTCCTCGGTTACGGCATCACCATTGGCACGGCCGTCTACGGCGCGATTGACAGCACCGCGGTCAGCACCACAAACTGCACCAACTCGCTCTCGCGGCCGTGGTACTTCTTGTTTGTGCCGTTCTTCACCATCTGCCTCTGCATCATCAACCAAGCCAAGTGGAGACAGATACCCATGATGGTCCTGATTTCCTTGGGCGGCTTTGCTGTCACCTCGTACGCTTCGAGCTACTTCAGCAACAACGCCCAGATTCCGAACTCGTTGGGTGCGCTGTGCATTGGTATCTTGGCCAACGTGTATGCACGCACCAGTCCGTACTTTGAGCGCTACGTTGCGCCTCTGCGCGCAAAGTACTTTGCGCCGTTGGCCTCATCCATCGGCCGTCGCAAGAAGCGTCTGTCGCGCCGCGACGGCCAGGGCGCCGGCGACGACTACTTTGATATGCCGCCGTACCGCAAAGGCGAGGAGTCGCGTGCCGAGGAGGGCGCCATCTGCCTCACCAAGTCCAACAGCAGCGGCAACGAGCGGACGGCCGCCGAGATGGATGCGGACAAAGCAAAGGCCGAGAAGAAGGCGCCGGGCAGCCACGAGGTCATTGGCTACGGCCTGGCCGCCGCGGCCATGCTGCCGGCCATTTTCGTGCAGGTGCCGTCGGGCCTGGCAGTCAACGGCTCTCTGCTGTCAGGCATTAACGCGGCCAACGATCTGACAGGCAACTCGTCGACATCGCGTGGCTCGGGCAACAGCACCGACAGCAGTGCCATCAATAACGTGTCCTTTACGGTGCTGCTCAGTGTCATCCAGGTGGCCATTGGTATTACGGTGGGGCTGTTCTTTGCGGCCATCATCGTGTACCCGCTGGGCAAGCGGCGCAGTGCCCTGTTCAGTTTCTAAGCCAATGTGTCACTCTGTCGCCTGCCTTGCTTAAACGGCATACCGCCGTATCTCCATATTCTATGCGCATTGTGTCGGTGTTTGATTTTCATCAAGGGTCTGGCGTTCTTATTTCCCATTTTCAAATTAGCATTTTAAAAGGAGCATCCACATATTGAAAACACCACAGCAAGGGGACGATTTGTGTATGTATTCACATGGCATTATTTAGACGAGTTAATGACAAAACAATCAAAAGAGCCAAAGCCGCATGCAATACAAGTAATAATATTTGCTACATGCATCGTCACCTTGCAAGATGCCTCCAATGCAGAGACAGCACTTCTCTTTATGCCTGAGGTACTGGGCCTGTCGTGTCCGTCTACTGATGCACATCGCACAATGCAATTAGGTGCCTGCTGCCGGCTAATCCTTGAAAAACGCCAAGCAGTCGTCAATGTTGGCGCGGATGGACTCGACATAGGACTTGCCGCCCCGCCGCGACCGAACGTCGTCTTGTGCCATGACTGTGGCAAACAACTGGGCGCGGTCGGCGCGGGAGAAGAGTCCCGGCGCGACAGCCAGCTCGCCGTCTTCGTCTGGGCCAGGCCGGAGACAGTAGTCTCTTGGCACCCCCAGGCAGCGCTCGACAGACTGCATCTGCGCATAAATCGCCTCGAGGAGACCGGCCGCGTACGCTTTGAGGGGCATGTCCTGCAGGGTGGCGACGCCGCCGATGCGCAGGACGGACTTGACTTGGACGCAGTCGAGGGGCATGATGGGCCCCGGCAGCAGGGCCAGCTTGCGGATAGTCTCGTGGGTGCGGTGGAAGAGGACGTCAAAGAGGCGCATGAGGGCGAGGTACGTCGACAGGGCGAGCAGGAGCACTTCGGTGGGCAATGCTGCGCCCGGGGAAGCGCCCGGGGACGCGCCCGAGGATGCACCGGCGGTCGTGGCCGGCGCGGTCGTGGCCAGGACGTGGAGAATGTCAATGAGTTTCTTGCTGCAAGTCAAGAGGGCGGCGGGCGGGTGCTCGGGCACGTTGCTGTCGGCGCCCTCCTGGCCGTTGTCAATCGTGCACCAGTGGTGGACGGCGACGGGGTCGGCATAGTAGGCGTCGACGGACCCGATGCGCTGGTCGATTTCGTCACGCAAGGCCGCGAGCGAACGCGCGGCGCTGACACTGGGCGGATGTCGCAGGCGGTACGGCGGGTAGAGAGCGACGGCGTGTCCCGGCGCGCCCGCGTCGCCGAGGTCCATGTCGCCGTCCAGGAGAAGATCCATGTCCAGAGCAAAGACGCTGCTGGCGATGCTCGAGCAGGAGGTCGTCTGCAGATCGGGCGCCGTAAAGTCGGAGGCCGAGTCTGTCCGCGCGAGGCCATGCGGCGGCAGTGGCGGCAGCTGCGAGAGCGGCAGCGGCAGCGGCAGCGGGTTGCACGGATCCGCGTCGCTGGTGCTGGTGCTGGTGTTGGTGCTGGTTCCTGGTCCTGCGGTGCTGTCGTCGACCAGAGGACCAAAGAACGTGGCACTGTCGCCCAACGCCAGCGCGGCCCATGCTTCGGCATCGTCAACCGCCGCTGGTTGCTGTTGCTCATCCGACGTTGCCGGCGTCGGAGGAGATGGCCGGTCGCCGTCGGCAGGACTGCGCCGTGGCCGTTTCGGCGGCCGTCCTGGCTGCCCGGCAGCGCCCGTGACGCAGGGTGAGCCCAGGTAGCTGCAACGGGCGCAGGATGCCATGCTGTCTTGTGGGCGCAGGCAGCGCACGCGCTTGGCCCGGCACGGGTCGCAGGCGGACCGCTTGAGTGGCTTCGCTGATGCTGACATGGGACATGTGGATGTCATGATTTTGTGATGTATTGTTTGCTGCCAGAATTGTTTGTACAAAGTGACGTGCGACGTGTGCTGTAATTACTGCCTACTATAATTATGTAAACGGCGCCAAAACTCTCCGAGGAGGTTTTCTTTTCCTCGGAGGGTATCCTGCCGGCCAATCAGCAGCCACCATTTGACCGCGCCCGGACACCTTCTGCCTGTTGGACATCCTTTGACACCCGTTCCTCCTTCGTCTCAACCATGCCAAAGTCTGTGTCGTTCTGCTCGCGCAGCGGCACGTGCTTCATGGCTGCTGTTGCCAGCAGTCCGAGGCCGCCAAATGCAATGGCGACCTGCCACGACCGCTGCAGCGCGGCGCTTTGGACGGTGATGACCTGTGCACGCGTCTCGGGGGACAGTGTGTCGAGAAATCGGACGTCGGCCGCCCCATATGCCCCGCCGGATTGGAAGACGGAGGCCACCGCTTGATCTGTGATGATGGCGGCTGCCAGCTGCGCCGCCCGGTTGGTGTAGATGGCGCCGGCAATGGCGACGCCCCACAGAATGCCGAAGCTGCGCATCACGCCCCAGGTCGCCGTGGCCAGCGCCGTGTCCTTGTCCGTCAGCGGCGCCAGCAGCGCGGGCAGCAGGGCGGCCATGCCGACGCCGGCGCCAAAGCTCTCGAGCACTTGGAAGCCGACCCAGGCGGCCGTGCTGGACGCGGCGTCGAGCAGCGAGAACAGGCCGAAGCCGACGGCGACGAGCGCAAAGCAGACGGCCAGGATGGGTCTGTAGCGTCCCAACCGGGACAGCAGGAGGCCGCCGAGGATGGCGCCCGGGAGAAGCGCCAGAATGGTGGGCAGCAGCGCAATGCCCGCGCGGTAGGCATCCAAGGCGAGCACGCCCTGGAAGTAGACGGGCAGAAAATAGAGCGCCCACATGGTGACCAGGCCGTGCGCAAAGGTGAGCAGAAACACAATGGCGGTCGTGCGGAGGCGGAAGAGGCGGAGCGGCACCATGGGGTGCGGCGCCAGGCGCGCCTGTCCTTCCAGCGCCAGAAAGACGCCCAGCGTGGCCAGGCCGACGAGCAGCGGCACAAGCACGCGATACGACGACCACGGGTAGGCGCCGCCGGCCCAGCCTAGAGCAAGGAGGACGGGGACCGTGCCGCCGACAAAGAGCACGCTGCCCAGCCAGTCGAGGCTCGCCAGCTTCGTGGCCACGGTCTGCGAGCGGTCGTACTGGACGCGCAGCACCGCCGCCAGCAGCACCACGGCCACGCCGCCCGTCGGCAGCGCCATATAAAAGGCCCAGCGCCAGGTGCTGTACCGCACCAGCAGCCCGCCAAACAGGGGGCCCAGCGCGGCACCCAGGCCGACCATGCTGAGCACGGCGCCCATGTACGCGCCCCGCTGGCGCAGGGGCACCAGATCGCACACGACAATCTCGCAGAGCACGCCAATGCCGGCGCCGCCGATGCCCTGGACGGCACGGCCGGCGACCAGGGCCGTCATGGACGTGGCGCGCCCGCAGACGGCACTGCCGGCCATGAAGAGCACGCCGGACGTGATCAGCGGCCAGCGGCGGCCAAACACGTTGGCCAGTTGCCCGAACATGGGCAGCAGCGAAGTCCTGGCGCGGCGCGTGTACGTTAGCGTGCTGGCGGCAGACTGCGTGGCATGGAAACGAATGATAACGCTGACGCTGCCTCACATGCTCAAAAAGTAGGCATTCGACACCCAGATGTAGTTGTCGCCGCCGCCGAGATCCGCCACAATCGACGGCAGAACGGTCGACGTGACCGTGGCTTCCAGGGATGTGAGAAGGCTGATGAACGACAGGGCCGCGAGAATCGCCCAGAACCGTGGCCCCGGCTTGAAGGTCGGGAGGCTCCTTGCCGGTTCCTCTTGTGTGGAGTCCATGGGAGTCGTTGGCGGCACCGAAGACAGTCGGAGGTCGAGATTGTGTCAGGCGCGTCCAACAAAGCATGCCAGGAAATTGGACTCTATTTACATATATATATACGGGTATGGGTGTTTGTGGTTATCTATGGTGTACAGGTTGCGGGAGTTGCATATTTGCCTTTGTTTCTCTTGTAGGCCAGCTCCGCGGAGGGTTTGCGTGGTGGATATCTGACATAAACCAGCTCGGCCGCGCATGCTTTAGTAGCTGCCCCTTTGTCTTGTCCGTTTTCATAATCATCCCGTTCTTCATCACGCCGTCTCAAACTACCAGCGCAGCGTTCTATGTGACATTCGATGTGTACTTGCCCCGGGCTCGGATCTGTGGCCCATATTTGGCAAAGACAAAGGGAATAGGAATATTGAGCACGGCAAAACAGCCGAGGACACTACACGCCCAGCCGTTGCCCAGTCGCTCGTACCACGGACGCACCAGCAAGGGCAGAGCGGCCGCAAACACGCTCCGTGCAAACGTGTTGGCCGCCATGGCACTCGCGCCCCAGCGGTGGAAGGTGTCTACGATGTAGTTGACGGCGCTCGTGAAGATGGTGTAAAAGGCGAAGCCCATCATGGCGACGCCTACGGTGGGGACGATCCAGTGCACGCTGGGGGTGGACGCCCAGCCCATCAGAAACAGGCCGCCGGCCAGCACAAACGACGCAAGCTTCATGGGCGGCAGCCGCGCCTCGGGCACCGCCCGGCCGCCGTTGGCCGCGAGCATGCGGTTGTAGTGCTGCTGGCTGTGCCAGCTGAGGGCGGCGCCGCCGACAATCCCCACCAGCACGGCCAGAAAGGGCAGCGCGCCCGCGAGGCTGTTCCAGCCGCGGGTGTCCTGGAAAAGGATGGGAAAGGACGCCAGGCTGGCATAGAAGACGCCGTAGATGAAGGACGCGTAGATGGAGACGGTCAGGCAAATGGGCGTGACGAGCATCTGCAGCGGCCGCAGACCGAACTGGACCGCCAGCTCTTTGAAGACAATGTCCTTTTCCTCCCACTCCGCATGCAGGGCCCAGTTGCCCGTGGCCTTGCGGAGCGCACGGGCCTTTCGGGTGAGCAGCACAGGACTATACGTCTCGTCGATGAACAGGAGGCCAAGAACGAGGATGGTACCCTGGAGTAGGGCGGTGATCTGAAACAAGAAACACGGCAAAGGATTCGAGCTTTCGGTCAGAGGGGTATCCGCTGCCTTTTCTGGTGGGTCGTGACAAACTTACGTATTCTGTCCACCGCCAGCTCGCGCCGCATAAAACAATGGCGCCGCCAACCACGGGCGCCAGGTTCTGCACGATGTTAGTCAGGCTTACTATAAAGCGACCCTTGGATCCCAACATGGCCTGGAACGCACCGGGCCCCCGCACACCAATAGCATGTAGCCCACGATGGCGTTGCCGCGCTGCGACGCCCCCCACAAGTCCACCATCACGCCGCCCATGCAGGTGATCGGCGCCGTCCCCAGAAAGCCCGTGAAGAAGCGAGTCAGCAGCACCGTCTGGATGTCCTTGGCCGTGGCCGTGCCGACGGACATGACGGTCGACACGGCGTACGGCAGCAGGACGGCCCATTTGCGGCCGTAGATTTCCGACAGCGGCGCCCACAAGAACGGCCCAAAGCCCCAGCCGAGAAGCAAGAGGCTCGTGCCGAGCAGCGCCACCTCGGACGAGACGGCAAACTGCTCGGCCACCTTTTCGTTGGCGGGGGCATATCTGCCAGTCAAGTTAGTGGCTTGCTCTTGGTTTCCCTTGGCTGTCGTGGGCGACATACGCTGTACTAGCCCAGACGGAGCCGAAGCTCGCCATGCTGTAGAGGAGACTTGTATAGACGCGTTTTGAAAACGGCCAGTTGCGCGGGTTGTACCTGTCGTCCGGGCCGTCAAAGGACACAATCATGGAGGCTGTCGACAATGCGACGCTGCCTGGCTCGACGTCTGTCGATTCATTTTTCGTGGGTGTTGTTGTTGTTGTTGTTGTATTTGTCGCTGCCGTTGTTTGGTCCATTTTCGGGTAATATCAGCGGTTTTCCTGGCAAGCAAATTCACGGCACGCAAAATCGTGCTCGAAAATAAGGTGTGGCTGCTGTTGGCACCGTGAATCTGGATGGTGCAAACGCACGACTTATATTCGACATCAATTGCGTCGCAATCCGACTTGCTACAGATCGTCGTGCGTTATGGCGAGATGCCAAACCAAGGGCGTGGCCCGAACGGGACCATCCATTACCGCTTGTCCCTGTTTGTAATTACCTGTCTGATTAGGCATAGCTGCGGTCCCTGTCATCGGCCGGTTGACTCAACCGCCGCTGCGAAATGGAAACCAGCACCCCACAGTTCCCACACTTGAGCAACGATATTGTTCGAAATAGTGATGATCCACTGATTACACCAGCTGTGGCTCACAGCTGTCGACCTTGAAGAGTAGCTCGAGTGGCCAGTGCATCGTATATATCATGCCAAGCCCGTCAAGCCACACTGGCCAACGTCAACGAAGATCAAGACAAGGATCTATGCACTCCTTACACATCGATGATCCTAGATAATGCTTCACCCCGCCGTCCACATGCCCTCCACAGTCCTGCCGAAGAAGCTGGCGCCCGGCGCAACCATTGCGTTCGTCTCGCCGTCGGCCCGGCTCAACCAGACACAGCTCGCCGTCATGGCCCGGGCCACAGCACTCCTCACCGGCCGCGGCTACCACGTCCGCGAGCTGTTCACGCCGGATACGGGCATCCAGTCGTCCATTGACCTCCGACTGGCCGAGCTGCGCACCGCCTTCACCGACCCGGCCATCGACGCCGTTGTCTGCACCATTGGCGGGTCGACCTTTACCGAACTGCTGCCTGCCCTCATCGCCGACACGGACCTGCATGCCGCCATCCGCGCCAACCCAAAAGTCGTCGTCGGCTACTCGGACATTACGGGCTTGCATTGGTTCCTGCACGCGCTCACGGGCCTGCGCTCCTTTTACGGCCCGGGCGCCATCCCGGAGCTCGGCGAGGCCAACAACATCGACGACAACGATACGCCGCGGCGCTTTTGCGCTGAGCACCTCTTCCGCGCCATCACAGACCCCACGCCCATTGGCGATGTCGCCCGCTCGCCTACCTACGCGCCCGCCGTGCATCCGTTCTGGTCCGACCCGGCCTCGACCGAGCCGCCCCAACTGGCCCCCACGACCGGCTGGACCTGGATCCGCCCAGGCCGCGCACAGGGCCGCCTCTTCGGCGGCTGCGTGACTGTCATGGCACGCCTCGGCGGTGTCCCGGCCGTCGTGCCCGACTGGACGGGCCGCATCGTCTTTGTCGAGACACAGGTGGCAGACGACGTGGTGTCGGGTCTCCCCCTCAACCGCGTCCGTGCCGGTCTGGCCGATCTGGTTGCCCAGGGCGTCTTTGACGCGGCCGCCGGTGTGGTTGTCGGCCGGCCCTTTGGCTACGACACGGATGAGCAGCGCGCCTCCTACATTGATGTCCTCCGCGGCCATCTGTGCGAGGGCCGCTTTGCCGACGCGACGTTCCCGATTCTGTTCAACGTCGACTTCGGCCACACCGTGCCCATGGTCACCTTGCCCTACGACGCCTTGGCCGAGCTGGACTCGGCCAAGGACCGCTTTGCTATTTTGGAGTCGGCGGTTCGTTGATCCTCGTTGGATAGTGTATTAAATAAAAACCTATATTGCTACCCATCCATGTCCGTAAGCTCGTGTCATAATATGATCCTCATGGAAGCCAATTTGAGGACATGATGATGCACTTGTGTCGAAAGTGTCAGTCAAGTGGCCTCCGTACCGATGCTGCCTCGCTCGGCACCGAAATCTGCTGCGAGTCCGGGAAGCCCCCACGAGATACAAGTCATTGCATATAGGCCCAGGCTGCAGAAGTATTAAAACCATCAGGATCCAAATACTCTCAACGTGAAAGCCATCGTGACATGTGGCTGACGGCCCTGCTCACCACCTCGTTCGACGCAGGATAGCTAGGATTCAGCCTGTGATTGGAAGGAAGCGCGTTTGGTGCTTGCTCATAACGATTGGAGGTTGTCGTATCGTTCAGTCGTTGCTTAGCCGCCGCCATGTATTGCTCCCCAAACAGGCACTATATATTTAGTATGCCTGCATCTATAGACCCGATCGCGGGCCCGCCAAGTCGCACGCTGTAGGCATCTGCCGGCAGCTTTAGCCAGTAGGAAGTCGGCGGACAGGCGCCGAGATCACCGCGCGTGCGGGTCGAAACCAGGTCTAGGCGCGTCGGAAACGTATGTTGCAGGGAACGGGCAGTACAAGAGACGATCCGATGGATGGTTCACATGGACGTGACGCTGACAGCGCGTGCCAGATGCGCCGTGTCCGAGAAAGCCTTTTAATCTGTGCACCAGCTGCATGCATCCCACATGGCACACGTTCGATGCATATGTGCCTTCCTCAGCCTATGCTGGTCTGAAGATCCTCTGGAAGCGGATGTCCATAGGGCAAATTGCATGCAATAACGAGTGGAGAGTCATGATCCTTCGGGGACAGAGTCATGCTCGGCCTTGCCGGTCAATATGCGACAGCCATATTATGTCTCAATCCTCTTTTTATCAACACGATCCTACCGGGATAGCAGGACTTTATCTGATGGATTCAAATACAGTAGGCCGTGGCTGGGCGCGAGAGCACGGATAATGACCATTGTTTCCAAAACACACTCTAAACTCTCCGAGTAGCTTCTATTCAGTTTGACGAGAATATGAGGGGCCGGCTTGCAACACGCCGTTTACACATTGTCAGCCAATATCGAGGCTACTATTTTTGTAGGCAGTGCCACACTTTCCGGTCATCTTCATCACTCGATCCTCGTTCCTGTTCTGCTTGTTTTGCATCCTTCATGATCTTGGCGGCGCTTGTGGCCCATCGTCGCGTATGCCATCTCTGTAGCTATCACCATGACCGATTCGTGGCTCATGAATCTGGTGGTCGACGGAGATGCTCATTTTCTCAAGTCTCGCGACGTTTTCTCAAGTCTCTGATACGCACAAAAAGTATAAATATGGCCGTCGTCTCTCCTTCACGAGTAAAATATATCTCTCGTCTTTCCATCCTCAGACTCCCACTTGCACTCCCAGGCACCTCTGCAAACAAGACTCCAACCCCCCACAGAACTCTTATAAAAAGCCCAGCTCCAGACCCTCGTCAGCTCCCGCTCGACCGAATCCGCAAACATGTTCTACAGCGTCTTGTTCGCCATGCTTTTGAGCTCCATCCGCGCGGTGGAGGGCACGCCCACCTACCAGGAGGAGTACCGCGTCGCCAGCTACGTGCCCAAGTACTACAACTCGTGGCGCGGCATCCAGGTCATTGCCCCCGACACGCCCTACGTGGCGGCCTCGGGCCCCGACAGCCTCTACTTCATCGACACCCGCTTCGACAACGACACGGCTGCCCACATCAAGGAGCAGATCGAGTGGGCCATGCTCCCCAACCCGGACGAGCACTTCTTCATCGACGAGGAAGCCGCCACCGCCTTTGTGCGCAACTCCGCCACCAAGGAGGTCGTTTTTACCTTCGACCCGCCCTTTGCGCGCGTCTTCTTTGCCCGCTTCATGAACAAGCAGAACCCCAGCCTGCAGCTGCCCGAGCACGAGGACGGCGGCGAGTGGGTCGTCAAGTACAACCTCGGCGGCAACCTGTTCAAGGAGCGCAGCATCCAGGCCTGCTCCGACCACGGCTGCAACAGCGCCTCCGACTGCACGCCGCACAACTGCGACTCGTGCCACCAGGCCCGCGTCGACAACGAGTGCGAGCACCCGACCGTCAACGCCGTCGGCTCCTGCAAGAAGACCAACAAGAAGAAGTGCCCCAAGACCTTTGACGACCCGGCCCGCGCGTCGGGCGAGACGGACGCCGCCTACTACGCCCGCCTCGATGCCCTGCACTGGGGCGCTAAGGAGTAAGAGGACCCATCCCAGCTCGGACGACCCTAACGAAAGCCGTCTCTCGTAGAATCTGCAACGTCAACCCCACGCAGAGTCTCGACCGGGATCCAGCAGAATACAAGGTCAAAAGAGGGGCGACGCTCTCCAGCTCTTGCCAGTGCCTCGACGCCAGAGTGGAAGACGGAGACGGGGTGGTGATGGGGCAACCCATTGGTGGGATGGTTTGAGTGCTATCAACTAGCAAAAGATTCTTTACTTTACCAAATCAAATTGTTTCAACACATAAAACCACATAAGCAACAACTTCAACCGGAATACTATAGACAAAATACTACTTTATTCTTCGAAAGCGGCATTGCGACCTGCGAGCTGGCTGTATCGTAATTTAATTAACGTAGAAGCATTGGCAAAAGCTTGTTCTGACATGGATGGTAACATTTGCTGCTGTCAATGGAAAGGATTTACCCGTGCCGCAGAATGGATGACGGCTAGGAAATACGACAGCGGGACGTGTGCCGTTCACGACTCGAACAGTTGCCTGGGCGTCGAGCGGAAGCGCCTTGTAGTGCGAACACGGTGAGTTAGCCTTATGATGACTCTTGGACTGGCCGGATGCAGTGACCGTCTTGACTGCCCTCATGGCCCTCGTCGGCCAGAACGGTCAGACGCTGTCGATCTGCCCGACGCTGTTCGGAGGCATCTGTGGCAGTTTTGTCGGACATGGGCGCTTCGCAGGGCCTCTACACCTCCATGCGCGCCGTCACCGGCCCCATCATCCTCGCCATCCATGTCTCCGTGCATTCGTCCCGGCTGCCCGTCTTCGTCGACCGTGACATCACGGCGGCCGCCGCGTCAACGGACCTGCCCGCCAGCAGCCTGCCAGAGCCCTTCGCGGCGCTGCCCGGCATCACGGCAGCATCTTCGAGTAGAACACAGACCAGCTTGTCTTATTTCAGGGATACCAAAGTGGAAGTCTTTCGTTTACTGCCCCATTTTCGTGGTTATGTAAGAACTCACGACTCGCTCCTTCCGGATCGTCGTCTCTGCTACTTTGGGAAAGAGCCTCCCGTTTACCAAAAGTCGTAGTTTGGGAAAGAGGCACAATGGCCATCGGGTTGATCCTTCCCGTTTTGTTGTCCTTCCATCACGTCGAGTGGCGTCCATCGAGGCAACACAGATAAACAATGGAGACGACGAAAAGGGGGCCGCGTCTTTTTTGTCCATCTTCATCGCCTCCCTCCAGGCCATATCCATACCACCCACAACCGAATCGCCGATCGTGCAGTCTTGGAAAGCCTAATGGCCTGAGACACAGAGTCGTTTCTTGGAGAATTGGACGTTTACTATTGTTTACTTTAGCATTGACTTTTCCCGCATTTCTTTATTTTCTTTTGTTTTTCTCTGCCTTTGGGATCGCTTTGTTTTTCTTTCCATCGTCCTGTTGAACCTACATCACTGTCAACCACATCATCCGTCCCACCCGAAATTCAAATCGCCAGCATGATGCAGCCTGTTGAGCCAGACAGTGCATATGCATCTCCTGGCTACGTCCGTCGATTTCGTTCCCCTCCTGCGGCAGATGAGGTCCGCGGCTGGGAACAGGTCTTCGTTGAGGGAGCCAGCGGCCGCCGCGGCTCATTGACACAGCAGAATTCACCAACCACACATGCTCCCGTCAGGATCCCAGAGATACAGTCGCCCGTGCTGGAGATGGCGGGAATAATGGACGGAGCACTCTCAGGGCCGGACAGCGATACCGTCAACACACTGGCTGCTTCCCTGATGATCTCGACTGCAGTCTCTCCTACTGTCAGCGCGTCGGAGACGCTCGTGGACGCCAGCGAGCACCGCTCTCGCACCCAGTACACCAGCCTCTACGACGACAAAAAGCAGTGGCTCAAGGCCAAGACGGCTGTCTACGTCGGGAATCTGGCAGCCCGTGCCCACACCCTCCGCACCTACTACAAGGCCATCATCTGGTCTCTGCTGCTGATGTTGCCGGTGATCTTGGTCGGCTACGCCCAGAACCTTGCCGTCTCGCTGCTGGCTCAGCCCCAGTTTGAAGAACGGTTCTCGGGTGACGAGGACGACTTTGGAGCCGCCTGGATGCTGGCCGTGCAGATGTGTTCTGTGGGCAGCTCCATGCTCGGCGGCCTGTTGGTTGGCTAGCTGTCGTCACAGTTTTCCGTCCGCCACATTTTGGCCACGTCGCTCATGCTCTTCCTCGGCTGCACCTTCATCAACTTCTGGGCACCGTCCATGGCCGTCATTTTGGCCGGCACGCTGCTTCAGGGCCTCTGCTCTGGAGGCTTCGGAACGCTGGCCAGCACATACATCTCCGACGTGTGCACGCCGACCATCAGCAACGTGCTGACCGGCATGATCAGCTGCTGCTGGATCGTCGGTCAGCTGACCTCGTACGGCGTCCTGTGGCTCATGGTAGACGTCGAGGGCGCCGGCGCATACCGCATTCCCATGGCGCTCCAATGGGTCATTCCCGTGCCCATTGCCATTGCCTGTCTCGCGGCTCCGTCGTCTCCATGGTGGCATGTCCGTCGCGGCAACACGGCGGATGCCTTGCACGCACTGGAGCGCCTCACATGCTCGCCCGATCGACGGCGGTCCCGCTTTGGCATCCATCCCACCGACCCGGCCGTCCTTCGGCTGGCCGAGATCCAGGCCGTGGTGGCCCTGGAGACGGCACAGCTGACAGACAAGATTGAGTTCCGTGAATGCTTTCGCAAGTCAAACCGGCGGCGCACAGAGATTGCCGTCATGGTCAATGTTGGACAGATCGTCGTCGGTTTCGCCATTGCCAGTCAGCTTGTCAACTTCATGCGCCTGGCCGGCCTCAAGAGCGACGATTCCATCAAGATGGCATTCTGTAAGACCCGTCCCACCCCCGCCGGAGTCGTACTTTTGCGTTGGACATTTCACCCCTCTAACAGAACAGTCAATGCCATCATCCTGCTTTTGGGCAGCATGTGCTACTTTATCTTCTACACCCGCCTGTCGACGCGGACAATGTATTTGGGCGGCTTGGTCTGCATATGGCCGGTCCTGTCCATGATTGGGATACTGGATATCCTGAAACGCCGCTCCGTGATCAAATACCAAGGAGGCTCCTAGGGACAAGCCGTTCTTCTCTTTGGTTGGTCGTTTCTCTACGGCGCGACCGTCGGTCCGTCCACCAACACAATTGTCTGCGACGTGAGCTCGGCCGCGCTGCGCACCAAGACCCTCTCGTTGTCGCGAATGGCCAACGACATGGTCAGCCTGATGCAATCAGCCGCCGGGCCCTACATGCTGGGTCATGACAAGGGCAACCTCCAGGGCCTAACAGCGTTTCCAGCCGTGGGCCTCATCTCCATTTGGATCATCTGGGCCAGCGTGCGTCTGCCCGAAATGAAGAACATTCCCCAGGCTGTGGCAGACGTTCTGTTTGCCCGCCGCATTCCGGCTCGCCGATTCCAGCGTGAGGCCAATCGGTTGCAGGTCATGGACGGTCAAGTCGTGGACGGCCAGGTGGACGCCGTAATGGGCGTGGGCGGCCCAGGCGTTGTGGTCGAGGTGGCAAACGACGCTGCTCTTGTGGTGTAGACGGAGCTGTTCCGCTTTGACGGTTTTGATGGTTGGATGTTTTGATGTTTTGATTGTTTGCGTTTTGTGGCTGATCTGGTCGATATCATTATTACCACAGCATGTTTAAGATGCATAAATGTACAGTTTGGCATTGTGGGCTAGCTGACAGCGGAGATGTAATCCGAACGTCCAGTGCTCACGCGCTTTTCCGCGCAGTGTCTATTCGGTACAGATTTCTTCTCTTTTTTGCACTATTACAACTTCATCTCGTTCACCGGCAAAAAATGTCTTCTTCTCAGTTTCCTTTTTCTGTTCTTACGCCCTAGTCCAATGTCGATTCCTACCTCCGTCGTTGAAGCAGATGTGACACGAGTCATGCATTTCTGTCGTAACAGCATTTCAATGGTGCGGGTGTCTCTTGGCCGTTTATTTTGCGATGCCATATGCTCTTCTTTTTTCCCCAGCCCTTATATTGGTTTTCAACTTTGAATTTGATCAATTATTTTTGGCTTTTCCCCATTTTCCACTTCCCCCGTTATTCCTTCTTTGGCTCTTTCTACTTTGTTGGAGCAGTGCCATGCAGTGTTTCGCCTGTCTGTCCTTGCTCAGACGCCGGAGAGATACAGGAGGCGTCGATCTCGCAAATCCGTAACACTGAATTACCCTTCCCGCTCACAACATGGTGCAGACGAAAGGGAGAAAGTTCAGCCGGTTTGCGGACGTCAGACTGATGGTATTCTCACTATTGAGCGAAAAAGGAGACTGCTGTCGTTGTCTTTGACAAGTAAAATCTTGATTACCCATGCATCTTTCAGCGAGTTACGGTCGGCCGCCTCGCTCCTTGTTGCTGACATTATGCCTGCCAGTCCATTTTGAGATGATCGTCTCGCCGTCTTTATTTTCCACTGACGGTATTTATCGCTTTTTTTGGTTTTCTCTTTCTACTCCCCTTTCCCACGGCTCTGCATATGCACCTTTTCTCCCTCCTTGGCATTGCCGTTGTGCAGGCGCAGTCACTCACGCTACAGGCGCCGGTTGCTGCGATCGACAGCGCCGGCCATCATCCCCATCATCCCCAACCTCAAAACGGGCACACCAGGTCGTCGTGCTGGACATCGTCTTGGCACGCGTCGGCTATTCGTGGACGGCTGCCGCCCAAGACGACGAGAAATGCTGTGCTTCCAGACGGCGTCACCGGCTGGCATCCGCGCAAGCTCGACTATCGCGCGTTGGCGGTGGTTGCTGAGCTGCAGCCAGGCCGTTTGCTTCTCGTGACACATTCAGACTTTGAGACGGACGAGGACGACACAGCCACAGCATGGCCCGTCCTGGCCAAAATGGTCGACACAGACAGCTCGGTCGGCGGCAGAGACGCCCTGCTGCGTGATCTTGCGCGGGAGGTGGCCATCTACCAGCGCCTCGACGGTACGGGAATCACACCAGCGTTTCTTGGGCATGTCGTCGACGACACCGGTCGCGCCGCTGGCTTTCTCGTCGAGTACGCTCCCCAGGACCCCGAGGCACGCCGCAACCCAGACAGGATGCGCGCCTGCCTGGACGTTCTCCGCAGGCTGCATGGACACAACATTGCCCACAACGACGCCCACGACGGGAACTGTCTTCTGCAGGGCCACGGCGACGGCAGGACAACGGCTCTCCTAGTCGATTTTGAGCTGGCTGAGGAGGCGGCGTCGGAGGCGGCCAAGGCCCGCGATGTCAGCGTCATGGACCGCTGCATCCGGGGCATCGCATATACAGCAGGGCAGAAAGACAGGCGGCAGAATTGGCCTTCCCATGTACGCTATTGAATTTTCAGAATGACTTCCAGTGCCTTATCTTGTGGCTCGCTTTTAAAACATCCGTCTGTAAGTCGCCATCTCGAGCTATCACTTAAAGCTCATAAATGTTCGATGCAGCGCCAAAAACGTCCGGTGAGCGTTCCACGACCAGCAAGAACACGCGACAGCCCACTTCTGTCGCATTGTGAGCAAGATTTGCCGACGAGGTCGACGCTGCAGCGCATCATCGCTGCTGCCGGTCTTCCGCCTTGGCTTGACTTTCAAGCGGCACCTGAAACGAGTCCGGTGTTTGTGTTGGTTTGTGTTGGTTTGCGGTACGCAGTTTTTCCAAGGGGCGGTCTTTTTCATGGCTTTTTTCGTCCTTTTGTGTTCTGGCAGCGACAACAGGGGGTGGTTTGCGGCGGATCGACAGATCTGAGGCAGATGCTGCGCGGCGCCCAAAATGCACGGCCCCCTCTGCCGCTCCAAAGCGCGCCCCAATCGTGCAGCAAAAACAAAGCCCAAAACAAGCGAAGTCAAGAGTCAAATAAAAAGTCCCATCAACCGGACGGAAAGCAGATCTGCTGCACATAGGCTGTTTGAGGCTTGGCAAGACCTCCTGTCTTTGGGCCTCCTTGCTACGCCGCATTTTCCGCATGCCACCCACCGCAGAGACCGCGTCAGACGCCATGCGAGTCATGACATGGGCTTGCCGGCGTCGCGCACCCGCGCCCCTGCAAACCCGTATTTCCTGGGACAAGACAAGCTGTCAGAAGACAACGGACGACACCAGACGAAACAGGCGGCAAGACACTGGCCAGGGCGCACAGTACGCAGGGATGGATATCAGGATTTTTCGGATTTCAGGCTGGGCGATCGAACACAACAATGAGCTTGCTTGTGGCTCCGCGGGGATGCTCTTGATGCTCTTGATGCTCTTGATGCTCTTGATGCGTCTCTCGTCTCCTGTTTTCAGCAATGTCACATAACGACCATGCAGAACGTGGTGCAGCCCGCCATGGAATGATGTCCTAAGAACCGCCTCAGATAAATTACGCGTCGTGGCAACCACCGAACAATAAAACGTAGATTCACAGAATGTATATATAAAGAGCCTCTCCTCTACCCGCCTCCGATCCTCTTGTTTTCCTGTTCTGCTCATCACAAATCATACTCGGTCTTTTCCTCTGCTTTATATTCTGCCTTCGTTTCTTCTTCTGTCTGCGACAGTTTTCTCGACCCGGCGTCGTCTATTTTACTTGTACTTTACCAGTCTCTTTTCTTTTCGTTTCGAACGATTCTTTTTCAAGCCGTCAATATGGTTCGCATCACTTTCGCTGCTGCTCTGGCTTGTACGTATTTTGGCCCTTCTTCTGCCGTTGTCCCCCTTCCCCGCATCAGTTCCTCCTTTCGGTTGTTTGGACAATACTAACACGGCTGCTTCGCAGTCGCCGTCTCTGCCATGGCCCTCGCCCCCAACAACTCCGGCGCGGCCGATGTCGGCAACGGCAAGGGTCAGCAGTTCACCACGGGCGGCTGCGTCGCCAACGCCGACTGCCGCAGCGCCTGCTGCGCCGAGATCAGCGGCAGCGGCCTCGGCATCTGCTCGGCCGAGGGCGCCCAGTTCCAGAACGGCAAGCTCGGCTGCGGCTTCACCGACCCCAACTCGGCGGCCACCATTGCGGCGGCCAAGGCCCAGGTTGCCAAGCAGGGCTTTTAAACACGTCCGCTGCCTTGTGTCTGTGCCCCGTCCCTAGTCCGGCCATCCAACGTCTCCCAACATCATAACATACCATTTGTTCGTTGTTCGCAATGCATATGTCCGCCTAGCGTTTGCTTTGCTTTTTTTAGAGAGAAAAAAAATTCAACCAACACAACAAGAGCCTTGTTGACTCCTAATTACCCTCGCCTGCGAATGTTCCCGTCCGCTCGTTGTCCAAATACGTGACCGTGATGTGTGATGTGTTTTCTCGTCTCCGTACGGTACATACGCATCCTATGAGTTGTACGGAGTACGTCCTCGGCGTGATGAAATACAAGGTGTTTTTGTGTATGACGCATAATATTGAATTATTTTAATTATTTCATGTTTACTTCACAATTAATTAAGCTTAATTTTTACACATCTTAAAGCCAAATACAACATATTAAACTATTCCAACAATGACAACCACCAACAAAAGCTTTAAAAAACTTCCGGCAGGGACGTCCACCACCACTGCTTTCAAAACAACACATTGTGTCATAGTGTGACTGACATACCGTCCATGTTGTGAGAATTGCAACAGTTTGTTGGACGTTGGAGTTAAATAGTACCCGGTAATACGGATATATCGCTGAATTTCAGGGACTTACAGCGGACTCAGACCTAACGATTTTGCCTGGAGTGTCGTTCAGTACAGTTTTGTAAGTCAACAAATATCACGACGACGGGAAATATTTCGAAACAGAAACAGGCAACGAAAGACATCATTGGCCGTTTGTTTCTCGTCCTTCTTCAATTGCATATTATTTACTCGACGACGTGGGGGTTTGGTGCCTCCGGAACGGCGCCCTGCAGACAACGCTTATCGCACAGCACGCCATCGGCGGCCGCTATGAGGTGGACCTGCGGAAATAGCCGCTGCAGCCGAGGCGAGGCGCTGGCGGAGCAGGCACGGTCTGCTTTGAAATGCAAATTGGGCGAGGAAGCTCACTCCGGTCGGGAGTCGTTTTCTCGCCCGCAACAAGACTTTTCTGCTGCTGGCGCTTTGATCAAAGTGTTTTTTGTGTTTGCAGTCACGTTTCTCTTCGCACATCCTTATCGAACCAACCATGACACAACAGAGCGTTCAGGCGCCGGCGCGCGTCGACGAAGAAACGCCGTTGCTCGGCCCCGAAACCGGCGACGGCGCGATACGACCCGATGTTAATGGCAGCAGCAGCGACGACGACAGCCCGGCCAAGGACGACGATGTCGTCGGCAGCTCAGAAGACGCGCCACGCCGGCCCACCAGCTGGTACGTGGTGCGCGCGGTCTGGACGCTGCTGGCGGCGCTGGTCCTGTTTGTCTTCATCAAGGGCTGGATCGACGCCGGCGGCGACGTCGACTTTGACCTCAAGGACGCGCTCAAAAAGGCACTGGGAAGCGGCGTCAGCGGCGCGGCGGCCATGGTGCTGCAGGTGCTGCTGCTGATGCCGCTGCGGACGATCATGAACTACCAGTACCGCTTTGGGCACTCGTTTAGCGAGGCCACGGCCATTCTGTACCGCGAGCGCGGCGTCGGCCGCTACTACGACGGCCTGGGGGCGGCGCTCGTGCAGGGCCCCATCTCGCGCTTCGGCGACACGGCCGCCAACGCCGGCATCCTGGCGCTGCTGCACTCCAACTCGTACCTCAAGGACCTGCCCTCGCTGGTCCAGACCGTCTTTGTGTCGCTGTGCGCCGCCGCCTTTCGCATTGTCCTCACGCCCATCGACACGGTCAAGACCACCCTCCAGGCGCAGGGCCCGCGCGGCACCGCCCTCTTGCGCCAGCGCATCAAGACCAACGGCCTCGGCAGCCTCTGGTGGGGTGCGCTGGCGACGGCCGCGGCCACGTTTGCCGGCAACTACCCGTGGTTCGCCACGTACAACCTGCTGACCGCCTGGATCCCCGAGCCCGCGCGGCACCCGCTGGCCGTCTGGCTGCTGCGGCTGGCCGTCATCGGCTTTGTGGCCTCGGCCGTGTCCGACACTGTGTCCAACTCGCTGCGCGTCGTCAAGACGTACCGCCAGGTCAACGACACCAAGGTGTCGTACCTGGAGGCGGCGGCGCTGGTGGTGCAGGCGGACGGGCTGATCGGCCTGTTTGGCCGCGGGCTCAAGACGCGCATTCTCTGCAACGGTCTGCAGGGCCTCTTGTTTTCCATTCTGTGGAAGCTGTTTTTGGACCTGTAAGTGGAGGGACGAGGCAGCTCGTCCTCGTGATGATCGTTTTGCTAACCACCCGTTTCGTCATTTATCATTCTTTGCGCATCACTCCTACTAACACTCTCATAGGTGGGACAAGAAGACTGGGTTGTAGGATCCGTGACGATGCAGATCACGACTCGGGACCAAAAGAAAAAGACTTGGAAGACAGGGGGAGTGCACATCGCGTCCTGACACGCTGGTCTGAAGAGAGAGAAAGACATCAAGAGCAGCAAGATTGACACAAAGCAAGATAGAGCAAGACATGCAGCCCGTGCAGCCATGCTGGCGCGTGGCCGGAATGGCCGTGAAGGCGCACGTCGAAGTAAACTATCGTTTGGAAGCGAGACATGCGTAGAGGAGCGCCAAGAGGCTACGAGGGGTTGACGTAGTGCTGGGTCTGGACCTTGACAGGAGTTGGAAACCTCGCGTTTTGCGTTACGACATATGGCATACTGAATAGAAGAAAGCAAGACGGGTCATTGCTTTTTCCTTGTTCTATGACACATCGACCGTAGCGCTCTGCATTTGTAGGCACAATGCGACGGTGGTGTTCCGCGCGCCGGCGGACGGAACTGCAGCCGACATGCAACTCGACGGCTATGCGAAGCAAGGGGAATCCTATGCGAGGCCAATATGAGAGGCCAATATGCGAGGCTAAGATGTGAGGCTAAGGAAGCCAGGCAGTGATCTAGACTTGGGCTGGACCGGTTTCGCAGTGCGTGTGAGACAAGGCATGCAGTCTATCGAAAAGAAGTCTGTTGACAAGAGCCAGAACCAGAAAGAAAATGAAACAGAAAAGAACGAATAGCTCAACTGGGTACTTCATCCCTTGACGGGTGGACCGTTTGCTGTGGGGAGGGGCTTCCTATTGGAAGCAAGGTCGTAGTGAAAACGACTTGACAAAAGAAAGCAAATATGATAGAGCGAGAACGAATGAACACAAAAGGACGTAAAATAATGTAGAGACGCTTGTTGTAAGACGCAAAAAGAGGGTCGGCCATGATCGTGCAAAGTGCAGAGTGAGGTCGTACTGGCAAAGTGAGGGGATGTGAAGCAGGAGTCGAAGAGGAGAGGCCAGGCCAGGGGCTCTAGCTCTAGGGGAGCAGGAAGTCGCTGCCGGATATGCAGGCGGGAGGCGGCAGTGTCTTGTCCGGTACGGGCAGCCTCTTATTTTATTTTTTATTCTTTGTTTTATTTCTCTCTTCTCATGACTTCCTACATTTCTTTCGTTTCTTACTGTCGACCTCCCACGCAAGCAAGAAACTAAGAAAAGAAGTTGCTGATCACCCTTGCAGGGTGCAATTCGGCCACGATCCGAGGCGGAGACCCATGATCTGCGACCGTTGCACTGACTGGGGGGCAGCAAAAGCTGACAAGGAACAGGATGGCATTTGACACCGGCTTGACATAGGAAGTATATCAAAAGCGACGGTAGATATAGAAAGACATTGCCAAACATCCATCGTTTTTCGGAGAATACAAGGATAGGGATGCGGCAGCAAAGTTCAAGCAAGAAAAGGAGCCACAGACTAGAAGAAGACACAGCAGACAGAGTTGGAAATGGCACACAAGAACACACGTAGAAAGTCGATAAAATCACACAACGGAAACGCAACAAACATGGGTGGGTTGCTAGTTGGCAATCGACCCGTCGCTCTAAAGGAGGGCGCGCTGCCAACGAGGCCAGCTTGCTGCAAGGGATGTGGTCGTCTGAGACATTTGGTCTGAAGCCACTCTAGCTTTGCATAGCTTTCAAGAAGCTGTCGAGCTGTGGCACATATCATATATTCCACTTTGGGCAGTGGCAAGGACGACGTGCATGTCGTAGCCTGCATAGCGTGATGGATGCTGCTCGCTGGTTCGCTGGTTCGCTGTTCGTTTTTGTGTCTCCTTCGTCACCTGGTCGGCTGTCATTTTTTGTTTTCGCCGCGTCGACTCAATACGACGCAAGAAATTGTGACAGGGTCGCACCCGTGCAGCGGTAGCGCTGATCTTCCGCCCGGATGGGCCATTGTTTTCTTATTCGGATGTGGAGTAGCATTGGGCAAGAAAGGACACTGCAGGGTTGCGACGTATCAGTACAGAGTAATTCCGTCTTTCGGTCCGCAAATCGTGAATATGCGGCCAAGGAACTACGATGTATGAATGAGGTCGCCGAGTACATTCTGATGGCAGACAGATTTGGAGACAATTTGCCCAATTCAAATCAAGTCCCGACGCATACAAAGTCCGGCAACGGAGTAACCTCCTGAAAAAAAGAAAAGAAAAAATCCTTTCGTACGAGGATCCGTGCAATGACACGGCAAAAACGAATTAAGTGATCATGAATATGACTGACTTGAGGGACTCGAAAAGCGTGGGCGGCACCCGGAATTAAATGCGGTCCCCGTAACAGACCTTCAGCCGCACATCGTCTCATATGGAGTATGTGCTGAGTTCTTTGAGTTTCCTCCGTTGCATTGTGGCGTCCAGCGAACAAGTGTCCGTATGCAACTGTGGCCAAGTGATCGGCGACAGTACCACAGTACGGTGTCCTCGTAGAGACGGCTGTACTTCATATACGGAGTACTTTGTACATAGTCCGTATGCACGCTCGGGTGCAGGAGAGGCAGCCGGGCCCTTTATGTGTTTACGAGATACGCCGTTGACGTCGAGGCGAAAACGAGGCGACCGAGACCACAACGGTGAGGTCCTCCCCTCGTATCTTAGAATCTCCGGGCTTCACCACCGTCACAAGCAATGCCAGCATCACACCGAAGACCAGCCGCGTTTCAGCTTCGGGGTGCAAACAACAAACACCAGCTGAGCTGGGACGCTACGGCCACATTGACAATGTGATCCACTTGGGCGAAAGTGTGCAGGGAACATTGCTGTGGCGGACGATATGGATCTAGGGCTGATCATAGGGGATGAAGGGAGGCACCTCAAGCGGAGTACTTTGATTTCAGCAACCGAAATGACCGAAATGAGAGGCTGTGGCCGATGCATCGAAGGGCGATTGCGATGGGGCCTCTGGCGATTCTCACTCCATCGTGGCTCCAGAGGTATCCATCACGATCTCGAGTTTCACCAGCCGGGCCCCAGCGCGGCAGCGGCTACCCACGCCTTGCACGAGACGGTCCCACGACGGTCAATACAAACCCGGAGTGTGCCTTCGGTGTCTCCAGTGTCTCCCGCAGCATCGACAAAAGACGCCTCGTTCTCGGAACGTCGCTGGGCCCACGTTCGCGATCCAAGCGCAGGCGCACCAGCACTCGGCGACCTCATTCACACATTGTAGTCCCTGTTCGCAGGCAAAAGTCCAATAGTCCGGGGGATGCGTCTGTTTTCGATCGTCCGAGCGCAACGCTAAAGAGGCACGGAAGAGGCTCGAAAACACGTCCGTTCCTGGATCCGTCAGCCATCTCCTGTCCTGTTCTTCGGCGCGCCCAGCCGGGCTTCCAAAGGTCCATTTTCGTTGAGAAGAGGAGCCACGGGTCCTTTTCAGCGTGTTGTCAGCGATAGTTTAGGAGATCGAGGAGAGGCCGACGGACTAGGATTCTTGGGAATGCTTTGGCGTCGTTTTGCACTTGCCTTGCTTGGCGCCTCGATATCCACCACGCCCAACACGAAACCATCAAGGCCAATAGACTGGGTATTTTGCTCGTTTTTTCTTTCTTTCTTCATGGATGTACCCTGGAGGAAAGCACTCGTAGCTTGAAAATTTGCATTGCGTGGATATGACGGAACCTTTGTCGATGTAGTTCTTCTTTCTTGTCTCTTTCTTTCTTATTTTACTCGTTCGATATCGACTACATTTTTACAGCATGCTGGGCCGGTGAATAGTGCACTCGGAGGTTTGCCACCGTTTTGGTATTCGTCCAGAATTAATAAATTATAGGTAGGCCGGTTGTGCGGCGTCTTACATTTCAACGCGTTCGGACCTCGTCCGACCACTGTTGGGCCTTCGACTATTATACAATAGATGAAGACTGTCCGGCATTGTGAAGGAGGTGTACAAAAGAGCATGTGTGCTTTGGGGCTGTTGTGTTTCCACCCAAATGAATGCCACAGGTATATTGCAATATTAGTTAGGGAAGAGAGGCGGCCTGCTGAGATCGACAATGGAGAGAACGTGGCAAGCCGGCTATGTTTTGCAAGCCGTGTCCTGGCCCGCTGCGATCGTCGCTTTTCAAAAGAGATCAGCGGAGAAGTAAAACGGTGATGAGTTTACAACAACAAGTCATCAAGGATCAAGGACCGCTCGTCTGCCCAAGACAGAACACGGACGACGCAAAGGAAAGGAAAAAGGCGTCGACAAACAGTGAGATCGGGGCCTACGATAACGAACAGTCGCGTGGCGCGTGCAGTTCGGTGATGATCCTGGATCGTTGACCATTGGCTGTCGATGAACTCGGGTGTCTCTAATTTCCTCTCCCTTGACTTGTTTCTTTTCGCACAATTCTGACCGAGGCTGGCTGTTGGAGTGTTGTCTGGCATATTGGTACACTAGCAGGCTAGGAGCTCGCTTGCTGGCTGAGCAGAAGAAAGTAAACCCTTTTGGCTCGTGGATGTGGGAGAGACAGGACAAAGAGAGACAATACAGGTGGAGAATCAGTCGGAGCTGTAAACCAATGTGTGATACACTGCGTCGTTCGTTCAACGGGTTATTACATCCGACGAACAAAGTACACCCAGGAAAACGACATTCAGGAACCAAAGAGACGAGAGGTGTGAGAAACCAGGAACCAGGTTATGCCTCCTTGACACCCTCTTTATGTCTTGTGCCGTCTCTTCATTACCTTGGTCGGAGAGTGCTTTCTGCCTGCTGAATCGCCTGCCTCGTCCAGGCTGGTGGATATGCCTCGCTCTCGAGCTTTGGGCAAAATACAACTCTCGTCCCGCTAAAGGCGGTCATGAACTGGTTAATGCAATCACAAGAGCACGGACACACACTGGGGACGGATGTGGGTAATCTACGGAGAATGTGGTGTGGATCGGTGTGGGTGGTGTGGAGCCTTTCAGCTGGACTCGAGCTGAAGCTGAAGGAGGTTGGATCTGGATTCAAAGCTTTCCGAAGTAGTAGATATTGGGCTGAGCAAAAACCAAACCAAACCAAAAAAAAAAAAAAAAAAAAAAAAAAAAAAAAAAGCACCAACTAGCCTCGCTACCATTATATCATAGTGGCCTTTTTTTGGCTCTTGGACTCAAAGGTCTGGCCAAATCGGTACGTCGGGACCCAAGACGTAAAAAATGGACAAAAGGGGTTGGGCTTGGCGAGCAGTTGCGTCGTTTTAGCAGGAAAGGTGGACAAGGCGAGGGGAATACTGACGGTTTGGGAGCGATGGCCGTCACTGCTCTTTTCTGAGACATGACGGAAAATGTTTTAGATACGAGCATTTCTATGGAGCACACAAATCGAATAAGAAACGCAAGGGTTGATATCAGGAAAATATATTGTGTTTTGCTGCTTCTGCGTTTTTATACTTTCCTTTCGAGAGCGTTGCATCAACGGTCTAAGACCCGCGAGCCGTGGGGTGTGGTAAATATCACAAACCAACAAGACAAAAGACGAATGGTGCCGGCAGCAGGAACAGAAAAGAATTAAAGAACGGGACGAACACAGAGACAGGAAACGGGAAAGCAATGAAAACGCATAAAAATCGCAGCTTTCATCCTCGGCAAGACAAAAACGAACAGTCTTGGTCCTGGCTCTTGGCGGAGGAATATTGGACTACTCGGACGACCCGTGCACTGGGAGCCCTTGTCGCACGGTAGCAATTTGCGGAGGGCAAAGATTTGCGGTGCACGGCCGATATTTGAATAATACGAAGACTCGCAAACCCGGGAAGCTGGACCCGTTCGACGTGCACTGTGGTTCATGAAAGTGACGTTCACAACGGCCCAATTGCCTGACCTACAAAACATCTGAATCAAAACAGTACCAACGGCCAACAGAATACTCCAGAATGAGTCGCCTCACATGCCACAAAAGACGTTATAGTTTGGTCCTGGCGCTGGATTTGTGACTCGAGTAGCTGTATGCTTTGATGAGTTTAATGGCGACTTTCCGAAGAGTACAATACAAAAGCACAATGTACCATAACTCGAATATCCACAAAGGATAATTTTGTTATGCCTTCTGAATTCTCACGGACAAGTCACTTGATCCCCATGCGTAATTACTGTTGCTCATTGACCGCCTCACCTACATATCATACTGCTGGTGGGCGGAGTCTGCACTGCATCTCATGCGAGAACAGGCCTGTTATGCGCTCTGTGGTCGCTGCAGCCCTCAGAAACTCCCATGCGGCATTGTTCCACTCTTGTCTTTCCCTGCCTCCTGTTTGCCGTTTCTTCCCTCGTCTTGCTGCCTTTTTGTTTGTCTTTGAACTTTCTTTTTCTTTCCGTGTCTTTCTTTTTCACACAAACGACCTCATGGTGCTGTTTGGCAGCCTCACGTTACTCCCAGAAAAATAACTAGAGGCGGGAGAGAAACCGACTAACACCCCATTCACCCCCTCCCCTGTCTCTCCACCTCTTGTTCACACGCCCCCCTCAAAATCATCGGGTGAGCAAAGTCCTCCACCTGAGTCTATCTGTGCGTAAACGACACAATTCGCTCTGCTTTCGTGCACTCTCTCTACCGTGTAAAATAGCGGCCTCGCTCATATCCTGGTCCTCCTTGTCCCAGAAGCTGAAAGAACATTTCTGGGTCGTGGGCCCACGGCCACGGGCCACTCGATAACTTGGCCATGACTGACGCAAGGAAGGTCGGCTCTACGGGGAGGCATTCATAATCATAAAAAAAGCAAAGAAAAGAAAAGAAAAAAGAAGGAAACGACTTTGCCCTTGCCTTCCTACCTGCTGTATGGAGAGTTCATTAGATCGATCATTTTTTATCGTGCCGGCCCCCTGACTCCTTGTTGGGTCTTCGATTCGATGGATCCAAAGCTCGACACCACGTCTTGTTCCCATCGTCGCGACCCAGAATTATGTTGTGAAGCAGGGATGGTCCGCTTGCAAGATGGCAGCAGCCGATATGCAGACGCCAGATCTCTTTTTTATTCGTCCGTCGTGCCTGGTTGCCAGTGAACGCATCCATCTTCTGGGTTTTGCCATCTACTACTGGGCAAAAAAAGAAAAAGAAAACAACGATAAGACCCCAAGCCACACGTGCACGAACACACTGCAAAGCGCGGCCGTGCCCATCGACAGCCGCCGCTCTGTCCCCTCTGCACTATTCTCTCTGCGTCTCTCTCCCACGCCCACTCGGACGGCATTTGTTTATGTAGAAGTATGCCCGCCCCCCCCCTCCGGCCATCGAAAGTCGATCTTGCTTCCACTTTCCGTCTTCCCCATTCCTCTATGTGTGTTCTTGCATAGTTCACATCGACGTCGGCCAGATAGGTTATATCCTTTCTTCTGTCTGATCTGTTCTGGTCCCCTTTATATCGACCACCAGACATCGTGACCGGACAGTACTGCACTCTCGTTTTGTTCTTTTTCTTGTTCTCGCCTGTTACTTCCCTTTACTTTTTGTTTCTTCGCCTCAGTCTGTCTGTCTTTCTACTTCATCTTGCGACCTTCACCTCTTCATTTTGCCGCTCGTTTTTTCCCGTCTCCCAATCTCGAAACCCATCCCCCATCGCCCACCATGGCGACCCCCGAGCAGCTCCTCGAGGAGTGGCAGGGCAAGATCGTGCCGCAGTCGTTCAACGGCGGCTTCGTCACTCTCAGTTACATCGTCTCTTTCATCGGCGCAGCCTGCACACTGGAGCTGCTCAACCGACGGACCGCCATCAAGGGTGTTTTCAACCAGTGAGTTGCTCGTCCTGGCAAAGGACCATGTACGACGGCTCGGCTAACACACACAACAGTCTCCTTCTCGTCAGTGCCGCCATTACAATGGGCGGCATCGCCATTTGGTGCATGGTGAGTTGCTGTTTGCTCCCTCTCGTTTGCGCTCCTTCTCGGTGCTCCGTATACCATTGTACCCCTTCCCCCCTTGTCTAACGCGCCGTCCTCCACGCCAGCACTACATTGGCAACCGCGCCATCGAAATTGCCGACGGCCAGGCAGAGCTTCAGATCGCCTACTCCGATGGCTTCACCGCCCTCTCCTTCTTCATGCCCATTGTCGTGCTGCTCCTCGCCTTCTCCGCCACCGGCTCCAACAGCGTCAGCTGGTGGCGTGTCACCATCTGCGGCGGCTTGGCCGGCACGGCCATCTGCGGCATGCACTACATCGGCAACGCCTCCATCGAAAACTTTACCTGCGAATACAAAGTCGCCAATGTCGTCGGCTCGGTCATCATCGCCGTCGCCGCCAGCATCGTCGCCCTTGCCCTCTTCTTCATCTTCCGCTCGTCGTGGACCAACTCCTGGTGGCGCCGCGGCCTCTGCGGCATCGTCCTGGCCGGCGCCGTCTCCGGCATGCATTGGTGCGCCGCCACCGGCACCAGCTACCAGCTGCGGAAACTCAACACGGGCAGAAGCGACCTCGCCCGCATCGCCACCGTCATCGTCGTCGTCTGCCTGTCAGTCACCGCCTGCTTGGTCATTGTCGGCATGGCCGTCGCCACCAACATTGCCATGAAGCGATCCGCCCAAAAGGCGCAGCAGGTCGTCCTCGCCGTAGCCCTGTTTGACAAGCACGGCCGCCTGCTCGTCAGCCCGGACGGGCTGCTGCCCTCCGAGAAGATTACCGACACCTTTGTCGGCCGCTCGGCGCACGAGCTCTTCACCGTCCAGCACGCGCTCTTCCAGTGGATGTTCCGCGCCTCGCGCAACTGGAACAGCATCGAGCCCATTCTCGACGGCATGCACAACCACCTGGCCCACCTCCCCACCAAGAAGACGGGCCGTGACGAGGCCAGCAACAGCAACAATGGCGATGTCCTGCTCATTGGCGAGCACGGCGAGCCCATTGAGAACTACGAGGCCGTCATCTGCGAGCTGTTCTGCACGGCCGCCGAGGCTCTGTCTGCCAAGCTCAAGGTGCCCCTGGGCAAAGTGGGCGTGCTCTGGGACGAAATCATGGCCACCGGCGACGGCGGCAGCCATCGCAGCGTCCAGCAGCGCCAGCGCAGGATTGAGAGGATCCTGCAGAGCAGCGCCTTCGGCGGCGGCCACGGCGGCACCGGCGAGTTCCGCAGCACCAAGGAGATTGCCAACATGGACAGCAGCGAACTTGCCGAGATGGGCGTGAGCCGCCAGCAGGCCGCCGCCGCCGCCGCCGCCGCCGCCGCGTCCAAAGAGGCTGCTGCAGCAGCCAGCCGTGCGCCCGAGTATGGTCGTGGTTCGCTCATGTTCCTCGTCCGCTATGTCGACAACGTCCGCGAGCTGGGCGACCTGGAGGCGGCCGGCTACCGCTTCGCCGAGCTGCGCCACGTGTCCGGCATCATTGGCTCCAGCATGCAGATCAAGTCGTGGAACCTCGAGACGAAGCTGCGCGCCATGCAGACGTACGCACGCGACGCGCCGATGCTCGAGCCGGGCGTGCACGTCGGTCTCTTTGCCGTGCGCGCGCGCGTCGGCGGCGTCGGCTTCGACGTGCTCGTCGACCGCGAGGCCCGCAACCTGCTCCCGTCTGTGCCCATTCCGTTTGAGACCCTGCAGCCGTGGCAGCTGGCGTTCCTCCGCCAGCTCGACCGCATGACGCCCGACCGTGCCATCCGCCACATGGCCGGTCTGGAGGCCCTGACGGCCGTCGAAGGCTACTTTGCCTCGCAGCTGATCGAGGCCATCAACGCCCTGCGCAGCGGCCTGTCCGACGCCGCCGTCTTCAACGAGTCCGTCCTGTCCGCCAAGGTCGTCGAGGTGCCCTGCCGGCGCAATGCCGACGGCGGCGGCCCCAGCATGGCCGCCATGATTGCCTTTTGCTGCGTCATGCCCATTCATCAGAACATCTCCAGCGAGTCGTGCGAGCTCGTGCCCCTCAGCTTCTTCAAGGTCCACCAGCTGGTCGACCCGAACTCGCCGCACCACCTGGACTTCCTGCGCAGCGTCCACCGCGACATCTTTCCCATCATCAACGCCGTGCCCGCTCCGCCCAAGTCCCCCAACGCAGGCATCCCCGGCAACACCCGTCTGCACAACCTGTACGCGTCACACGGCGCCCTTGGCCGCCTGGGCCGCCACGGCATGCACGGAACGACCGACGCCCGCAGCCGCGTCGGTTCTGGCCACACCCCGCGCAACTCGTCCCCGCATGGCTCCATCAAGGCCAGCTCAACCAAGGAGCTCTGGACGGGCGGCCGCCCGAGCTCCGACATGGGCACCCAGCCGTCGTCGGGCGACCTGCACGGCCTGGCCATGATGGACGATGCGGCCGCCGCCAGCGGTCCCATGCAGTCGTCCTTTGGCGGCATCATGGTGTCGCAGGAAATTACCGTTGACGTGCACGCCACCACCGTCGACGAGCATGCCGATGCACAGGATCAGCGGCCGCCTCCGCCACAGCCCCAGCAGCAGGCACCACAGCACGCTGCCGCCGGCGCCAGCGAACAGCGTCAAACCGCATCCGACAGCCACCCACGTGAGCGTGAGCATTCACCCGGCGGTGACAGTTCCACCCAGGGTCCCGAGTCGGATCCTGAGCTGAGGTCCCCCGTGACCGTTGCCGTGGCGCCCATCCGCGTCATCCGCAGCCACCGCGAGGAGGCCAACCAGCAGCACAACATGGGCGTCGGCGTTGTCGTGGCCCGTGCCGTGGCCGAATCGGAGAGCGATACGCTGACATTTGTGGACGAGCTGTTTGGCGTCTGCTTGTCGCAACGGTAGAGAGCAGAGGGAGCAGAGGAATAGATAAAGATTAAAGTGCAAACTAGTATACCACGTTGATTTCATAAGCGTTCTTGTTAAGTAGCAAACCTGAGTAATTCAAACAAATGTTGCATCATAGCAAGAAGGCTCGGTGGTCCAATATGTCAGACTTACCTAGAAAACCATCGTGTCCAGGTAATCGTCAGTAAATGCGTGCCTAGGTGTCGGTTTGTTAGCAGCAGAGACTCGGACAATCCTTGCCATTTCCGCCCCATGCAGCCACGTCTGGCCACGAGAAGCGGCGTGCTTTCATCCTCTTTTCTGGCTGGTCGGCGGCCGTCGCATCGTCAATTTCACGTCGGCATCGTCTCCAACATCGTTTGAACATCGTTTGCAATGCTGATGTTGGGCCGGACCCGTCATCAAGTGCTGGCTCGAGGTGACACCTCGTCTGGTTGATGGTGATCCCACCGGTCGTCATAAATCAAAAAAGCCGACTTAAATTTCTCGGAGCCTGATGCGTATTGTGCTGTAAATGAAGTCAAAATGCGCCGCATAATCCTCCCAAGCCCATCCCATTGGCATGATACATGTTTTCCCGTTCGTGTGTTGTCTGCCGAGACCGACGCGTCCTTCGCCGGGTGCGACCTACTCCCTCTGCAGGACCACCGCCAAGCCCATAATGCCCAGCATCACCGTCTTCAGCCACGGGTGTTCCGTCAGCATGATCGTGACGTAGCCGACAAACGGCACAAACCCCACCACGCTGCCCACAATGTCCTTCCGCTCGAGGTAGTCCTGCTTGCGGGCGTACAGGTCCGTGTCGTCGGCTACGTTGTTGTCGCCCTTGGTGAGCAGTTTCGCCGTGGGACTGTACCATGGAAAAGCGACCTTAGCAAATCGTTTCGCGCCTTCAGAGCATCACAACACCAAAACCCCACGGTCCGGCAATACGTACCCAGTCCCAAACTTGCGCACAATCCGGTGGACAATCGGAATGTCCTTGCCATCCACGTTGTACACAACAACCTCTCCAACGCCCGACTCCTGGAACAAGTTGCGGTTCCATAGCAGAAGGAGGTCGCCTCGCTGGAACGCCGGCTCCATGGAGCCCGAGAGGACGACGACAATGGGGGACGACGAGTCGGTGGCGACACACAGGCCCTTCCAAATCTAGAAGCAATGAAAATTTGGTCAGCACATTGGCGCACGATACACAGGGGCACACCAGATGGCCAACGCACCATGAAGGCTGTCGACAAGATCATGCCAAAGTTGAGCAGCTGCGTGGCAAGCTGCCGCGGGTTTCCGACGGCGGACAGCATCCCGTCGAGTAAAGCAGATCCGACAGATTGGTCGAGAGCAGTGTTTCGAAATGCGCATGCAGACGTCGTCGGGGGAGGTGAGGGTCGTGGGGGGGCGCGAGACGCGTCGTTCCATCGACTGAATGTTCTGGAGACGTGTATTTCGTATTTTGGTGATGCTCTCCCAATCGAACGAAGCTCCAACGCAATCGGGCCACCTTTCCAGGAACGGCGGCCTTTCATTGGTCAGTTTGTCGTTTGAAGTACAAAGTGGGTCCAAGCTCAATCGCTCGGCGGGAGTCCAGGCAACTTCACTTTGCGAACTAGGTCGCACCTTCCGTGGCCGTTAACTTTGCGTCGTACCTAACGTGAACTCTCGCACAACTGACAAAAGGAAAACAGAAGGATGTCAAATCTCTTAGAATAGTCAGAATACCAACATCGCCATGCCCAGCACGCATCTACGCGACAATGCTCAACGGCTCAGGCAAAGTTAGCAGGCGACCTAGTGACGACAGCCCTCAGACACGGCGCAATGTCCTTTCTAGATAGCACGGCGATAGCGCAATTACGCCGATTCAGCGTCTTCAGTTTAGAAACATTGAGCGTGAATTGCTTCGGCAATGCCCCATTCACACGACCAACTGCGCGGCACATACAAGGTGTGGGGGCGGCCTCCATCGAATCGACCAGGGCGGCCCGATCTCGTGGCCATGCCGCGGCTTGACATGGACACCCGAAGCCCACACAAATCATCTGATATACCGTCATGATTCTCGGCCAGGCTCAATTCACGACAGACATCCTAGAAGGTTGTCCCAGCATTCGCAGAGTGTGCGAAAATTCACACCAGAACCAGTGGTCTGAGCCTAATGCACGCCTAATTCTCAGCCAGGGGGCAGTGTGGACGGTTATGGTATTCGCCGAGTGGACAACGTAACCTTGGACGCCATTGTCCACATCACAACGCAGTCACGCACTTGTGCAGCAGACAGACGGGGACCTGTACGACATGCACACAGCGCATTGGCCCGCCGTGTTGCAGCCAAGCCAGGCCGACCAAGGCAAAGGACTGCAGAAGCTGCAGCGAGGCAGTGTTTCTGGCTCCTGTAACAGGCTCAAGACATGAGCGATACGGCATGCAGCTGGTCAGCAAATCGCCAGGCGTCCACCCTGGTTGCATCTGGACACGGTGAAATGCTTGTCCGCATCAGGTGGCAAAGCAATTCCAAGATAATTCCCTTGGGCGCATATTCAAAGCTGTCGGCTATTCTACTAACGCATGGCCAGAGCGTCTGGGCCGTCACTGCACAATCAGGGCTGGACGAGAAGGTAAACAAATCAGTTTTTGATATACGAAACTGAACATTTGGACACATTCAGGCATCAACCTCTTCGGACGGAACCCCACACAGAAACGGCAGGAATGGTGTGGAAAGGTGCACCGGCCACCAGCCTGTCGGTGCATGTTAACACTCGCTTCTGCCAAGGCAGACACACCCATGTCGCAACGGCTGCAGACACCCCAGCGCGCATCGCGATTCGCTCCCCGCCACAAGCATTTGCAGCAATCAAGGTCAAGCAAAAAAGCAGGGCTGTCCCGTCAGCGCCAACCGCCTCTTTTGGGGGAGCCGTATAAATATGCGGCCGGTCCTCTCCAAGACCTTCGGTCTTCTGCCTTCCCTTCCTTTCTCCCTCCCCCCCCCCATCGCACGCAACCAAAAGGGCCGCAAAGGTACAACATAGGATTGTCTCCAGCCATTCGTTCGAGACAAGCTTCCCTCTGAAGATCTTCCTACCCGGGTCCCTGTCAATCTTTTTCTCTCTTGTCGTGTGTCACTTTCATTTCGTTTGCTTTCTGCGTCTCTTTCCTCGTTTCCCGTCGCTCTTTTTCGTGTTTATTTTCGGCGATTCTTACTCTGCGATTGTCTCTCGCTACTTTCTCGAACCAATCCGACGATCGTTTCAAAACAAGCAACCCATCGGCGACCCAGTACACTTTGTCAGCTTCCACAGCAACCACGCTCTTTCCCATACCGACGACCATGTTCAAACGCGCGTTCCGGCATCCTGCCGTCGCACCGGGGGAGTCACAGCACCGCGTGGACAAGTCGGCGAGGCTGACGAAGCGGGGCGGTGGAAATGGGGCGGGAGGCGGAAGCTTCACCGGGTCTTCCGCGCGGGAGGCCCAGAAACTGTCGAGACTGCAGCGGTCGCTCTCTCAGGTTGGTGGTGATGTGCTGGCGGCTGGCGGCGGGCCTCCGGCCCCCGCCACGCCGTCGCCCATTGTTACGCTGACCGTCGGCCGCGAAGGGCGACTGTTTGCCGCGCACGAGGACGTGTTGTGCCAGAGCCCTTTCTTTGAGGCGCTCTGTCGACGCAGCCCGTACAATGGTGCCGTGCAACCGGGATACAATTCCAGTCCGGACCCGTCCGGAGTCAACGGCAGACGGATCGCGCTGCCGGACGAGGAGCCAGAAATCTTTTCTGCCGTGTTGGAGTACCTCTACAAGGGCGACTACTACCCCCGCTTGCTGCACAGCAAGCACCGCAACTCTTGGGAGCTCGAAGACTCCGCACCGCAGCAACCCCATCGCGGGACCACGCCGATTGCGTCCCCCGATTTGAGCCACCTTCACGGAGGTGGTCGTACCCCAGGCGGCTCGCCCTACACGGGCTCTGTCCCGTCGGTCGAGGCCACCGTGTACCTGTCGAGTGAGGGCCAGCACCTGCTCCGGGACACCGTCATCTACTGTGCCGCGGACCGGTACGGGCTCGAGGAGCTCAAGCGCCTCGCCCTGCGCAAGCAAGGCCTGCAGAGTGGCATCGACGTCGGTACCATTCTGCGGAGTGCCCAGTACTGCTACGCACACACCCCCGACTCCGACAGCCGCCTACGGGCTCACTACTTGGCGCTGATCATCCGCTGCCGCAAGACCTTCAAGCGCAGCGGCACGATGCAGGCCGAGATGGAGAAGAGTGGAGAGGGCGGCAAGTTGTTCTTCGACCTGTTCGTCGCCATGTGCAACCACCTGGACGACGTCATTGATGCGTCAAACGCCCGGACGCCCAAGACGATCTGAACGGCGACACTTTCTGGTTTTGCATGCCCTGCAGCAAAATCCTTGGTTTTCCATTTTTCAAGCTCATTCCAACTATTTTGTTTCAAACAAGTTTTTAACGACGACATGACAATTATTCCCCACAGGTTTCCAGCGTTCATTTTTCTCTCCACGGCGTCTTTTTATCATTTTGGTGTTTGATTTGATCAGATTTGCGGAAAAACACAAAAACAAAAGACAACATATACCAGCAATGCAGTCGACAAGTACAAAAAAGAAAAAAAAAAAAAAAAGATGGTCTGGCATCGACCTATTTTCTGAATTCGCCGAAGGACCGAAAGATTGTATTTGCGTGGGTTTTGTTTCCACGGATTCTTAATAAATGGTAAGAGTCCGGCAGCTGGGACGAGGCCTTGATGGCTCTTTTGCGAACGGACGACGCCAAGGGAGCGCAGTTTTTGCATCTCTCAGCTTGGGTTTCGGGTTTGGGTTTCCGCACGGCCTTTGCGTTTTCCCTGTTTTATTCTGCTTTTTTCGCCAGCATCGAGCAGGTCATTTATCTGCGCCTTTGGAACTGCCTTGATTTTGTGCATTGCCCTTATTCTGTCCTGCAACACTCCCGACAACGGCCGTCCCTCTTCTCCGGATGGAACATCCCACCAACGTCCGAAAATACACGCATCTCCGAATGCTGGTTCGAAAACTAGGGTGGAGAAGACGAAACGAAAAACAAAGAACGGGCTTGTCATCAGATTGGAAACACCATTTGGGAGCCATGACTGTTTTATTACTGCTTTTGACTTCACTTTCTATTTTTGCAAGGTTGGCGCTACTGGTCTGATGACTTTTTTGTATTTTTGCTCTCTTCTCCATTTCATTTTTTTCTTCCATGCAGGTTTTGTATTTGTATTATTGGGAATGCGGTGTGGTGTTTTTGCTTCTTTCGAGCGTGAGATGGTTTTGCTGGGTGCGAGATGAGAAGAAGAGTGGTGGTCTTGGTTTTGATTTCGATTTCGCAGAGGAGTGCTGTGTTGACATGCGTGTTCTTGGAAAGGCTGCTCTTTCGGGAGCAGTGGAAAGTGCCATGGCTGTCCCAATTCTCTGTGCACTTTCTGTAAATTTTGCATTTTACTGTCCTCTTGCGTTGCCCTTCTTACCCTTCTTGCCACTTTACCCTCTTTGTTTTTTTTTCTCACAGGAAGAGACCCAGCCCATGTCTTTGCTCTCTCTCCTAGCCACGTCCTGCCCTTTCCTGTGATTGGGCTGCCTCTCACACTCTTTTTAATATTTCCTTTGTGTTTTATCTCATCATATCATCTCCCAATAAAAAAAGGCAAGAGCCATGAGGAATTGCCTCTGGACGAGGTCCTCTCTTGTTCTTGTTCCGTCCTTGGTCGCTGTCTTGGCCTGTTTCCCCAACTACACGTCTTTGGTGGCCTTTTGTTCTTCATCCCCTACCTTGAACAGTAGATCTGGGCGTCCTGCATATCGTTGGCCTTGATGGTTAGTTTTATGTTTCTCTGGACATATCTACGGTACGGGAAGTTGACCAAACAAAAGAGGCTGCAAAAGACGGGGCGAACTGGCACAGCGGCGGTCGTTTTTTGTTCACTACATGGACGGAATGTTTCTTCTTAGAAGAAGGAACGGTGAGGACTGGGAGGTGCAATTTTTTCTGTTCTTCCAGCAAAATTTGCCTTGCCGACAGACGGCCAAAAATTGTTCTTATATTTACTTCCTTAGACAATGCAACCCACTCTTCGCCAAACTTTGTTACTCTGTGATATTGATTAAGCGTTGAATCAAGATTCAAGATGTATACAGAAGGTTGTTCTTCATAGCCCTGTGTCATAAAAAAATCAGATAATAGTGACGAATTATGAAGAGGATGAAGTTTTGTCCTTGCCAAAAAAAAAAAAAAAAAAAAAAAAAAAAAATATATATATACATTCTTATAAAATTCTAAAAATAAAAATATAACGTGCAAGTTAAAAAAACATGAACTGGAAGAGACCATGCTGTGAAAAAAGCCGAACGAAAGCTTGACTGCTAATCATCGAAAAAAACCCACAAATTTCACGTATTGGTGCAAAAGGAGCGGCTGCCTAAAATCGAACAGTCAGCCTCGCGGATGGTGCCAAAATATCACGTGATCGTCTCCCACCAAAAATACACCAAACATGTATGGCCCCACTTATTTAGAATTTTACATTCAGGTCCTTGCCTCTTCCCACTCGGCCATGAGGACATTTTCTGGCCCCGCCCTCTTCGTCGGAAATTGTGGAAAATTGTCTCTTGCCCAACTCAAACAACACATCGTCCCTCACTTTGCCTCTTTTCCCAAATCAGGAAGTTCTACAAACAAAACGCAACATAACAACAGACTGGAACACGCTCATTCCAGACCGCGGACGATCGCGGCATCGCGTTTTCTTTCCTTTTCTTTTTAACGACGACCGACTGACAGTCGACAGCCCTGTCGAGGAACCCGGCAAACAAAATCTACAAAATAATCACATTGCTATTGTCTTTTCGAGGCCATCAATAGGCATCTCTCGATATCGCTCGTCCCCGACGTTCTTAAGACTCCGACCAAAGTTTCTTCATCCACCTCTCTCGAGCCCTTACCACAGACAAAATGACTCCTCTGACGACACTACCGAAGAAATTCTCGTCTGGGCACCAGATCCGACCCCGTGGTGCTCAGCGAGTAAACCCCATCAAAGCCATCCAGGACCGGGAGTGGCGACGCAAACAACTGGCTGCTGCAGCGGCGGCTGCCCCAAACTCGCGGGCAGGGAGCGTTGTTAGCGATGCTGGCTCGCCGAAACCGACAGGGCCGACGGGCACGGGCGCGGCGGCCTCTACATCACGGCTGCAATGCCCCAACAAGGCCTGCAAGAACCCAAATGTCGTCGACGGCACATGCCGGACATGTGGTCGGGTGGCCGACGACAGCAACATTGTGGCCGAGGTGTCCTTTGGCGAGAACGCACAGGGCGCGGCCGTCGTGCAGGGCAGCTTTTTGGGCGCCGACCAGGGTGGCATTCGGCCGATGGCGGGCATTGGACACCGGCGTGTGGCTGGCAACGGCTCGGCCGAGGCGCGCGAGCGGTCCCTGCGCGAAGCCCGCTTGCTGATGACGGGCTATGCGCACCAGCTGCACATTCCCGACCACACCGTCAACGTGGGCTTCCAGTACTACAAGCTGGCGTCCAGCGCCAACTTTGTGCAGGGCCGCAAGATCCAGAACGTGGTGGCCGTCTGCCTGTACGCCGCGTGCCGCAAGTCGACGCACGCGAACCCGTGCAAGATCATGCTGATCGACCTGGCGGACCTGGTCAAGGAAGAGGTGTTTTTCCTGGGCCGCACATTCAAGAAGCTGCTGCAGACGATTGAGGTGGCCGCACGCGATGTGCAGCCGATCTACGTGGAGGACCTGATCTTCCGGTTCGCGTCCAAGCTCGAGTTCGACACGATGACCAACAAGGTGGCCGAGACGGCCGTGCGGCTCGTGCAGCGCATGGACCGCGACTGGATGGTCATGGGCCGGCGGCCGGCTGGCATTTGCGGTGCCTGCTTGATCATGGCAGCGCGCATCTTCAATTTCCGCCGCACGGTGCGCGAGGTGGTGTACATTGCCAAGGTCACAATGGCGACGCTGCAGATGCGGCTGGACGAGTTCAAAGAACTGCCCTCGGCCAAGATGACAGTCGAAGAGTTTCTGGCTCACGATTTCCTGACCGAGGAATACGACCCACCATCCATTTACAAGAAATCGGACGAGTACCAGGCGAAGCTCAAGGAGAAGCGTGAGATGCTGAAGCGGAAGCGCGGCGACTCGCGCGCAACCGAGACTGGGGAGCGGCACGGCTCGATTGTGTCGGTGTCTAGCACGCCGGGTGCCGCACCCCAACCACCCAAGGTTGTTGATGCCGATGGCTTTGCCGTTCCGGCCCTGCCGTCATCCAAGCAACCGACGTCACCTGCAGTGCCGACTCCCACGATGGAAACCACCAACGAAGCCGAAGATGAGGACGATCAGCTCGCCGAACTTGTTCAGCAATATGGCGACGGTGCAGATGCAGCTATGACGCCGCTTTCCGGCATGGGCTCGCCCTTCCCTGGCTCGGATGCCACCGACGAGACACCACGAAAGCGTCGGCGCGGTCCTCCCGATGGTTCATCCTGCCGCACGCTGCCCGTCTCGTCTGGTAGCCGTAGCGGCCAGGACGACCCCGATTACGTCGACGACGCCTGGCGCGCAGACGAGGAGAACTTGGAGATGGAGATGACGGAGGCGATCAACTCACCCGGCTGCATTGAACACGCCCGTGCGTTTGCCAGCGCCGAACAAGCGGCGCAGCGCATTATGATCGGCATGGGCCGCGCGCCGTCCAAACCAGCGTCGGCCGCGGCCAGTGAGGCCGGCACACCTGCTCCCTCGGGTGCCGACGAGCAAGTGGACGAACCGCAGCCACCCGCCGTGTCGGACAGCCCCGACGTCGAAGAGGACGAGTTCAAGGACGATCCCGAGGTGCAGTTCTGTCTGCTGTCCGAAGAGGAGGCGGCCGCCAAGGAAAAGATCTGGATGAACGAGAACCGTGCGTACCTGCGCATGCGCCAGGAGAAGGAGTTCCGCGCCAAGATTGCGGCAGCCAACGGGTCCAAGAAGCAGACCCGGCGGCGGCTGAAGAAGCCCAAGATCGGTGAAGGCCAGACAACGCCGGCGTCGACGCCTGGCGCGGCGGCGGTCGAGGCCATGGAGCGGCGCGGCTTTTCGAAGCGGATCAACTACGAAGCCATGCGCAAGATGCTGGACCGTCCTGCGACCGGGCGCAGCCGGGCTGGCTCGGTGTCCATGTTCAGCAGCTACTCACAGAGCCGGGCGGGCAGCTCGATCGGCAGTGTTATGGGTGACGAGGAGGAAGAGGAAGAGGATGGTGTGCGTGGCACAGGCAAGGGCCCTGATGCGGACAAGACTGCCGACGCCGAGGATGACTACGATGCGGGCGATAACGAGGTCTACGAGGAGGAAGAGGAGGAGATTGACCCGTTCGCCGAAGACGATGCCGTCCAAGAGGAGGACGAGGCGGAAGAAGAGATTGAAGAAGAAGAATAGGGTGTGGGAGAATGACATGTGCAGCCATCTGTAGTCCTTTGACATTATACCCCCATAGTTTATTGCGCGAGACTGGGAGTGTGTCCAGCAGCCCACCTACGATAGTGACGATTTGTCGGATTCGGCCTTAGTTTTACAATATTGTTTTGTTTATGGTATTCAACTGGCCAGTCGCGATGCACGCTCGATCGACCGAAATTAATAGTATCATGCGCATCGCAAGTCATGAGATTGATGTTGGATGGTACACTGTGGCCAGCTGATGCTATAATTTTTTAGCCGTGTCGCCCAATACCCGGCATTGATGCTGACAACGTGTATAAGCATTGGATATGAACAACGGCTCCTTGCAGCACAGGAAAATAAACAACTGGGTCCGAAAAGCTTGTTCCCGAGGGTGGGCGACGGCCCGCGAGTTTACAGCAACCACGGTGATTTGACGCCTGAACACACAGCATCGTACAGCCTATTAAATGCGCTCCTTTGACCTCCTGGATCAGCCTCGTGTCCTGGGATCGCATCACGATGTTTATTTTGTGGGTGGGTAGCTGTGTAAATATTGCCAAGCCTTGGATGAACTGCCGAGAGTGACAGCGGTCTATGCGATCACACATGTTGCTTGGATGGCTGCCCAATTGCGCCGTAGAACGCAGACACATTTCCGCATGGCGATTTGCAAGGCGGCGAGGAGAGCAAGACAAGTGAGGACACGGCAGTCTTTCTACTAACACGGGCCGTTGAGCCTGGAAAGAGGCTATTTGGAGATTGCGGGACAAGCGACGCTAGGGAGCGATCCAGGCCTACAGGTAGAAGGCGTGTTGGGGCGCCCCAGGGCAAGCAGACTCAACTGAAGACGCTAGAAACGCCACTGTTTTCCAGGCGATGCCCTGTCGATCGGCCTGGCAAAGACTGGTGATAGTCGAGTCGTATTGCCGCGCTTGCGCTCCACGTGGGCCAACAACAGGGAAGCAATGCAAAATGGGCGCAAAGCCGAGACACGAGGGGCAAGAGTGGAAAGAAAAAGACAAGGCAAGAGAAAAAGGAAAAGATTGGCGCACAAGCGTCGGGGCAAACGTCACGACCAAAGTGAGACACAATGTCTACGAGGAATGCTGGAGAACAACAACTATTGCCGTGACATCACGTCCGTACAAAGAAACAAAGAAAGCCACAATGCTCTTCGTCATGTCAACAAAAGAACACCTGGCGTGTCGCATGCTGCTGAGTGACAAGACCCTGCCGAGCCTGCAAGACGGACCGACGACTCGTATTGGCGTTGAGGTGCTTCTATTTCTAGTGCACCGCCACTAATGATTTAGTGGAGACTTTGCGCCTCTGCGCCTACTGTGTAATTAGTGGGTGCAGCGATGGGCCGATAGCGACAGGGCACCTGCGCTTAGTGGGTGGCCATTGGCTCTTAGTGGCTTACTATGCCAGGCCCTCCCCCGGCTCATCCCAGTCCACCCAACTTTTAGCGGCAGGATGACGCCCGAACACGCGGCCTGGATCTTCTGCTTTAAACCTGTTTAGACGAAACCCACCAAAGGCACCCGGAAAACAAGCGGAGAACAACAGAACAACAGAGGCGAGAGGAGCAGGCGCGGATGACGGCCACTCTGTTCATTTTGCATTTAGGATCCTTGTCGTTTTGCTGTGCTTTGTTCAGTTCGGTCACTCGTTTGCTGTCTCCTGGCCGTGTTCCTGTTCGTGTTCCTTTTCCGTTTCTTTTTATCATATTCTATTTCTGTTCATGTTTCTTTGTTTTTGTTTTCTCAACCCACTTTCGTTCGGTCGCATTCGACCAGTCACTCGTTCAGCCAGCGTGTCGAGTCGCTCGTTTCTACTCATCTCCAGAACAACTGTCACGAACCACATCACCGTCGCACTTGCCGCATCTCTTGTCCCGATGCTTTCCTTTCGTGCCTGCCGACCACCGTTGACATGAGCCGCACCAAAGACGGCGGCGCCGTGGAAGCCGCTGTTCTGGCCGAGGCAGGCGCGGCCGCTGCAGAAGAGCACAACAACGCATCGCCCGAAACAGCAACTGCGACCAGCCCACCACAGCACGTGCCTCCCATCGCCTTTGTCGCATCCGCTGCTGCTGCCGTCCGCCGCCTCTGGTGCTTTCTCGTCTTCGATCTCCTCCTGCGCGAAGTCATCCTGCATCCATCTCCCGACGGCCGTCACATTCCTCTGCAGCTCGCCGCCGACCCAGCGCGCCCGCCGCACCTTGTTGACGTCCGCCGCGGCCATGGCTACCTGTCCAACGCAATCCGCACATCGCGCTATACAGTGCTCAACTTCGTCCCCAAGCAGTTGCTGTTCCAGTTCACGCGAGTCGGCAACTTTTATTTCCTGTGTGTCGGCATTCCCCAGACGATCCCGGGTATCAGCACCACAGGCAACTTTACGACCATCCTGCCGCTGCTCTTCTTTGTGCTCCTGACCGTGGTCAAGGAGGGCTACGATGACTACAAGCGCTACTGCCTCGACAAGGTCGAGAACGCCGGCCTGGCCACTGTCTTGCGACGAACCAAGGGCGAGGACGAGAACTACAGCGACAACCAGGACGAGGTAGCAGCCCGAACAGAGAAGGCGGCGATTGCTGCCGAGGCTGCGGCCAAAGCACGCCAGAGACGGCGCAAACGTCTCTCCCTTGTGCCCGTCGTCGGCGCGTGGCTGGCCAGACGCATCTTCCGCGAAGTGCCTCCCCGCGAAGACGGCCGCGTCCTCGGCGGCGTAGCTGGCGAAGCAAGCTGCGGCTTCCAGTGGAAGCATGTCCAGTGGCGGGACATTCGCGTGGGCGACGTGGTGCGCCTGTCCCGTGACGAGGAGGTGCCGGCGGACCTGCTGCTGCTACACGCCGACGGCGAAGGCGGACTGGCCTATGTTGAGACCATGGCCCTTGACGGAGAGACAAACCTCAAGAGCAAGCAGGTACCGGCGCCACTGGCAGGCGGATGCTGTGCAACAATTGCCGGGCTGGTCAACACACAGGCGGAACTTGTGGTCGAGGATCCGAACCCCGACCTGTACCGCTTCGATGGCCGTATCTTGACCTCCGCCCCCGACGACAACGACGCCGCGCCGCCTGTGCCGCTTCCTCTTACGCTCGCGGAAGTCATCTACCGCGGCAGCACTCTCCGCAATACGCCCTGCGCCATCGGCCTTGTCCTTAACACCGGCGAGGAGTGCAAGATTCGTATGAACGCCAACCGCCACCCGCGTGCCAAGAAGCCTGCTCTGGAGCGCGTCACCAACGGCATCGTCCTGCTGCTGGCCGCTTTCGTCGTCCTGCTTGCCGCCGGCTGCTCCATCGGTTATTATCTGTGGCGCCGCAAGGTCGAGCGCCATTCGTGGTACATTAGCATGGTCGCCGTGCCCGCTCAAGAGATTATTTTGGGCTTTGCCATCCAGTTCAACAACGTCATCCCTCTCGCGCTCTACGTCAGTCTCGAGATTGTCAAGCTTGGCCAAATGATGCTCGTCAACGCCGACTGCGCCATGTACGACAGCAAGTCCGATACACCGGCCCGCTGCAACACCAACACCATCCTCGAGAACCTGGGCCAGATTGGCTACGTTTTCTCCGACAAGACGGGCACCCTCACGGAAAACGTCATGCAGTTCCGCAAGATGAGCGTCGCCGGCACGTCTTGGCTGCATGAAGCCGACATTGACGTCGAAGAGACGGCGGGCGCCGGAGCGCCTGAGGCCGGCCAGGAGCATCGCGACGAAGCCGGCGGTGTCGTTGTTGCGTCGCCCCGTCCCTCGCTTCACTCATCACGACGCCCGTCTCCATTGCCGTCGCCTCGGCCGTCCACGGACAGCCGCCCTGTGGGCCCGGTTCGGACACCCTCGCAGTTTCTTGCACCGCCTGTCGAGCCCAGCAACAGCCAGGCACAGCGTGTATCCGCCGAATCCAATCGGCGCTCCTCGTCCCACTGGCGGTCATCGGCCCGCCCGGACCACGCCCAACCAGAACTGACAACCACCGACCTACTCGAATACGTGCGCCTTCGTCCATCTGCGCCCTTCTCCACCAAGGTCGTCACCTACATTCTCGCCATGGCTCTGTGCCACACGTGCCTACCAGAGCTCAAGGACGGCAAGGTTGTCGGCTTCCAGGCCTCATCGCCCGACGAACTGGCCCTGGTTCGTGCCGCTGAAGAGCTCGGCTTCCTTGTCGTCCGCAAGACCGCATCGTCCACCACGCTGCGCTTCACGTACAACCCGCAGGCCGAAGATGACAATGCAGAGGCGCCCCGTGAAGAGACGTATGAGGTGGTTGACGTCATCGAGTTCAGCAGCCAGCGCAAGCGCATGTCCATTGTTGTGCGCCGCCCTGACGGCCGCCTGTGGCTCATTTGCAAGGGCGCCGACTCCATGGTCCTGCCGCGACTGACCATGGCCCCCTTGGCCCTGCAGCGTGCGCAAAACGTGCGTCAAAGCGCCGATCTCGAACGCGCCCTGCTGCGCAAGAGCGAACAATGGGAGCCGCGCAGCAGCTTCGGCGGGCCGGCTAGCGTGACGATTCGGCGGAGCATTGGCGGCAGCGTCCACCGCGACAAGCTTGGCGGGACGGGCGGTGCCGGTAGCGGCGAAAAGGACAAGTCTGTCGGCTTTAAAAATGTGACCGTTACTACCACTGGCAGCAGCGCTCGACACAGCGCCGACCGCAGCCGCTCTTTCGACATCCAGCGAACCGCGCGCCGGTCCATGGACGCCTTCCGTCTTCGGCCTTCCATCGGCCACCGCACACCGTCCTTTGACGTACGCACGCCTGCACTGACAGCCCTCGTTACCGATGTCGATGCGCTCCGGCGGTCGAGTACGTCGGGTGTGCGGGCCTCCCGGCGGCCGTTGCTCTCACCCACGTCGCCACACACACCCAGCCCGCTGCACACAAGTGTGTCACCGCTGCCCGACAAATTTATGTTTCTCGAAACGCCCGCCTTCCTTGAGGCTCTCGACGACGAAAGTAGCATGTTCGACCAGTGCTTCCGCCACATGGACGAGTTCGCCGCAGAAGGCCTGCGTACGCTCCTCTTTGCGCACCGCGTCGTGTCGGACGCGGAGTATGCCGCGTGGAAGACCAGCTACCTGAAAGCGGCAACCAGCCTCGACGACCGCCAGGCCCGCATCGAGGCCGTCGCCGAAACTATTGAGCAGAATTTGCAGCTGATTGGCGCGTCCGCCATCGAAGACAAGCTGCAGGCCGGCGTGCCTGAGACCATGGACACGCTGCGGCGTGCCAACGTGAAGATCTGGATGCTCACGGGTGACAAGCGCGAGACCGCCATCAACATTGCCCACGCTGCCCGGCTGTGCCGCCCAAGCTCGGCGATCTATGTGCTCGACGCGAGCAAGGGTGATTTGGCGGGGCAGCTGCTCCACGTGGCCGAGAGCCTAGGCTTGCCCGAGGCCGACATGGCCATGGCCATGGTTGCCGCCGGCCAGGCTGGGCCGTCAACCCTGCTGGGCCGTGCTGGCCGTGTTCTCCGCAAAGTCATTCGCATGCCGTTCTCGTCGGGCCAGACACTACCCTCCCTTCCGAGTGCGCGCCAACAGCAGCGACGGCGCGGCCATACGGTGGTTGTCATTGACGGCCATACGCTGGGTATCATCGAGGCGGCGAAGAAGAGGCGCAAGAAGGAGGCCAAGCAACCCGCCTCGAAGGCAGAGGCCCAAGCGGCCGCACCCGCCCACCATCTGCATGTCTTGAACGGCGCCGACCCGGACCTGGACAGTTTGTTCTACAGCATCATCCCGTCGGTCGACTCGGTCATTTGCTGCCGTGCCTCGCCCGCCCAAAAGGCCCTGCTTGTGCGCAGCATCCGCCACGGCCCGCTCAAGAAGAACCACCCTGGCCTCACGCTGGCCATTGGTGACGGCGCCAACGACCTGGCCATGCTGGCCGAGGCCCATGTCGGCATTGGCGTGTCGGGCAAGGAGGGCCTGCAGGCGGCGCGGGTGGCCGACTACAGCATTGCGCAGTTTCGGTTCCTGGCACGGCTGCTGCTGGTGCACGGCCGTTGGAACTATGTGCGCACGGCGCAGTTTATCCTGTCGACGTTTTACAAGGAAATGTTCTTCTACACGCCCGCCGCCGCCTACCAGTGGTACTGTGGCTACACGGGCACGTCCATCTACGAGAGCTGGAGCTTGACGGTGCTCAACACGCTCTTTACCAGTCTGTGCGTCATTCTCCCGGGCATCTTTGAGCAGGATCTGAGCGCGGCCGTGCTGATGGCCGTGCCGGAGCTGTACGCGTACGGCCAACAAGGCAAAGCGCTGAGCCCGAAGCGCTATGGCAGCTGGATGCTGGCGGCCATGGCGCAGGGCGTCCTCGTATGGTTTACCTGCTGGGCCGGCTACGGTGCCTTTGCGGACGGGCACGACCCGAACCTGTTTCCACTGGGCAACCTGGTCTTTTCTGTGTGCATTATGTGGACCAACATCAAGTTATTGTACGTCTTTGCCCTCTCCCCACTCCCCTGGTTCTGTTTTTATGTGTGCATGTCATGGCTAACCCCCCCGCCCCAGCATCCTCATTGCACATAACAAGACAGCCGTGGTCTTGGCCGGGTTTGGCATTACCGTGGCCGGTTGGTGGCTGTGGTGTATCTTCCTGGCCCTGGCCTTTACGCCCAGCCCCTCGCCGTACGACGTGCGCGGCGGCCTCTTTACAGGCTATGGCCGCAACCTGTCGTGGTGGACGACAGTCCTGATCGCGCTGACGGTGCTCACGGTCATTGAGCTCGGCTACCGCGCTGCCAAGCGCAACCTCGCTATTGCTGGTCTCTGGGGGCGGGCGGCGGCGGCGCCGCCATCGCCCAAGGCCGCTGCCCAGAAGCAACCGTTTAGCGTCCGGTCCTGGACGGCACGACTGCGGCGGCGTCTGCCATTTGGTGCCCGTGCAACGACAAAGGCGGTAGGAGGTGAAGGCCCAACTGCGGGCGAGGTTGGTGCCCGCGACCATGGCGATGCGTTTGCCGGGTACGATGACGACGACATGTACGAGGACGACAACGACGCCGAAGACGACAGCCGCGGTGAGGGTGAGGACGACGTCGAGATGCCGGCCGACCGGCTGCATGTTGGGCTGTGGCAGGAGATTGAGAAAGACCCCGAGGTGCGGGCGCGGCTGGCGCTCATGAACAGCGAAGACCCGTGGAGTTGAAGGGTGTTGTGGGAGGCGTTTTCTTAGTACATTTTTCTTTGAAAGATACCCATGCTATATCTTTGTATACGGACGAGACGGAGCAGGTGCGTTTTGAATTTTGGCTTGAATTTTGATTTTGATTTGTGAGCATTAGAAATCAACTGTAAGGAATGCATCTATGCGCCTTGAATACTGCCTCCTAAAGCAATGCCATTGTTGGCCGACGTGCGTATGATATTTTCTTTTCGTCCTCAACTCCGTCACGTCTCTGCACCGCTTCCGGTCCCTGGACTTGGTCGGCTCTCGCTCGGAATGCAGTACCCGTTCACACCGCCGTTGCTGGTGCCAAAGGACGACGGCGGCTCGGCCGGGTCATGGCGGCAGTTGCCATAGCCCACCACCGTGTTCCAGCCGGCCGTGGGATGGAACAGCTGTGCCGAGGCCGCGTGGTGCGAGTCGCAGCACAGCAGCGACAGCCGGTCGGCCATCCAGCCCACGCCGTAGCCCGTCATGGTCACGTTCGGCGCGACCCCGTCGTCGCTGTTGCTGTTGCAGACATAGACGGCCGTTGTGTCGTAGCAGTAGACGCGCTGGCACGCGCCGGGCTGCAGCGAGTAGGTCATGTTGATGGCGCGCAGACTCATGGCGCCGGCGCGGATGGTGGCGGGCATACCCGTGTTGAAGACGCCGCAGTAGTAGGTGTAGGGTCCGTCGAGCAGCGGGCCGCCAGGGCCATGGCCAATGTTGGTGGCGTTGATGGGGCCTGGCGCAGGAAGGCCGCCAGAGGGAGGATCCACGGTCAGTTGTCGGGGTTGTAGGCCATGATCGTGGTGATGACGGAGGCCGTTGATTGAGGCAGAGTTGTGAAAGAGTCGTTTGATTGTGGCGGACGGGCTGGTCCAAGGTCGCGTGGATAGGCTTGCCAGGGTCGTCGCCAGGAGGGAGAGGACAAGGATGGCCAGAATCAAGAGGGAGATGAGGGCATGGTGATGGTACTGACTGCGGCGAAGTGTCATTTTCGAGAGCGGTTCGTATCGTTCTGAGCGAGAGCTCCGTTCTGTCCTAGGTACTCTGTCCTAAATGCAGGAAAAAGGTTGGTGATGCATTGCAGTCAATGGAAAATTCAAAACGTTGGTCATGGACGGATAAAAGTTGAGGAAAACCGCAGGGCCTGATTCTGCGGTGGAAACTTGTGAGAGTTGCGTCACTGTACATTGAGTGAGAGGGGAAGTCTTGTCCCCGTGAATAGGCGTTGGGTCACAAGTCTGGCTGGGACGTTCGCACAGAAAACAGACGGGAAGCGGTCTTGGGCAGATAAAAGTTACAATATTGATTATGAGTGTATCGGTGACAGAAATAAACGACGATGGACAACATCACGACAACAGCGCCATTAGTTTCTTAGTTTGCCCCAAAGACTGAGATTCATGTAAGCTTGTTAAGTCTGTGGACGGGGCTTGATATGGTTTTAACTGTTGGATATGTAACGGTGATGGAGGCACAGAAGCATCACGGATTACGGTGATGGCAACTGGTAGCACAACGTAATAGAGTAACTCGTATCATCGATGGTCGTGGAGCATGTTTCCACGTGGGATGTGTACCTTGATCACAAAACGATGTGACGCCAAATCTAGTGAGTGAGTAGCAGTGTTGCACATGAAGCATGGTTAAAGGATGGAATTAGACAATGCGAACAGAGCACTGTTCTTAGAAATTGAAAGCATGTTGAGGGGACTAACAGTAAGATGATCGTAAACATGGTCGATGTGCAAATAAACGAACCACGAAGGCGCGGCTTGGCTTGAGCCAAGTTATCGTTTCCCTTGAGACTAGGATAAGCTTACGGCACCGACGTTGCTGTCTTCGTGCCCACGGATATGGAATCCGACTGGCCGGTATCGCGTGCGTGAAAGCTCGCGATGAAATAATAAACGTAACACAACGAGCTCGGTAGCTAAAGCGCTTATTTCGGTACAGCCACGAAGCCGCAAAATATGTGCCAAGCCACACGAGAAATCGCTGTGAGCGCTCGACATACGTCGTATTGCTCTGGATAAAAGAGAATCGGGGTAGTAGAGCGGTGAGCGGTGCCCGGGAAAGGAAATCTGTTCGCTAAAGTGGTGCTGATTGCGGCCTTTCATTTGCATGTCCCGTGGCTAATATGAATTTCCCACCTGTCCCTGCGCTGTATCGTCTTCCCTCCCCGCAGCTCTGGTTCAGTACCTTAATGAATATGCAAGCCAATATATAAGCACCATTCGTTCACACAGGCGGTTCCAAAGAACGGGCGATGATTTTCCGTCACTCATAGGCGTCGCTGTGTCGCTGCGTCAACGTAGTCTCTTTCCTACATCCAGCACGGCGATGATCTCATACAGCCAATGCCATGAAAGTTGATAAATAGAGCCGAGGTTGCACAGCCTGCCAGCGACTGCCAAGAGAACATGCTCGTGCCTGTCTCTTTATACCGTTCCAGCGTCACTCCTCGGCGGCGTATCGAATATATCGGCCAGAGTTCTCGAAACTAAACAGGGTTTCCACCCACTCGACTCCAACATGGGGCCATCGTCCTTTGCGGAGCTCTGCTCTTCATTTCTGCTGCCGTTGTTGCTGCTTGGCAGTTCGGTCATAGCGGTGCCGATATCGGGAGCCGACGAAGACCACTGGGTCGACACATGGACATCGATGCCCCAGCTGGTTGAGCAGAGCAACATGCCCCCGTCTGCCTTTGTATGTAGTCCAAATGCTCCTGTCGGCGCTCAAGTACTTGGTTAGGTGCAAATACAGCATCGCTGACAAACATAGACCGGTGGCGGCGCAACCTTCAAGGACGCCACGATCCGCCAGACAGTGCACATCTCCATCGGCGCGCCACGGATCCGTGTGCAGCTCTCCAACACATTTGGTGGTAGCGACCTGTCCATCACCGCGGCATCCGTCGCTCTGCCAGAGGGCGGCAAAGTCGGCTCCAATGCCATCGACCCGGCCACTTTGGCAGCCTTGACCTTTGGCGGCAAGCCGGGCGTCAACGTCCCCAAGGGACAGATCGCCTATTCGGACCCCCTCGACTACAAAGTCGACCCGCAGTCCATGCTGTCCGTCAACCTCTTTCTCCAGGGCGGCCAGTCTGGAAGCAGCATTACCGGCCATCCGGGCAGCCGCACGTCGACTTGGATGCAGTCGGGCGAGCACCTCAACGCCACCACCGTCACCGGCGCCAGCACCAAGCACTGGTACTATGTCAATGCCGTCGAGGCCTGGGCGCCGGCCAACACGAGCGCCCTCATCATCCTCGGTGACAGCATCACCGACGGCCGTGGCAGCACCGACGATGCCAACAACCGCTGGCCCGACCTGGTGCTCGCCAAGCTGCAAAAGGCCGGCGTCACCAACCTGGGCGTCAACAACGAGGCCGCCGGCGGCAACTGCGTCCTGAACGGCGGCCTCGGCCCCCCGCTGATGCAGCGCTACAAGCGTGACGCGCTGCAGCAGCAGGGCGTCAAGTACGTCTTCATCTTTGAGGGCGTCAACGACATTGGCGCCAACGCCAACGGGGACTCGCTCATCAGTGCCTTCAAGACCATCATTGCCGACTGCAAGGCCGCCGGTCTCAAGGTGTACGGCGCCACCATCACACCATTTGGCGGCAACAGCTATGCGGGCGGCAACCACGAGGCGAACCGCAAGAAGGTCAACGACTGGATCCTGACGAGCGGCGCCTACGACGGCACAGTTGACTTTGCCAAGCTGCTTGCGGACCCGTCGAGCCCTGACCGGTTGGCGAGCAAGTACGACAGCGGCGACCACCTGCACCCCAACGTGGCTGGCTACCAGCACCTGGCCGACAACTTCCCGGTGGACCTGTTCAAATGAGTCACTGACGCTTGGAAGGGAATTGAGGCCGAAATCCAGAAGAAAAGGGAAAACAAAACACAACAATGAATGTACATATTATTATGCTTTTCAACCGGTACATAAGACCGCCGGAAATGGGCGACGATAACAGCACGTGGAGGTCGGAAAAGTCGCATAAATTTGAAAATAATGGTGTGGATGACATGACGGCTTGGACCTCCAAACCTGCTGTCACAGGTCCAAGAACGAGAACGCAAACAAAAGTTCACAAAATCAATAAACGCCATAAAATGCCACCATAAACACAAAACGTGATTAGAATCTGAAACGTTAGTAGGTGCACACGACGACGAGCAGGATTCCAGAGCCTGGCCAACAAGGATAAACTCACCTTATCTCGTAACTGCCCGCACGCGTCATGTACCGCACCCACTTGACACTGCTGTAGTTGCTTTTTTCAAAGACCTTGAGGTACCGCACCAGCAGGCCACTGCTCGTGAACATCAGCAGGCTAAAGTCCATGCTCAGGGGCGGCCGGCTCCAGGTCTTTTGGTTCGTCATGCTCGTCAGCTCAGCCTCGGCCGACAGCACAAATTCCGACTGGCCCGTGAACCGGCTGATCTTCCACACAATGTTGTTCTCGGACGGCTCGTACTTGGCCTTGCCCTGTGTGCACCTCTCCGTGATGCGAGCCGTGTTGAGCGGCGTCGGAATGCGCACGACGACGTTTGTGGCGAACAGCTTCGGTCCGAAATTGGCGCGCACACCAATGCTGTACTCGACCTTGGTCTTGCCCACCTCGTTGACAATCGCGTGTACCTTGAACGGCAAGTTGACGTTTTCCGTCGACCGGTAGCGCATCAGCTCAAACTCGCCGTCCGGCGGCACGAACGAAATAATGCGGTCCGAGTCAAACTTGCCCAGCTTGACGCACTGGTGGAACTGGCAGTCCTCCAGCGTCACGCTGCCCGCCGCCGCCTTCGTCGCCTTGCTGCCCTGTCGGTTGCCCGACGGAAGCGACTGCACCGTGTCCGAGTCAAGCAGCAGCCGGTCGTTGAGGCCGAACTTGCACTCCGGCGTGCCCGACAGGTACGCGCGCATCACAATCTGGCCCGTCACGTCGGCGCGGAGCACGGCACCCGTTGCCGACATGAGCAGGTTGACGTCCTCAATCACGTCGACAAACGCCTCATTCTTGCGGTACTTGACGTCGGCCTTGCGCCACGACAGTGCGCCTGTTGCTTGCATCGTGATCTTGGCCGAATCCTCGGCGCGGTGTTCGGACTTGACGCCCTCTGTCGTAATGTACATCTTGAGCGTGTCGGTCTCGGTGTTTTGGGGGTAGCCGAAGTCGATGATCTCTGCGAAACAGAAATAGGTATTGTCAGTCCATGTGTCCAATACGTCCCATGCATGCGGCGGATGCGCCGGAACACGGAAAAAAGGCCAGACGCGCGAGACAGTGACAGCAGACAAGGACGCACTGCAGCGCAGCACGGCGCAACACACCACAGCGAATGGAAAACAATGCAGTAAGAAGAAAAAAGGACAAAAAAAAAAAAAAGGAAGGTGGGGAGTAATTACCATCCAGCAGCTCGTACACGAGCACAAAGTTGTTTTTAATCGCTTCCTCGTCGAACTTGCCAAAGTAGCCGCGGCCGAGCGCGATCAGGCGGTACAGAAACTCAAACACGAGTGCCGCATTCGCGTTGCTCTTCGTAATGGCCACCAGATAGATGTTCTCGTGCTTGACATGGCTGAATGTCGTGCTACCGAGCGTCAAGATAGGCGATCGCACCTGGGGGTTCGATATGACCTGGATGCGGAAGACATCCGCCAGCCGCGGGCGGCAGTCGTTGCGGAAGGCGCGAAAGATGAGGTTTTCGCCCTTTTGGTTGAAGATGAGGATGCCGGACAGCATCGTGACAGCACGAGGGGTTGTACAACTGGACCAGGGGGCGTGTCGAGGCGGTCGAAGGACAAGGAGGCCGGAAGGGCCGGGCGGCGATGGCTCGACAAAGCTGGCAGTGACCACAGCGACGTGATGCAAGGGGGCAAATGGAGTTGTGGAGGAGCGAGATGGCTGAGAATGCGGCAGTGCAGACCACATACAAGATATGCTCACGACATACGGGTAGCGACAATATGGCGGGAGTCGCGGCGGTGTTTGGTAATCGTGGATATGAGCGAAGCCGGTCGTCACTCCTGAAGCACACCGTTTTGCTGGGGTCTGGGTCCCACGGCAGAATCGCAGTTGCCCAAGAGGGGCGGTGAGATAAACGGTAAGGACCACGAATGTGGGGCGCCCATCCCCCTCCTCTCCAAAATTAGTCATCTTTGTTGTTACCCCTGAGCGACAGCAGTTAATACAGGGCAAGTGCCACCCTGACGTAGACGGCTTAAGAAGGCACTACTGGCGCTGGATAGTCGCGCTTTCCAACGGCAGTTGTTTTGATGGCTCCTTCCGTCGACTTTTGTCACTTTCTCGATTTATGAGATGTCTCCTGTCATCTATCTCCATTTTCTATTTGTCTTTGACCACTCTGCTGAAGACCCGTTTCGTGGACAGTCGCGCCCGCAATCCACCGACGATCCACCGACCCTCTGCACGATGCATTCTTGTCATGGGCCACGATGACAGCTACATTTCGTGCGGCTGTCGTTGACCCCGTGCCACGCATCGTCTCTTGTTCGATAATTGGGCTTGCCTTTTCGCCTCCCTGACTATCGCGAAACAGGCCATCGTCGTCGCGAGTATGCAAGATCTAGCCCTGTTTTGCTAATGCCCTGCAGACGCAAACGCAGCCGCGTACACGGAGCACGCGACACAACGTTTCTCCCCATCGTCTCTTGCCCTCTATGTCGCTCTAGACAAGCGATGCACGGCCTTTGACACAAAAGACGCCTAGCTGGCAAAGCTGATGTCTTGACGCGGAGACATCCGGTTGGTCAGAGGGCCGGCAAAACATGTGTCTAGGCCTGACCAACGTACCATCGTCTTGCACACCCTAGTCGACTGCAGATTGCAAGAGCTGTGGCAGACGGGTCTCAAGCTGAGAACAGCAGACGCAGGTATCACGTCTACTTTTTGTTGAGATGCGAGGCGAAGTATCGTTTCATTTGCTTTCAGGCCATCGCCACTGAGACCGGACACCTCGACGTGATGGCTGCTTGAAACATTTGGATGCCCAGGGGCGTCAATATTGCCATGGTGCGCACCGATTAGGCAGCGAGGCAGTCTTTTTGATCCTTGTGGTCACTGGGATATTCCTAATCCAGACTTGTTCTCCTCCGCATACTGCAGTGTATGGTAGCACAATTCACCTCGGTAAGCAGCCAGTCGCTGCAAAATTCGAGCAGCCGAGCGACATTGCTGTCTTAGCCTTTGCTGGCTATTCCTCGGTTTCTCTTTCACGGCCTTGATTATTTTTTGTCTTGACCTTGCTTTTATTGATCTCATTGCGTTCTCTTTTACTTGTTATTTTCCTGTCATGTTGGCACCAGCACTTGACACGTCTGGCACACATACTGCCCATCCCTTTCCCATATTAACGCATTTTTCAGATGTACAATCCTTGTGTCCCGTTTGCGCAGTTTTCAGTCTCACTCCATCTTTATTTTGCTTTTGTTACGGAAAGTCAGCGATTGCCGAAGACAACAGGCGATCGCGGATGCTGATCCGGACCAGTGCTAGGCCTTTCAAACTATCACACGACGTCTCATTCCCCGGGTGATTTCTCTCACGGAGGCCGCTGTGCTCCGGTTTCTATTTTGACTCTTTTACTGCTCAGTATCTTTCATGGTTCTGATTATCCGTTTGTCTCGGGTTTATCGCCCCATTTGTTTCTTAAGAACATAATGCAACAAATTTCTTCGCACTGCTTTCCTTCTCAAATTGTTTCTTCTCGGGCCATATACAGACATGGTGTTCAGCCACCACAACGTCGGCTCTTGCGCTTGTCATATGGGTAAAGTCCACAAAAAGGACATGGTAGTGCGTATTCCGTCTTCCGTGTCTTTTTATTTCACGGTGGTAGATGTCATTGCCACATGGTGGGTCTCGGGGCATTGCTGCACATCATAGCGGACGACACCCGGTTTGACACCCTACTACCCACAGCAAGCGATGTTAACCTGTGCTGTCATGTGGCTTGAAACTCATTCCACACTCTCCTTCGCCCCCTTTTTTGGGTTTCACACGATGCAGTTTCACTACGAGTCTAAATTTCACCTATCACTAGGCTCTAATATGGCGCTTGAAGATGATGGCCATAGTGTCAGCTGTTACCATTGATTCGATTGCCGCTTGACGGCAGCATAATCATATGCTTTTGGCCTTCGTTGTATTCAGCGAAGGATGACACTGTCTTGATTTCCTCGGACGAAGCTTTCCGGATATTTCAGTCACAAATCTAGAATCCACAACGTGGTGGTGTCTGTGTTCTCTTTGGCTGTTTCATACCATCATCGTTCAAATTGAATATTTCATACCAACCCTGTCTCTTTTTGAATCATCTGTGGGTTTTTCCCGTCTTGTACAGCATGTCCTCAGAACTGGTGATGCGCGGAATCGACGCCGCCCCCTTATCCTGACACGTATGAGGAAACCATGAGGCGCAAGAAGATGCATCTCACAGCTTTTGTCAACACACTCGTGATACAGATGTGCCACTACTGTATGCAGTGATATTCCTTTTTCCATGAGCTTGTTTTACTTTCTTTGCCTGGACGCCTTTGCCTCTAGTAGCCTGCGCTCACACAACCAATATTCAGTACTCTCCGCCACTCTGTTCTGATGCTTCTGGGTCCTCGTCTTCCTATCTTTTTCCTACCTTTCGCCATAAACCTTAAAATGGTACTCCCGCATGCACCCCCACAGGAATGGAGCTCATTTTACTGGTCTGACGTTTGTTAGCCTTCAGCTGTGCAGGCGTGATCTTATTACTTTTGTGGTCATTGTTTGATCCCTATCCTTGATGCGGCCATGCGCCGATCTTGTTATGTTAGGAGATCTCAAGGATATGTCTCCCCGTTGTGCTTGTATGCATCGGATATTCCACCCCCCCTCTTCCCGCGCAGCGTCTAGCAAAACTTTGGCAAATAACCCCTACCCACAAGCACCGTTCTGGATGCCAGCGCGTTAGTGACAATTCACTTCTCACAAAACGAAAACTCATCCACATCGTGGATGGTGTATCGTTGCAGCGTGCATCTCCTGCGTGGGAGGTAAGGCGAATATTTGCACGTGCCATGATTTAATCACCCTTGCACGTCACATACACATATTTATACCACCCCAGTGGCGCTCCTTCTCATCTCAACTTTGCGGTATCAAATCCATCTCTTTTTTCATCTTGTTAAATCGCAGTTTTTTGTTTCGGCCGGCTCTTGTTTGTTATGTCGTCTTACTTTTCCTCTCGCTTTGTTTAATTGTCTCTTCTCGGTATTCTCATTGTTTTACCTATTCTGGCGGCCTTTTCTTGCTTTTTTTTTTTCAACTTTTCATTGTCCGCGCGGCGCCTTTCTACTACCATGTCTGAAGGAGAAGCAGCCGCAGCTGGGAGCGGCGGAGGCGCTGGGGGCGGTGCAGCACTCGCAGCTGGAGACCCCAGTGGTGGTGGTGAGTCTCCTTACGATGGCGTCGTTCCGGACAGCACCCAACCGGATACTTCTCAATCCGGTCCCGCTTCCGGTGACGCTGGAGCCAATAACAACAGCAATGATAACGGATCGGCAGCAGTTGCGGCCGTGGCTGCAAACAACGAAATCGGAGAAATGGCCGCCCCGTTGGGGGTCTCTGTAGGGAACCATGGCCACGACCAAGGCCACGACCCAGCATTTGATCGACCCCCCGATCTGGCATACAACCAGGGACGCTTTGGAGCATCCTCACCATTCCAACGGCGAACCCACGAATATCGACCGACCGCCCGGCAGCGCACAATTGATCTAGACGAATACTTTGTACGTTTTTACTATGATTGTCGTACAACATAAGATCTGTACTAACTGCTGCATCAATGCAAGACTGGCCCACGGGATATTCAAAAACACTCGAAGTGGCCAATGTTTCTTCAAATGCACGGCAGCATTTTACCAAAGATGCTTCTGCCCATTATGGCTATTGGCACTTGGGCGCTGTTTGTTACCTGTGTCTCATACTTTACGAAAAAGAACTGTTCGTCTTTCTTCGCATTACCATGCAGTACGAAACGCTACCGAATCTGCATGTTCTAACACAATTGACCGTATCAATAGTGGGCATTAGCTCTATCTTACTGACGGTGACCGGCTTTGTCGTCGGCTTGGGCCTGAGCTTCCGAAGCTCGACGGCCTACGAGAGGTAGTTTTAGTCCATGCATTCTGTTGTCGGTTTACACAACCATATGCCGTCTAGATACTAATTCGTTCGTTTTACAGATACGCTGAAGGTCGGCGGTACTGGGCGCAGCTGACGCTAGCGACCCAAGCTCTCGGTCGTGTATTCTGGGTCCATGCCGTGGAACGAGAAGGTCAAAAAGAAAAGGATATGCTGACCAAACTGTAAGTGGTTTGTTTATTATTGATTTACGCATACTCATTCTGCTTTGTTGGTGTTTGTACAATGTGCTTCTGCCTCTTGCCGGTCGCTGCAGTGTTACCGCAGGTACAGAATCTCATCTTGCAGCCGTCCCATTTCTGTCCGTTTACATACATACACCGACCTGACACCTGCGTGCAAAAGTACGTCGTTGAATCTTCTCGTGGCTTTCGCTGTTGCCTTGAAGCACAAACTAAGGCATGAGCCATACACGGGCTACGAGGACCTCGTGCATCTCGTCGGCCACCTGGATACGTTTGCCTTCAATGCCACGGCGAAAGAGCCGGAAAAGGTGCACGAGCCGAAGCCAAACATTGTCAAACTCCTCGGTGGGTATCTGGGCATTTCTTTTGCTGCAAGCAATCCACGCAAGACCATTAAGCGCGCCAACTATCCACTCGGAAACCTGCCCCTGGAGATCTTGACCTACCTAGCGTGCATCACGGATGAGATGATCACCAATACACAGTTGGTCATCCCCATGCATCAGACCCTTGCATACAACAACATTGCCGTCCTCAACGATGTCCTGATGGGCACGGAGCGCGTGTTGACGACGCCGCTGCCGATTGCCTACTCCATTGCCATCTCGCAAATTACATGGGTGTACGTTTTCTTGCTGCCGTTCCAGCTGTACCCGACGCTGCAGTGGGTGACCATCCCGGCGACCGTTGTGGCGTCGTATATTATATTGGGCATTCTCTTTATCGGCCGCGAGATTGAAAACCCGTTCGGCCACGACGTCAACGACCTGCCGCTGGAGTCGTATTGCGCCCAGATCTCCATGGACCTGGACATTCTGGCCTCCAAGAAGAAGCACCACCACCGCGACTGGGTCGAATCGCTCGACAACAAGGTGCTGTACCCGATCAGCATGAGCAGCTGGCACGTGTGGAAAGCGCGCGGCGAGCACAAGATGCGCGATGCACTGCGGGCACGGTCTGAGATTGCGCTCGACACGCGCAAGGCCATGATGAGCCAGAAGAAGAACCGCAGCCCGGACGCCACGAAGAGCGGCGACGACTCCGATCTGAAACACGACCAAGATCCCCACGACGGTGGCATTGGGAGTGGCCCACTGGGCTTGGGGCTTGGTCGGCGCCACGGGCTTGGCCGCAAGATGACGGCCACACGCAGCGAGACCACAACGAGCGGAATAGACGAGGAAGCCAATATCGGCTTTGGCTTCTTTGGCTCGGCTAGCTTTGGCAGCAGCGGCAGCAGCGGCAGCGACTTACCCGGCCGGATCAACAGTACCGGGACTTTCAACAAGGAATAATTGCAACATGCTAGTAACGGCGAGGACTGCCTCCGGGAGCTGAATGTCTTTTTTCTCTTTCTTTATTTTCAATGATTTGACTGTGTTGTGCGTTTCAGGCTGGGCTCATTTGTTTTTGCTATTCCTATGCTTATTCTTCTTGTTCTTCTTTTATTTCCTTCTTTTACTTTCATTTTTCGGTTCCTTTTTGTTTCCTTTTTGTTACCATTTTGTTTCCATTTATTTTTGTTTTCCTCCATTTCTTTTCTTCTTTTTGTTTGTTTACTTGCATTAGCACTGCCACATGATTTTCAGTACTTTGGGGACCAGCCATCCTTGTTTGTATTCGCTTTGCATTTGCTTTCGATGTTTCTTCACATTCTGTTTAGTTTGCATTTGCCAGTCGTATTTAAACGTTTTTCTCAAGATTGTATACAAGTTGTATTTCTAATTCACTATCGTTGACCATTTAATTTTCTCCAAACGTGCACTATCTACGAAAAGAATGTCTTCACATACTACATTTCCTCTTGATAATGTTGTCTCTCGTCTGCCAGAAGCAGCTGAAGCAACTGAACGGCTTACCAGTTGTGTTACCAGCCTCCGCCGGTCTCGGTTCCAACGTGCTTCTAGTCTCCTGCAAAGGTTAACAAACTAAAAGCGGATCCCAACAGTGGCCGCGGGCAATTGCTCGCATAGTTTTGGCTGGAATGTCTCATTCATCGCCCAGCGTTCTCTGTCATATTTCACATAAGAAATGCATAATAAATCATATGCCATTATTTGATAATGGTATTAGAGACAGTAATATGGAACATTCATAAATCGTAACCCCTCTAGAACAACAGCGAAATATCAAACGGCATAATTTGCAAGGATTAGACAGAAATTACACAACAATGAGCCAAGCCTATTCTGAAAACGGAGCAGGGTAGACGGTCCTTGTGCGGCCGTCCAGAACGCGGTCGACGGCTGTCTGCGCGGCTTCGGCAAAGACGGTGCTGTGGAAGAGTATGCCTAGCTCTTGGCTGGTAAAGAAGCTTGCACGGTCAATATTGCCGGAGCCTAGCACGGTGTGTTCTCCGTCGACAATGGTCATCTTGATGTGGGACTGGACGGGCTGCTCGGTGGCCGGTGCGAAGCCGCCGGTCTTTGTAGAGGGCTGCACCGGTGCCGGCTGAGGAGACGACAGCATGGCCTGCTCTTCATCCGAGGCCTTTTTCGTCGTGTCCAGCGGCTGGTAGTAGGCGATATGCAGCCGACCAACTCCGTTTTGCGGCCGCCGCCGCTGCTGCTGCTGCTGTTGTGCGAGGGCATCATACCGTTTTATGAAGCTGCGAATGCATCGCCCTGTCGTCGTTCCGGCCGTCAGAATCTGCTCGTACACCATCATGCGCGCACCAGTGACAATGTCGACGTCGACACCGCGGCCCAGGGCCGCAAGGAGTGCTACCGTGACGGCGTCGACGGTGAAGTTGGGCGACTGGATGTAGATATGGCGAGTGGCGGCCGACAACAGCTGGAGCATGGCGAGGTTGAGCGGCGTAGGCGGCGGCGGCGCGTAGTCCTGCCAGGGAAAGGGACGGAACAGAGGGTTTCTATGGTGCGACGACGGTAGGATGACGGTGGGGATGGGCGTTGCTGATGCGCCGGTGGATGGAGAGGGAAAGCGGACAACAATGCTCCCAGGGCCGTCCACGTCGAGGGGGCTGATGTGAAAGGGCGATGAAGCGGCAGTTGTTGCAACATTGTCTGGACGCGCTTCGTCATCGCCGTCTCCGCTGTCGTCCCAGTCTGGAAGCGTGTCTCGCCAAGTTTTGGCGTAAAACGAGAGCAGCGGACGCACAGCGTCGCCTGTCACTTCAACACAGTCCTCCAGCCACGGCTCCCAGCTGACATTGCAGCTCGGCAAAAAGGCCCGTTTGCGGTCGAGAATCATAAACTTTGGGTGCATGACGCTGAACGGCAAAAAGAACAGGCTCTTGACCGACAGGTCGATGCCAGCATCACGCAAGACGGACGGAGAAGGCAGGCCCAGGTCCTTTTCCCATGTCGACGGCGGATACGTGTAGCCGTCGCGAGACGAGGTGTGAAGCAGCTTTTGCAGCAGCGAGCGCGACGAGAAGCAGATGCGTATCCGCAGAGGCGGCACCGACTCCGGTGTCGCCGGCAATCGCGCTGCTGCCAACCGGAGGAGTGCGGCCGAGAGGTCCGAAAGGCTCTTGGAGGCTGCCCAGAAGCACGTCACCAGCAAAACCTCACGGCGGGCGCTGAGCAGCGCCGGCAGCAGCTGCGACGCAAACACCGACGCACCCGTGCCAATCCGCAAGGTATGGGGCACACTGGACGACGCAAACTGGGCGACGACCGGGTCATCGGCCGCATCATCGCCATCAGCGGTGAAACCAGGTGCGTCGCGGTAGCTGTAGGCATGCAGCTCGGCAGCCGCGATATGGGGCGGTACTGTCTTGAGCTGAGCGCATAGAGTGCGCGTGAATCTGTGTGTGTCAGCCATCGTGGGCAACGCGCATGTCGTATTCCGTATCTATGGATGAATGAGAACAGGGATGCGAGCGATGGGGACGGTGTGAGGTCGAAGCTGCAGTGGCTAATATGCGTGAGGTCATCAACGCGTGTTGCCGTAATGCGCGGCGTGCTTAGTGAGAAGGCCCCCAGTTGAGAGTGCCCTGTAATTACGTCGTAAGTACTGCTTGGCGTGTGACAGTTGCAGTTTGCGGGGGTAAGTGCTTTCCGCGACCACTAACGCTCCTTCCTCATCACACGTTTTTAGGCGTTCTTTCCTCACAAGGAAGAATGAGCACGACAAGGGAAGAAGGAAGGCGCGCGGACGACACAATATGTATATGAATTAAATTAGTTGAAATCCGCTCTAAATTTGATGTTTGTCTATCGTCTCTTGTCTTCATCGCTCGTCGCATTCAGGCACCGTCCGTTTACACCAATTTTGCGGCCCACAGCACGGCCGTCTTCAGATGCGACACAAAGACCTCGTCCTCGTACGCCTCGGCGAAGTGCCCCAGCGCCGTGTAGTAGACGCGCGTGCCGGTGCCTTCAAAATCGGGCCACGTCCATGCAATCGGGTGGTGTTCGCCGTGCTTGCCGCCTTCGTACGTCGTCTCGTCAGCCACCAGCAGGATGTTCGTCGCGTCTTGGGATTCCGTCGTTGGCGTTGTCGGCGTCTGTTGCGCGGCCACAACGGCGCACGATGTCGGCTCGAAGTTGTACCACTCGTCGAAGCGCGAAAAGGACGGCCCGGAAAGGCTGGCGTCGGACGGCGCCGACACGACCTTCAAAAGGGGCTGCACGATGGGATGCTGCGGCGCCTTGATGACGACACGGCCCAGCTGAGGGGCAGGATGCTCGGTGAAGACGGCGCCGAGCAGACGGCCATAGTAGCCGGCCGGGTCGACCTCGCGGGACAGCATGGCGCTGGAGGCCCCGTGGATGCCCACGATGCCGCTGTCGCCGGACGAGACCTGGCGTTCGAGGACGGCCAGCTGCTCGGACGTCAAAAAGTTACCGGACGCGTGCAGCAGGACGATGACGCGGAAGCGCGCGAGGATCTCGGGCGTAAACGTCGCCTCGGCGTCTTCCGATGCCTCGACGGTAAAGGGATGGTCGGAGCCAGTCGACTGCTCGGCCAGTTTTTGGAAGCTGAGGATGCCCGCCTCGATAGACTCGTGGCGATAGCCCAGGGTCTTACTGAAGACCAACACCTTGAACGGCTCAGGCATGTTGGTGTTGCTCTGATGCGGGCGAGGCACTTTGGGACAGGCGACGTGGTCCGTGATAAACGAAATGCGAATCGAAAAGCAGGTCGAAAGATTAAAATTGTCAAAGTGACGAAATGTATTGCCGAGGCTTAGAATAGAGCAGGCAGAAGCGTCGTGTTTGAAGAGAAAACGTTGTCTCCAAATCGGAAGACGACATCAGCTACGACATGCTACGGCGGCTCAATTCTTCCATCAATGAGGTGCGCTTTTGAGCACTACGAGTAGCATCTCCGCAAACGGCCAGCGGATGTATGGCGACAGAAAAAGAGGAGCAAGGATGTGTTAGTTGAGCAACTGTGTGGGGGCATCGCGCGAGAAAAGAAACAGGCCGCGCCTGGTTGGTTCGGTCCCTTTTCCGACTGAAATAGGTGGAGGTCGAGTTGCCGAACATTGCAGTCGGGAGACAGCCAAGGATGGGGGGAAAGCATGTGTACTAGAGAAGTAGCAATCAGATGTCGATTTATGGAGTAAAAGAAACGAGTTGAGCCCAAAACAAAGCCTGTCCCAGAGAGCACAAGTACAATAATTAAAACACTAAAGTAAACGAAACAAGATGCTCATCACCTCATCACCTCATCACCTCATCACCGCATCGCCGCATCACTACATCCGCAGTCGCCATCGCCGAGTCTTCTGTGCCACCGTCTCGCTCCGGACCCGCGTCTCGACGCCCGCGGATGTGCCTGGCCGCAGCGGGTCGACCTGGTCGCGGATAAAGGCGTCGTCGTAGTGGCCGTGGCCGTCGTTGTCGGCTTGTCGCTGTTTCAGCTTGGCCACATCGTCTTCGTCGTCACTGTCGTCGTCGCCCGGCCGCTCGTCCCGCACAATCTCCACCTCCCTGGTCACCAGAATGCGGAACACCTGCTGCCGCAACACAGGCCAGAAGATGGGCACGCTCGCGCAGATGCTCGCCAAGTTGACTTCCAGCGACGACAAAAGGACCGTGTCCGGTGCGTAGAACGTCGAGTCGACATATGTCTCGAGCACGGAGCCGCCGGAGCCGATGAGCAGGGCCAGGCGCCACGCCGCAAAGACGTTGACAAGGGCGCCGAGCAGCAGGAGGACGATGACGCCCGCGCGCGTGCGCAGGGAGGAGCGGATCACCATTGTGCCCGGCGTGCTGGATCTTGCAGAGGAAGAGACTGTGTTTCCCAGGTACAGCGGGACCGGGATGGCGAGCACACAGATGTCGAGGCCCATGTTGATGGCCGTGTGCGCAATAAATGCCGTTCGGTCCGTAGAGATACCGAAGCCGTAGCAGGTGCCCCGGTGGTCTGGGTCTTGGTTTGTCACGCCGTCCCAGTACGTGCTGACGGGGAGGCAAGGCACCCAAGCGAGGAACGAAAAGGTGGCGCCCCAGGCGGCAACAATAACAATAAGAACTTGACAGGTACGGCGTAGAAAGGTGCGGCCAGCGGTGTCGCTCGTCTTGGAGTCGTCGGAGTCGATGGAGTCGTTTTTGAAAACACGGAGGAATTGGAAGAGCAGGGCCAGCTTCATAAAGGCGGTCGAGCTGACATACGATGCGTTCGCGATGTAGAACATCTTGTGTGGTCAGCCGATGCATATATTCTATAACGAGTGTTGACGTCGACATGTCAAGGGCCATTACGTACGATCAGGAACATGCGTAATTCGCGTGGTGTGAACATGATCAAATGCTGGCCGAGGCCGAAGCTAGGAGCTGAGAAGGTTAGCAAAGGGCTTGCGTGGAATCCAAAACACCCGGAGAGAAATGCTACGTACCAATGCAAACACTGACGGCCGATGCAAGTGTCGTCATCTAACGATTTAGCGTCAGTCACCGTAATTCTCAATACATGATCTGGCCGGTGCCACGTACCAGATACAAGCCGACAAACACATCATCCCAGCCGGGCATCCGGAGCACTGCTAGGCGTATATAGAGGCGAGATATGACGCAGAGAAACGCAATCGACTGGCTTGTTAGCGGACGTGTAAGAAGGGCATTCATGAGTATTACACAACATACCGTCACTGTGATGACGATGCCTCGAATGGTGGCCGGTTCATTTTGCCAGGGCATCGGCTGCTCCAAGTAGGCAGTGAAGTTAAATGGCGTATTTGTGGCCATGATGTTGGGATCGAGGTCAATGGACTCGAGCGGTGGAGAGACGGAAAAAGGGAAAGAAATCCTGGCTTTGAAAGCAAGATGCAAAATGGTCGTTTCTGTCGACTTGCAAACTAGCTGATTACGTCCTTGACATGAGCCATGAGAAGCAGAGTAAGTCGTTGGAAGACGGTCAGAGTCAGGAGGGCAGTAGTCGACTAGATATATCGGGCCTCTCTGTGTTGTTTGTGTCGTTTCCAGAAACCAAATGATCCCAAAAACGACTCAGAAAACCTGGAGACACAAAATCTCGTCTGGAAGAGACTCGGAGAAAAGGACGACGAAAAGGGCCCGAAAAAAGGGCCCGACATTCGTGATCTTCGTCGTTTTGTTCCCCCCATCCCGTCACACCATCTTATTACTCTGTCTGTGAATGTCTGTAGGGCAAAGCAGGCTCTTGGTCCATTGTGCCAACGTCGATATGTCAACCAGCCAAGTATGCATACATATGAAACAGCGCTGGTTTGCATACACCGATGGGAAAGAGTCTGCCTCAAGCCTCCTTCCCGTCAGTTACGCTTTGCTGCATTGGTTTCATCCTACGAGCGGACTATTGTATGGTATGTTGGCAATGGTAGAGGCTCGTCTGAAGAAGATGGTGACATTGCCAGCAAACTGGGGACCAGACAGAACACGAAGGGAGCGGTCGGGTAATGCCAAAGTCAACTCCACAACCAGGCCGTTTCATTGCCACAAGTGAACCCATCAGACGGGTGCTTGGGCGACTTGGACGTGCAGGCAAAAGGCACGGCATGAACAATACGGGCAGATTGTCCACCCACTACCCGTCGCCTGGGCCGGCCATCAGCAACCGAGCGCATACGATGGACGACGACAGAGGGGCGGCTCACAAGAAGAGGCAGCCGTCCTTTTGTCGCCGCAGGGGTGCGTCGATCGCACGCCGTGGCTGAAACATGGAAGAAGCCTGAGGACGAAGATGCGGGTCAGAAAATTAAAGGCTGCCTTTTTTTTCGTCAATCTTTTATCCATGATTTTATGTTGTCATCAATCTCGTAATAGTAATTTGTCCCACACGAGTCTTGTTATCGATGTAAATTAATCTATTTAATTCCGCATGCTTGAGCCACAACGACGGACCGGCCCTTGCCCGTCACTTTACGCGTTCACACGTAAATTAACAGGTGCGCGGCTATTTCTATTTTCTTTTCTCGTATCTCACATCTTCTTCTTTTTTCTCGTCTGTAAACATAAACATTGCATCTTACACAAAAGATGCTCTGTCTGTTGGACAACTCGAACTGCCGAGTGTGTCGCTACTCTCAATTTTGTCATAAACCATGGTAGATAAAAGCAACCTTCTCGCCGAGATCCGTTGTCTGTTAGTGATCGTCTCACTCATCCCTTGTCTTTGATTCTTTTATTCTCCAATTAGTTATCAGCCGTATGGTCTGAGCCCCTTTGGTCCCAGTCCCCTTCCGCCTGCACAGACAATTTCTCACGCATTCCCAGCTCCTGCGTCGCCTCGTAGGGTAGTATTGAACCTTACAAAGTCGATATTTGCTCCATGGCCCGCGCACAGGCCGTACACAAGCGGGCATCTAATGTCCGTCGCCCCCAATTGATCCATCGTTCAGGAAACCAACAGACACCCGACAACGATCTTGGGGGCCGAATCCATCACATCTACGCCGGTTGAACCGCATTGCCGAAAGAACGCAACGTCAGGACATCACAGACATGACAGTTTTGCGTGCTCTTGGATTGAATCTACGTCAAATATCAGTTACAGTTAGTGTTACCTCAATTGGTTATGTATCTTCAAAAATCAAGTAGAATAGTTGTGGTTCCTTTGTTAATTATATGTTCTTTAAAAAATAGAAAAGAAAGAACGAGGGAAACTAAACCCGTGATAACACACAATGTGCTACCAATGCAGTCTACAACACATATTATGATTCTCACAGGGCATGCAACAGTACCCTTTGCAATGCCTGGATGGTGACTGAGCTCAATGGCAAGACGTCTCAATCCGGCTATGGTGTCCATCGGGATTGAGAATGGCCTCCGCCGCCGGTTACAGTAGTGCTGCCGGGTCCGACCTCCTACCATACCAGTTAACCGTTTCGTCGCAACGTGAGGCTTCCAGAGCCTGGCCCAGTCAGCCTTAATGATCTTCGTCGCCCCCTGTTCCATTTCTAATTCCACGACGGAGGGTGCCTGTGTCTTTCCCACCATCTCCCCCCAAACACTGGAACCGATGCATTGCGGCAACAACGGGTCGGACAGAAAGTTTACCTCTTCGGTTCCGGCGAGCTACGAGGACGAGGTATGCATGACAATCCTTGGGAGTTCAAGAAAACGACAATGTGGTAACAACACAAAATAAAAAAGGCGGCAAATTCGTGGTCATGTGGTGCAAACTTTGCTGTTAAATATTGTTTTATTTGAAATAATTGATTGCATTTTGTCATCAATTTGAACGGTAGTTATGTTCATGTTTGTATTTTATTATTTATTTATTATTTATTTTTTGAACTTTTGTTGAAAAGGAAATATGATAATTTGTCTTGATGGCTTTAAACCTTCCACAAACATCGTATTAGAGGAAGAGAAGAAACACTTCTCATCCTCCGCTCGAATGTTTGAAGAAATTATGGCAGCTCGGTCTTAGCTTATGTCCACGTTTATTTGCGTCTTTTCAGCCTTTACTTATAACTCCATTGGAACCCCTCTCGGCCACACCGTGAACTCCCGTAAACAGCGGCGATGCAGCAATTAGACGTATGCATTCGACGGTAATGTCTCCCGGATGGCCCAAAATGAGGATTGCTCGCCTCGGAGTCAAGGGATTGCGTGTGGGCCATGCCTGCCGGATTTGGACCGGACGTGTCGCACTGAAGATTGCCCAAAGTAGAAACAGTGGGGCGACGGCGTCGGAGACTGTTATTTCCTAATTCGGAAGCACTGGCGGACATAAGCCCAAACGCCTAACACTGGGTGAGAACTGTATTTGAATCCACTGAACGACAGAGCCTCGGCGGGTGCAGCCGCTTTACAGAAGGCTTGGCCCCCGCCGTAGTTAAACCCGGAGCCGACGGACGACGACACGTGAAATGATGGTACAATGTTATCGTTTGGTAATAGTCTGCATGACGTCTGCCACGAGACGTGATCCTTTGCACACGGAATCCCGCCGGTCCCCGTCCACGGAGTTATCCAGGCAGCTAAGCGGGATATTTCCAGATCTGGAGGGCAGATTCATGGCTCGGGGTATGAGATGGTCCGCGCAATGGCAAAAACCAGTAGGACGCATAAAACAGAGATGGCATGTCGGAGATTCAGGCTCCCGGAATGCCGGCGGCAAGTGTCCGTGTAGTCGTAACAAGGCTGGGCGGACAGGGAGAGCTCCTGACTGTTGGGCTGCGCGTGTCAACCGCACCTGTCCAGAAGTACAACGCTACTCGACGGCGAAAAGGCATAGTACGTGTTGGTCGCGAACGAAGAGAAGGATCTCTCATGATGGCAGCCTCCATTTTCGCATATAAAGAGGCAGAGCTTCCCCTGGGTCGGCGACAGTTTCGTTTCAATCAAATCAAATCATCTCAAATCATCTCATGTGCACACATCTCTCCATTCTTCGCCTGACAATCATCAACGGCATCAGCAGCTTCAAGCCCTCGAATCTTCCGACACGCACCAGACACCTCAGTCCAAGACCACTGATAACTGCGCGCCGCCTCGTACATACCAAAATGGCCGCCGTTCAGTACGCAAAGGACCAGCCCGCGGGCTTCAAGAACAAGATTGAGAAGGTCGCCATCGTCGGCGTAAGTAGATTTGGCCGCTGGACCCTATGCCGACTATGCCTACTGCCTGGATGGTCTCTAACAAGCTTCTATTAGGCCGCCGGCTACATCGGCAGCAACTTCACCCGCGAGCTGCTCAAGACCGGCAAGCACACCATCACCGCCCTCACCCGCGCTGACAGCAAGAACGCCATCCCCGACGGCGTCCAAAAGGTCGTTGTCGACTACGATGACCACAGCAGCATTGTCAAGGCCCTGACCGGCCAGGACTTTTTGATCATTACGCTCTCCGTGCGCGCGCCGCGCGACCTCAGCCTCAAGCTCGCCACCGCGGCCGCCGAGGCCGGCATCCGGTGGATCATGCCCAACGCCTACGGTCCCAACCCCAACAGCCAGACCATGTACGACGAGATGGGCTTTGGCCAGTCGTACCGCGGCCTCATGGCGAAGCTGCACGAGCTCAAGCTCAACCCCGTCGTCCTGACCTGTGGCTTCTGGTACGAGTTCAGTCTGGCGGGCGGTCTCAACCGCTACGGCTTCGACATTGCCAACCGCAAGGTGACCCTCTTCGACAAGGGCGACGTCCAGGTCTACACGAGCACGCTGCCCCAGTGCGGCCGCGCCGCCGCGGCGCTGCTGAGCCTGCCCGTGCTGCCCGAGGACGCGTCGAGCGACGCCTCGGCGACGCTGTCGCACTACACCGAGCCGCAGCCCGCGTACATTCGGTCGTTCCACGTCAGCCAAAACGACATGTTGGCCAGCCTCAAGCGCGTGACGGGCACGACGGACGCCGACTGGACCATCACGAGCGAGCCGAGCAAGGAGCGCTGGGCCAACGCGACCAAGGCGCTGCAGAGCGGCGGCGGCTTCCAGCTGGACGGCAAGACGCCCATGTCGCCCTTGGAAGCCTTTGGCATGGTCATGTACACGCGCATCTTCTTCCCCGGCGGCGACGGCCTGACGGACAAGGACATTAAAAACGGCGCTCTGGGCCTGCCCGACGAGGACCTGGACGAGTGGACCAAGGAGGCCGTGCGCCTGGTCGAGACCAACGAGCTGGCAACCTATGGCCAGTAGACGGCAGAAGACGGGAAATCTCTTCCATAATTGCCTCGTCGAGTTTCGCAAATTTGTCACGGTTTGATGTTGTGTGTTGAATATGACTTACATAGAAGCTAATATGAACCTATTGCACAAAAACTACCCTTGAATTATTCGTCTGTAAAAGAAAAGTGAAAACAGCAAGCAACAAAATCCCCGCCAAACGCCATATCGTATACGCATGACAGAACGAGACGAGAAAAACAGAGAAAATCGTAGGTGCCGTATCATTGGCTACTTCGTCGAGGTGGGTGTCGCCTGCAACGACTCGACCGGCGTGGGCTTGTCGAGGCCAGTGCTCAGAAAGTCGCTGTACTCCTTGGGATCAAACGTCTTGGTCGCCGAGACGGGGTGCAGCGCGTACGACGGCGGCTTGTCTGGCTGCGACGACGGCTTGTCGTACGACGAAGACCACGAAGACGACACCTTGCCATATGAGGCGCCCTTGCTGCCGCTGCTGCTGCTGCTGCTGCTGCTGCTGCTGCTGCTGCCATTGGCTCCACTGCCACCAAGACCAAACAGAGAGGGCACGTCAAAACCCGCTGCTGCCAGCACCCGCGCGCCCACAACGTATGTCGTCGCCGCCCACACAAAGACGACGACGCTGAAGCCCGTCGCCGCGCAGAGCGCGGGCACCAGGAACAGCAGCCCGACGCCGGACCAGAAGAGGAAGATGGCCCAGAAGACGCTGAACGCGACCACCGCCCACAGGGCCACATAGCCCACAAACGCGGCCAGCGGCACAGCGCAGAAGGCGAGCCAGGTCACGACGAGGCCAAAGAGCAGGGGCTGGTCGCGGGAGGTCGCGGCAAACCAGCGGCGGAGGGCGTCGGCACGGTCGCGGCCAAGGAGCGACTGGACGGCAGTCTGGCCGCGCTGGACGATGCCGACGAAGAGGTTGCGGAGGATGTCCATTTTGGAGGGGTGGGAGTTTTGGGAGACAGAGTTGTCGGCGAGTTTGAACGTGGAATCGGTCGAGTCGGGAATGACGCGAGTGTCGCCAAAATACGGGACGATGCAGACGACGGACGAAACGTGAATCGATGGTGCCAAGTCTCGAACAACGAGATGGATGATGGTTTTCGTGTTTTGTTGGCGATGATGCTAACGCGCCGTCGTCTCAAGCCCATTCAAGGGATGTAAGAGTGCCATCGCGTCCCTCCAGTAGCGACGCCATACAGAATATTCTCTATTTTGTACAGGTGGCGCACTTATCACGTTTCTCCACTATCGATAAGCCCATGACGTAAATCACAAATGTGTTCACTTGCGGCTCACCACCATCCACGGCGTACTGTGCCTCCCTAGAAAGTTATGAAATAATCACACTGGATGTTTGTGAAGGATTCTTTCGGGTCGACGGTAATTGTTGTTCAATCACGACAGTTCTTGCAGACCTTCAAGGGCAGCCCTGTCATAACCGCAGAGATGCCGTATTGACAGTTAGTCTGCCGCCTATAGCGAGCTACGTCACAGCCAACCACTAAAATGCGACAGTCCATTCAGTCTACGGGCAACCGCCGGCCATACCGCCCGTTGTCGGATGATCTGATAATGATTTATTTGCGTCGGCCGCACACACCTCTTATCTGATCTATTCCTGCATCGCTTCACCACTGGTGATGTTGTTGCAGCACTCGTCTGCAAGCCGCGCCAACCATGGGAGACAGCAGAGGACAGGAGAAAGCCAGCGACAGCAAACGCAAGAATGACAACACGCACAGGGAGATTATGCTGGTACGATGCAATCCGTTCGCTTATTCACGTATAAACAGACACGCGCTGACCTGGTATGCTCACTCAACAGGCCGGTGCCTTTGCTGCGTTCACCGTCGACCTGCTGGTCTACCCACTGGACACGATCAAGACGCGCATGCAGAGCCGCGACTACATCAAGACCTATGCAGAAACATCGAATGCATCGTCCAAGCCGATTGCGACGGCCAAGGCGTTTCGGCGTGTCACGGCACCGTCGGCATATGCACTCCGCGGGCTGTACCAAGGAATCGGGACTGTTATTTTGGCAACACTCCCCGCATGTACGTTTTTTTTTTTTTTTTTTTTGCCAAAGAACCATACACCATACCGGGACAATACCGCGGCCCCGACTAACCATCCTCTCCAGCCGGCGTCTTCTTCACAACCTACGAGTGGGCGAAACGGATCGTCGGCAGTGCCCTCCCAGCAGCCACGAATGCAATCGCCCCGGGATCACAGCCTCCGGCGGCGCTCATCCATGCTCTCTCGTCGGGAATGGCTGAGCTGGCCTCGTGTCTGGTGCTGACCCCCGCCGAAGTCATCAAACAGAACGCCCAGATGATCAAGAAAAACAAGGCGACAGCAAGGGGCGAGTCCAAACTGTCGTCGGCCAGCACATCCCTCCAGGCATTTCGCATGCTGGCCCATGCCGAGGGCGGCGCGGTGCGTCGGCTTCTCGCCGGCTACACGGCCCTGGCCGCGCGCAACCTGCCCTTTACGGCGCTGCAGTTTCCCATGTTCGAGGCGCTGCGCGCACGCTTGCGCCGACGGTGGGCCGGCGTGGACAGCAGCGACCCGACCAGCAGGAACCACCTCGTGTTCGTCGGCGCCGTCAACGGATTCAGCGCGGGCACGTCGGGGGCCGTGGCCGCTGTCATCACGACGCCCTTGGACGTGGTCAAGACGCGCATGATGCTGTCGCCATACGACGATGATGCAGGCAAGAAGAAGACCGAGGACAAGACGAACGAGAAGAACAAGCCGCCAAAGGCAACACGATTCAGCGCCGCACAGCTGACACGCCGCATCTACCGCGAGCACGGCATTCGAGGTCTGTTCAGAGGCGGCGCATTCCGGGCGGGCTGGACATTTGTCGGCAGTGGACTGTACCTAGGCACATACGAGGTCGCCAAGGCGTATCTGCGTGGTGGCCGACAGGAGGGACACAGTGACGGTGGCATTTGAGCGAGTTCAGGCATCGTTCCCGAGAGACAAGAGACGGAAGACAAACCCAAAATTAGAGCAGCACGCAGAACGAACGTAATCGATTGCAAATTCAATTTGCAAACAACTTCTTGGCCGAAAGCACCATGAAGAAGCCAGCCGAAGCGAAAGGCGCGCCATACACAATCCACGTTACATGCTTCCCACACCCCATGCTTATCTCGCAGTTCGCAAGCCGTGTGTATGCCGTACTTGTAGCGGTGAGTCCAGTTATAATTCGAAATGTGTCGACCAAGACAGAAGACAGTGGCAGCCGTAGTCGCACGCGTATCTTGACAGCATCGACACGTTTCATTGCGGTATTGTTTCTTTCTTTCTCTTCATCCCTTTTTTCATGGCTTTCCATTGGGCAATTCCATTGTACATGAGCATGCGAGACGGGTGGAGGCGATGGCATCAACCGCAGAATCGATGGCGCGATTGGTTGCGACTCGGCTCTTGGCGTTTGGGTAGGCAAATCTGCGTGTTAGTGTCGTGGAAGACGGGCAAAATGCGAAGGTGGGACAAACAGTAAATCGAACGAGATGCTAACAAACACGACGAAAAAACAGTACGTTTCACCCTATGAAGGACACTACCCGGCGCAGTTGTCTCCTCGGGCTTTCGTATGTAAATTCCGGTAGAGTATTGCATCGCTCCCACCAAGTACACGCCGCCGTCTTAAGGCCGTGTCTCTACATTGAGTCACAAAAGGAACGGGCGAAACCGCTTTGGACAACAACTTTTCTCGACAATTCCCTTGCCCCCTTGTCTTTCGTCCCTTATTTTAGTACCCGCAAGTGGCGGCATAGGAGGATAAGCTCGCCATTTGATGGCCGAATGTCAACAGTCCAGTACTACTAAGACCGCGAGATGGCGAACAATGTAGTTTGAGACGGTGTAAAATGAAAAAGAAAAAAAATCTCACATAGTGTGATAGGGAGAAGGAAAGCACGTAGAGACGGAAAGCGCAGGCAAATAAAGAGGAAGAATAAAAGGAGCAAGAAAAGAAAAGAAGCATCATTGAAGGCGTTTTCCCTCCGGCGACACGTCTATTTCAGCAACGTTTCTTCACACAAAGTCCTTCTCATATTTTAATATTTCAACGCCAGAGACCTTGCTGAGACCTTACTCTTTCTCTCTCATCATAACTCATCCCATCATCTCCGTCCACAGTTCCAGCACACTTGTAACATGGCTGCAACAGTAGCGTCGAGACAGGCCATTGTGCCCACGCTGGTGGACAACAACGAGAAGGCGGCAGCTGCCCTGGTCCAGGCCCTCGAGACGGAACCCACACCGTCACCGTCACCGTCGCCGTCGCCGTCGCTGGCACCGGTAGAGACAGACTCGTCTCGCTTCATCACCTTCTCTCCTTACCCGGACCACCTGCTGGATCTGGAGACGCTGGACCCCCAGACCGCGCTGCTCGCGCGTGCCCTGTCCGTCTTTGACAAGACCCGCGACGACTACGCCACGGCGCCCTATGTCCAGTCCTTTAACTTTTCCGTCGTCATCGACGAGCTCCGCCGGCTGCGGGCCAGCACCACCTCGTCGGCGACGCCGTGGGAAAAGCGCGACTACTTTGTTGTCGCCTTCCGCTCGCAGATCCCGCCCACCACCAACTACGGCGACCTCAGCAGCCTCGACAAGGCCGCCCACCGGGAGGCCACCGACAGCGGCGGCCTGCTGCGGTACTGGTTCCACCTGCCAGACGCCGACGGCCGCAACCTGGCCACCTGCCTGTGGCGGTCGCCGGCAGACGCGCACAAGGCGGGCCACGGGGCGCAGCATCGCAAGGCGAGTTCGTCCGTGCGGTCGCTGTACCGGGAGTGGCGCATCGAGCGGTACCGGCTGGTGATTGACGACGACATCAAGTCTTGGGAGGTGATTGAGTGGAGGGATTAGGGCGTTTGGGTGTGCTTTGGATGGGATTCCATGGAGACGGCGTACCAAAATGATTAGCAAGCAGTAACGACTTATGAATAAACAAGATAAACAAGACAAAACAAGACGGCCAATGCCATTCCGCAAGTGACCTTTTGTAAAGAATGGACGAACGGAAGAACGGAAGAACGGAAGAACGGAAGAACGGAAGATCGGACCAGAACGAGACCCCCTCAAACAAGGAAACGTCGTTCTTTTAAGCTCTCCTCGAAACCCACAGGTCCACATGTCGTCAGAGCTTTCCCCAGACTACTTCCATGTCGAATGTCGTCTTGCGTGGTGCATTGCTTGTTTCGTCGTAGTGGTGGCCACGGGCGTGGGGGCCGCGAGTGGGATGGGCCAAACCCGTGCGGGATGCGCGTGGGATGTGTACATTCGCAATTGTCAACCCGGAACGAACAGTGCTCTTTACCTTGTGGAAATCGTACTGGGCCTTGCATGTTGGCGTGGAATGACGCATGCCTTTGTATTTTTCCGTTTTCCTTGGGATAGTTTGGGATTTGGTTGTTTCTTGAGGCAATGGCCTCTTTGCGTGGGCACTTAAAGTTTCACGATCAGGAGGAAGGTGCGGTTGTTGCTGTGCGGCTTGCTCTTTCCTCATTCACAAAGTCCTTTGCCTACGCATTAACTTATGTTGATCACGTCGATTTTTGCGACTTTCGAGCCGCAAACCTCAATAGAAATCAAGCGACGAGCCAGCAAATCAAGACTCAACACTTACAGTCTGGACGTGCTGTGGAGGTGTTGGACCCTGGCGTGTGTTGATGCATTTTCCACCACAACGATTTAGTGTCAAAATGGTGGACAGGCGCTAGGCCAATTTCAGCGGCTGGTTTAGGAAAGTGGGTCAACTACGGCCCCGCTACAACAATTCGATATTCGAGTAGGCGTTGTTCCTCGACTTTTTTTTTCTGCCAACAAATTTTCCTTATCTATCGCCCGATAAAGCTTTATGGCGGCGTGTAGCCACCGTGCAGAACTTCACGGACACCCGATCAAGCACGATTGAAGACTATCTGTCACTCTGTCAGCCCAGACAAGACCATGACGTCCTCAGCAGCGTCTATGCCGTTCATAAAGAACCTGGCTTCAAGTGGTAGGTTCTTCTGCACCTCCCCAGACGTTTGTTCAAACAGAACGAAAGAACCTGTGCCGATGTCCTTTATGGGCCCTGGACTGACATTCCCTTCTTTGCACCGCTCCAGACCGCAAAATTCGGACCGCCGCGCTCGACAGCCTCAAGGGCTTCCTCACCGCCAAGTATGCCGCCTCCGCCAATGTGCCGCTGACCTTTCACGACGCCCAGAAGCTGTGGGCCGGCCTCTTCTATGCGCTCTGGATGGCCGACCGCGCACCCGCCCAGCAGCGCCTCTGCGACGAGCTGGCCGGTCTGCCCAAGGCTGTGAAGCTGCCGGACGCCGCCGTGGCCGCGTGGCTGCGGGCGTTTTGGGCGACCATGGCCCGCGAGTGGACGACGGGCATTGACGTGCTGCGGATGGAAAAGTTCATGCTGCTCGTGCGTCGCGTGCTGGGCGCGCAGATTGCGTGGATGGCAGGGGAAGAGATAAAAGAGAAGAAGGAGACGACGGCAGACAAAAAGTCGAGCAATACGTCCAAAAAGAGCAGCAAGACGGCCGCGGACAGCGCGGCACGCACACTCGGTCTGGAGATTCTAGCGGAGTGGCCACTCAACATTGACGGCGAGGCTGCGGTGGAGCCGGTACCGTCTGCGAGCGGCGAGGCCGACGAGGGTGACGAGGAGGTCAGCGAGCGGCCGCGGAAAAAGTCGCGCAAGGCGGTGCCGACAATGCACATTCCCGTGGGCCTGACGATGCACGTTGTGGATATCTGGGTCGACGAGGCCGAGAAGCAGGGGCTTCTGGCCACGAGTGAAAGCAGCGAGGAGCAGGGTGCCCTAGATACATCCTCTTTGGCGCATGCAATGAACGAGCTCGTCGTGAAGCTGGCCGCCAAGACGACCGCACCTGCTGTCCGCCAGCGTACCCGCGAGGCCCTGACGGACGACCGGTTGCCGTGGAACCGGAGTGCGGCTGAGGGCCAGGCCGACGGTGACGGCGACGACGACAAAGGCGATAAAGCAAACGGCGGCTGGGACGGATTCACCGACTGAGCGTGGGAAATAAGCAGCGTTTGTGTCATTTGTTTTACATGCATGTGCATCTATGTAGTATTTTGTCTTATTTGGCGTTCATGGTAGATTGGAAGGTATATTCAAAATGGAGATCAATTTCGACGGAACGTGCATTGTTTATCACCATGCCTGTATCTACTTGTCGTAATGTACACAATGAATTATCCGTCAGTACATATCCACCGACAGCATCTAAAATACACAAGACTGAAACAAAACAACGAAACAAAGCGGCATGACTTTGCTCCTTCACTCCGAAAAGACAACGCGGAATGATAACAGAACGCCACTCGCCGAGAGCCACAAAGTATACAGAACAAGAATAAATACAGAGAGCCACACCATGCTCATACAGCTGAGTCTCTCATACGCAACTGCACGTCCGTCTGAACCACCTTTTATTGTCCTTCTCATGGGTATCACAACAACGGATCTTCGACCACTCATTCCCTTGCGTCGCGTCCGTCGCGTCCGTCGCGTTTGTCGCGTTTGTCGCGTTTGTCGCGATCCTTGGCTCCTATGCCATGATCCGCTCGACAGGCGCCATCTTGTCCCAGTTCAGCGGGCCCGGTGCTTCGTAGCCGGGGGTAGCGCGCTTGGCAATGACGCGGCCCAGGCCCTTGTGGACCTCGGCCTGGAAGGGCGAAAAGGGGATGCGCTCGCCGTCGATGCTAATGTAGCCGTCCTTTTGGTTGCGGGGCGTGAGGCGGAAGCCGGAGATTTTGCGGTAGCGGACGAGCGGGTTGTCAAAAAGGCGGTTGTCCTCGACGGTCAAGAGCATGCCGAGCGACTTGGCCGGGGAGATGTCGCCGTCAATGGTGATGAGGTCCATGAGGCCGTCGGCCATGAGCGCCGCAGCAAAGAAGCTGGTATCGGGGGCCATGTACGCCATCTGGGGGAGTTGAGTTAGTGGTTAGTGGATCTCTTAAACAGGGGGGGGGTGGGCATCGAGGTGGTGCGACCACTACAAGGACCTACGTTTCCGCAGAAAAAGTTGCCCATCTTGTCTTCGGGGATGGTCTCCCAGTCGTCTGGCAGCGGGTCGTTGACGGTGCCAAACTGCAGCGGCGGCAAACTTTGGTCGCTGGTGTCGCCGCCGCTGCCAGATGCGGCACCGGCATCGGCGTCAGCGGCGGCGACGGTCGTCGTCGCAGACGATGCAGCAGCGGACGATGCTGCTGCTGCCGCGGCCGAGGTCTTGCCAGCAGCTTTTGTGGTGCTGGTGCCGGTGCTCTTGCCGGTGGTGCGGCTTCCCTTGGCGGGCGCTTGGTGGCGCGAGTAGTGCGCCTTGACGTCGTCCTTGTGCTCAATCTCGACCTTGACGGCCAGGTCGCAGGGGTACACCTTGCGGGCCAGCAGGCGCTCAATGAACCCCCACGTGAAGCGCGCGCTGCCCATCCAGCGCAGGTTCTCGGTGGCCAGGTCGACCTCGGCCATGACGCCCACGGCCTGGCTCAGGAAGCTCAGCAGGCGGGTCTCGCCGTACGTGATGCTGGCCAGGTCCAGCGGCGCCACGACGCCCTTGACAATGGCCAGGGCGGCGACGCTGACGTGGTGGCTGCCGTAGAGGTTGCAGGCCATGGCGTTGCCGCTGCCGCAGGGCACGTGGGCCACGGCAATCTTTTCGAGCGCGCGGCGCGCGTCGGGCCGCTTCCCCAGGCCATTGAAGCACTCGTGCGGCAGGCCGTCGCCCGAACAGGCCAAGACCATGTCGTACGCGTCAATGTCGAGGGCGGTGCACAGCTCAATGGCCTGGCCGGAGTAGGCGGTCGTGACGACGGTGAGGGACAGGCGCGCGGCGTCCAGCAGCGGGCGGGCCTCGTGCTCCCACTTCTTCATGGCGCCGCCGGGACCGGCGTGCGGGTTGACCAGCACATAGGCACGCCGCCGCTGGGGGACGTCGCCATACGCGCGGTTGCGCAGCAGCTCCGCCCAGGCGGCGACTTCGGCGGGCGTCGGCCAGTCGGGCCCAGACGGCTCGAGCGAGACGGTAAACTTGGCGGGCCGGATGCGGGTCTTGGAGGCGACGTCGGCGTAGTCGATGACGAGGCGGCGGTTGTCGTCGGACACGGAGGCCCACAGGACATTGTAGAGGGGGATCGAGAGGCGGTAGTCGGCGGCGGAGGCTGGCAGGCAGCATGCATTGCGGTTAGCTTTGGATCTAGAGAGCTGGTGCTGTGTGGCCGTTGTGTGAAATACATACAACTCATGCATGTGTGGCGGTTCTTTTTGCGCTTTTCCTTGTCTAGACACAGGCAGCCCGTTAGCATCTTGTGTTCTTCGCAATACAAACCTCACCTCACTTGCGGGCGCCCATACCAACTACAACGAGGTCGTTGTCTTGGATGTCGAAGTCGTGTGTCTGGAGCTTGAGGGTGTTCTCGAGCGTTTTGTCAAACGAGACGACGTGGGACTGGCGCTTGGCAGTGCGTGCTGTCGGTGGTGGTGACGGCGTAGGCGGAACAGGAGGGGCCTGGGGGATGTCGGAAGGGTCGACGGCGGTCGAGGACACGCCGTTGGCGGTTCCATGGATTCCATTCGCAGCTCCGCTGGCAGCTCCATTGACAGCATCGCCGTTTGCGCCGGCCGAGCTCACCTGCGCTTCGGCGGCAGTAGCCGTGTCAGACGACATTGTGAGGAGAGAGGAGCGAAGCTGAGGATCCAGGCGGAAGGTCGACAGAACAGAAGTCGAGTCGAGACGGAGAAAACAAGGAGACTTGGAGGCGAAAACGCGGAGATTTTGAAGTCGACGCTCAGTACTGCATCATCGGTTGTCGTGATGTCGAGCCAGAGGCGCTGGGACGGTATTCAGGTGCAGTTCGACAAAGGAGAGAGAATGAGACCGGAAGACGAGAAAAAGAAAGGAATCATGGAGGAAAAGGCACCACCAGGAGGAAGGCTGGTGTTCGGTAGTGCTGACCCTCCTTGAACCGTATCTATTGTCCCTAGTTTTTTGGTGCCGTTTTTGGTGGAGCATCACCGTTTCGTCGTACGAGCTCGTCGTCGAATTCAGGGATTCGGGAAGCGCTCCGGCTGGGGTGCTACAGTGCTGGCGACAACGCTGAGACACACTATTAGCGAGCGCGTCTACCCAACATAGAGCGTGCAGAGACAGGCTCTTCGGCGCGTCTGTCAGCGTCGCTAGGCACCCCTTTTTCACCAGACAATGCGACGCGCTAAAAATACAGAAGCGCCATCTAGCAGAGGTTGGTGGGCCTGTGGGGCTTCTGGCCTCGTGGCAGTGGGTGCGAACTGGAAGCCCTGCAGGCGGATTTGCAGCAAATTTGCATATCATAAATACGCGAGACTACGACTCTGGCTTGACGTGGGAAATTACTCTGCTATGATGCTGCTACCATTTGGGTGCGCATTGAAGTACTACCAATATAAATGGAGACAAATGGCAAACGTCAAGGACCACATCCGGGCATTGCTAGAAGGTCGTGAAGGTTGAAGGGAAAATAGGAAGAAGATAAAAAATAAAAAATAAACACAAATAAACACAAATCGCAAAAGACAACTCACGAGCAAAAACAAAATTCAGAACAGATGTGCCTGTCCTCCCCCTGATCCCTGCTCCCTGGCCCCTTGCCCTTCTGGAAGGATTCTGTTGGGAACAATGCCAAGTAACTGAGACTGGTTCGACCCCTTGACTGGCAGTCTGTATGTCGTAGTCTGTCTGTCGTGGTTTGTCTTTCTATCAGTCTGGCAAGGATTCCATATTCACAGGGGCATCGCGTCAACAAGGTCGGCAGTTGCCGTGAGCACTATGGAGTACAAGTGCTGTGTACGCCGACGAGCTCGCGACAGGATATTCCCAAGAACGACCAGGGTCACCGTCCCTGAGCGAATAAACGATGGACGGAGTTCTCACGGACATGTCCACCCAACTTCCAAGTACGCGTTGTGAGATTCAACATATTGCACACGACTTTGTGGTAAAGACCAATGCCGTGATGCGCATACTCCTATTTGAAATTTCAAAATGCACAGGGCCAAGAAATGCCGCTCTCGAACGTCGTAACAAGCCTAATTCGTTCTAATGTCATCATTACATTCGTATATCTCATTTGTCTCCGACAGTGCAGAGTGTCTCATCCCTTGGATTCCACACAGACCACCCCTAGTGCCTCGTCCGCAGCTCGCGAATGTCCGGGTCCGACAATAGCTCGCCCACGGTGTGTTTCTCACAGACGTGGTTGACCAGCCGGGTCATGGTGGTGCACACGGCCACCTTGCCGTCGCCGACCGTGTCAAAGCGGTCGCAGAGACAGCATGCAAACGTGGGCGGCAGCAGCGCGCCGCTGCCGGCGTAGTCGTCTGCTGTTTCGTACACGGCCGGCCGGTGGCACTTGACAATAAAGCGGTTGCTGAGTACAAACTGGCGGTCCTGGACGAGCTCGATGATGTTGCGGCGGCGCGACGTGACGAGTTTGCCCGGGGTGTCGTCGTCGTCGAGGTCAATGTTGCTGTAGTTGTTGTTGTTGCTGTCGCCGCTGCCGCCATCGCTGCCCGGTTTTTTGCTGTCTCGGTTGACAATCTCCTCGACGCGCTCGCCCACAACCACCGGCTTGTGCATCTTCCACGACCGGTCGTGCTCAATGGCAAACTGGCCCATGCAGGCCGGGCAGATGAGGTCGCCGTCGTCGCTGGTGCTGGTGCTGGTCTTGTTGTCGCCGTCGTCGTCGTCGCGGCGGCTGTTGCGTCGGCTCGGGCCTGCTCCGTCACCGTCGCCGCCGTTGAGCGGTCGTCGCCAGTCTTGCTGCAGCTCAATGGCGTAGCGGCAAAACAGCGGGGGCCGCGGCGCTTCGAGCGGGAACGTTGCTGCTCGGCGGGCACCGACCTGGCTCTGGCTGCGTCGCCCACGGTCTCTGTCTCTGTCTCTGTCTCTGTCGCCATCCCAGTCGCGATCGCGCTCGCGGTCCAGTGCCGCCCAGTCGCGGCCGCTTCGTCTCCGTGCCGCGTAGTCGTCCCCGGCGCCTCTTCGTGTCCCGCTCGACGCCACCGAGGCCGACCGCAGACCCCGGCGTCCACCCTCACCACCGCCTCCGCGAACGCCTTCAATCGCCCGCTGTACGGGCGCCGCCACCATCATCCGCTGGTACTGGTCCCGCAGCGCCCGGATGCTGCCGTTGCGCGCGCGCCCGGCCGCGGCATACAGCACCGCTGGATCCGGCAGCGTGCCCGTCTCCAGCGCGTCCTGCAGCAAGCGGATGACGGACGCCTGCAGGTCGATGATTTGGGCCTGCAGCTCGTTTTCGGCAATCGCGTCACCCACAGCAAACCGCGACCCGAGACGCGCGTAGTCGCGGTCGTACTCGCCCCGGATCATGGGACCACTGGCCGCCAGGGCGTCGCCGAGGTCGTTTTGGGGACGGCCATACGGGGCGTATTGGTACGGCGGATAGCCGTGGAAGTTGGTGTTGTTGCTGTTGTTATTGTTGTTGTGGTTGTGGTTGAACTGGGCCATGGCGTGCTCGTGCTTGTCCTTCTCGGCCTGCCGCCGTGCCTTGTCAGCGTCGTCGGCGCGCCGCTCCAGCTCCTTGATTTTCTTGTCTTGCCCATGGTCGGTTTTGTGCTGTCGGTGCCGGTCGCGCACGCGCTCGTAGAGGCCGATGCTCGTCGTGAACGTGCCAATCACCGTCGAGATCAGTGTCGCAATTATGAAGCCTTTCTGAGAATGGTGAGCAGCGGGCGACAATGACAGCATAAACATCATGTCTACGAAGCTAAACTTACTTTGAGGTGCTTCTCCTCAATCATATTTGCGTAATTCATCGTGACGGCATGGAAATGCGAGAAATTGGAGAGATTGCTGTGAGGCGAGTAGACAGAGTAGAAGGTCGAGGGATTGAAAGCAAAATAAATAAAAAAGGGCGACAAGAAGGGAAATCGCAAAGACAACGCCTCGCTGATGCAAGGAGGCCGAATTCTATTTATGTCGCGTATGTAGCTAATGGGGGCCGTGGCAATCACAGGGCATGTGGCGGTTATACGGTGAATGTGATGTGGTGTCTGTAGTGTCGTGTTGGTTCGGTGTCCTGGCGCAACGTAAGTGATCGGTCGTCTTTTAAGGAAGTGTCTCGTCAAACCAACAGACGCGTCGCTTTTATGCCGTGTGCTTCGTCCAACGTTTGGCCCCCGTCATTCAGCTAGCAGCAAGGAAAAGAAATGTGCAAATGTGTCATGCAAAATATTGACGACGGAAAAAAAATACCAATGAAACGGAGCGTAGTAAAAAAAGAAAAAAGAAAAAAAAAAAGAAATACCGAAACTAGCGAGTAAATAAACCAAGCAACCCCGTTCCGGGTTTGTTGACGGCCGTCGGTTGTCCACGTAGGAAAATGAGACACATGCAACCTTTCTCGGTCTCTTTTGATATCATGCAGGGCTTTGCCATTTCGTGTCGGCCATCTTTTTCCCGTCCATGTTCTGTCGGCCGATATGCCATATGACGCAAACCCAGTTTCCTTGGCCCAGTCCCCAACTCTCACCCTCTCTTCCCTCTCCACTCCTCCCAGCCCAGTCCGTGGTGACGACATCAGCTGCAGCAAGGAATTAGCACAAAAAACACATGCGTGACAACCCGTCCTGCGGTCCTGTGGGAAGACAACAAAAAGTGGGTTGCAGGAAATGACACCCCTGTCCCAGCCAATGACACCGATTGCCCTCCAAGAAGGAGATCACAGTGCCGGTGGAGATCTGGACAGTGAGAGAAAAGACCGTCCCGACATTGGGTTTCCGTACCTTTCCCAGTGCATGCATCTAGACATACGCTGTGCGAGAGAAAATCCGGTGTGAAGGGGCGGAATTGTGGTCGATGACGAGGCGTGAAACAAATGAGTAAATGTTTACAATGTAAAGGAATCAACTAGTGTCAACATTTGATTCATTTTTATTTCCCATTTATCTTTTTCTTTCGTAAAAAACGGACAAGAAGACAAGGAGACAAGAAGCGATGAATATCGACCCATATACGTATTAAAGAACCCCACGATACGAACCTAAATAAACGTACAAGCAGAGCCTAGATCTTTCTCCTGAGCCGGCGGTGTCCTGTCCAGATACAACGGACAGAATCGTATGCCGCGCCGGCAGTTTGCTACGGGCACACTTTGACTTCATTTTTGTAGTTTCTGCATAACCCATTAAGGTGTGGCGAAAACAAGGCCCTTCACCGCCAGTCGATGTCGATCGGAGCTGGAAAGGATGCTCCGACAGAACAATGAAGAGAAGCTCACGAGCGGGACGGGATCTAGCGGATTGGTGACTTGGCAGACAGGGGACGTCATAGTTGGGTACGAAGTACGGTTTTCACTTCGTTGCTGTCGCCATGCGCGGGACGATATGCCCCCTTCGGACCTGGAAATAATCATATTTTGTATTTTGTATTTTGATACCTTTTGCTTTTCGTGACATTTTACTCTTTCCTTTCTCCCTCCAACGTCAACCGCTTTCCAAACAATATCCCTTGTATCATACGGTGTAAAACGAAACGTAATCGTGAATGACGCCTCCCCTCCATCGGTCTAGGCTTTTTGGTGAAAGACGAAAGAAGAAATGTGGAAACACGGGAAAGCAAGCAATCGCAAGTGAAAATAAAAAATAAACGAACTTGTGCCACGGAACAGGGACCCCCATAGTACAAACTACAAATCCGTCATCAAACATCTAGAAGCCCATACCCCACGTACGGCCGTCACTTACGGGAACTCCGCTGCCAGCACCTCTTGCACCTTGGCCGGCAGCGTCGCCACATCGGCCGCCGTCAGGGCCGCCCGCAGCGCCTTGGCTTGTTCCTGCACCTGCGCGTTCTCGGGCGCGAGGGCTTGTGCCGCCTTGAGGCAGCGCAGCGCCAGCAAAAACTTGCCGCGCCGCCGGTAAATCTCGAAGCCGACCATCTGGCCGTCCAGGTCCTTGGGGCTGAACTGCAGCACGGGCGCAATGAATTTGGTGGCCTCGCCGAGCGGGTCGGCCGTCGCCGCGAGCTTCAGGCCCAGCGGGTCCTCGTCCTTCTTCTTGGCCGCGCCCTCGGCATCGACCGCCGCCGCCGCCGCCGACTTGCCCTTGTTGGGGTCCTGCTTGGCCGCCTTCTCGGCGGCCTCGCGCTCGGCCTTGAGCGCCTCCTTCTTGGCCTTCTTGGCGGCCTTCTTCTTCTCGGCCGCCGCGTCGGCGGCCGACGTGCCGTTGGTGCCGTTGGTGGCGGCGGCGGCGGCGCCGCCGTCCGCAGCACCGCCCGTCGCGCCAGCCGCAGACCCGTTGGTGGATGCAGTTTGGGCGCTGTCGTACATGCTCACGTACAGGCGGGCGGCGTCGAGCGCGGCGCGCGTGAAGAAGGGGTGTTCGCGTATCCGGTCCTCCCAGCGCACAAGGTCAATGTAGGCGCGGATCATGCCCTTGCGCAGCGAGAAGGAGTGGAAGTCGAACTGGTCCTCCTGCCAAATGTCAAAGATGTTGGCAATCGCGTGGAAGCGCTTCAGGGCCATGCCGATGTTGCCGCGGCGCGCAAACGCCTCGCCGTCCTCGGTCAGGAACCAGATGCACTGCATGTCGAGCAGGTCCGACAGCGGGTCGGCCGCCGAGTCGGGCCGCGTGAAGAGTGCCACCGTCTTGAGCGCCGCCTCGTTCTCGTTGTTGCGCAGCTGGTACTTGGCTGCCTTGCTGTTGATGTAGCGGTCGTGCGTGTCGAGGCTGCGGGCCTTGTCCATGGCCTCCGAGGCCTTTTGCAGGTCGCCCTTGTGCTTCCATATCCGCGCCTTGGTCATCTGAAAGTCCACGCTCTTGTCGTCCAGCGCAATCGCCTTGTCGCAGTATTCGTCCGCCTTGGCGAGGTCGCGCGTGAGGTGGTAGTTGTAGTGCTGTGCCAAGAAGTAGAGCGCCGCTCCCTCGCCCTTGGACGAGTCCGTCTTGGCGTCGCCGTTTTGTTGTGCGGAGGAGGTCTGGGAGGAGGCAAGGTATTCTTCGACAAGAGCGGGCAGAATGACCTTCTTGGCGTCATCGGTGTACAGGTGCTTCAGGTTGGCAAACAGCGACGGAATGCCGCGATCGAGCATCGGGAAAAGGTACTTTCGTGCGCGCTCCTTGAAGAGATCACCTGGAGAGAAGACGAGAAAACAACAGCAGTTAGCAGGAGATCTTTAACCAATACGACCAAGTGGCAGACGTACCCGACAAAAAGTCCAGCGGCAGCCGCTTTGCCGAGTCGCCGCGCGGGTGCTTGGCAGCGTACTCGTCATAGACGGCCAGACGGGCGGCCACATCAGCGCCCTCGGCGTCCAGGCCCAGCGCCTTGACAAGGCTGTGGTAGTAGGCCGGGTGGTCGGGGTTGCGGTCGATGAGCAGGCGCCAGGCAGCGGCCGCGTCCTCGCTGCGGCCCAGGGCCGTCAGGTACTCGGCGCGGCGCTCCAGCACGCTGAGACGGTCGAGGCTGTTTGCGACCGAATCCGCCTCGAGGTGGTCCAGCGCGCGCTGGATGTCGCCCGTCTCGGCAATGATGCGGTTCTTGTACAGGATGGCCTCGGAGTGCTCAATGTCGGACTTGGGCGGCGGGTTCTTGAGCGTCTCCTCGTACGTCGTCAGGATCCGCTCGGCCTCGGCGAGGTTGCCGTCCAGGTGGTGGGCAATGGCGAGCGCGGTCCAGTTCTGGCGCGGCTGCGGGCGGGCCTGCAGCATGGCGTGGCGGCTCTGCACGTAGCCGGCGTAGTCGCGCATCTGGATCTGCAGGATGGCGAGATCGCGCTGGATCTGGGGACTTTCGGGCTCGAGGCGCAGCGCAAACTTGTACGCCTTGATGGCCTCCTCAAAGTTCTTGTTGGCGCGGTACAGCAAGCCGTACACGTGCCAGCAGATGTGCGACTTCATGTCGACCGTCAAGGCCTCCTTGCCGAGCGCAAAGGCCTCGTCCGTCTTGCCCTGGCCGTTGAGAATCAGCGCCTTCATGGCCATGGTGTCGCCGTGGCGCGGGTTCTTCTTGAGGATCTGGTCGGCGGCCTTGAGGCCCCGCTTGTACTGCTTCTCCTCATAGTTGCGGATGACCTGGCGAAACAGGTTGGCATCCCGTGTGCTGAGCGGTTGTGGCATGGGGGGCGGCAGTTGCGTGTGTGTGCGCAGGTCTGTGTGTGTGAGTTGGACGTCGGCTCGAGATGGACAAGGTCAGCTGCGCACGAGACAGCCTATCGGACGGTCGAGGGCGCTGTCCACGCACAGGGAGGTGCCGCTGGTAGGAGGAGACGGCAGAGCAGGCCAGAGAACGGTGAAATGAATGGTGGAGATGGAGACAGAGGACAGAGATCGCCCGCGAGGATAGGATGGCGGTCGGAGGGTTGGCCGTGTTGATGTTCGTGTGGTGGGTAACGGAGATGGCAGCTGCCGCAAGAAGCTGGGGGGGGGGGGGTCTTAAAATCGTGTGGGTAGTTTTTTGCCCTTTTTTAGGTCCCCTCCTGAAGCAAGGAAGGCAGGAGCTAGTCGGCGCCGTGTTCTTCCAGTAGTAGAGGCAACAGCGGCGGAAAAGTGGGGCAGGGCAGCCACTGCGAAGTCGGCCTACGTGCAGTCCAAAGGTCGACGAACAGACTTGCACGACACTGTGCGTATTTACTCAACTTGATACGTAAAAGTAGAGATATATTCACATGCTTCTACCACGTAGACCGTATCCAATGCTGCCTATATGCCTATATGACGCCGAAATGACTGCAAATGCAAGAAATCACCAGAAAATGATATCCACAGCTCCTCCAAAATCCCAAGACGTGTCCGACACCCATCCACTACGTATCCTCCAATCGTTGGCAAAATGTAATATACACAGCGCGTATACGGTCCACACGCTCACCGTCCCTCCCGCTTCCGCCACCGCTCCAGAGCCGCTTCCCACCCAGGCTCACCCGGGCTGGCGGTGACGGCCCCGCTGCCACAGCGCGCCTGCAGCACATCCCAGGATCGCGCGCGCACAATGGTCTCGACGCCCTTCTCGTTGCGCATCAGCGACGCTAGCAGGTTGGCCTGCGGCTCGACGAGCGCATACTGCTTCCGCTTGATGTACGGGTCAATGCGCTCGGTGATTTCCGCTGGTGGTGGTGGTGGTGGTGGCGTCGCATAGTCGCCGTCAACGAGGGTGCCGGAGGCCGCGGCGGCGGCGGCAGCCTGCGCAGCAGCCTGCGCGGCGGCTTCGGCATCTTTGGCCACGGCATCGTCGGCGACGCGGGAACAGTACTGGATGAGGTCGTCGCGGGCCTGCCAGGCGGGGAAGAGGAGGGCATCGCGGAACGCGCGGCATGCGGCGGGTGGCGGTCCTGCAGACAAGGAGGCGCTGCTGGGTGGGTAAGTGGAATACGAGGAGGCGCGGTGCGCTGTGGACGACGGGTCGAAGCCGGCGCGGGCGGGCGTGACGAGGGCATTGAGGTGCTGGGTGATGGTGTCGTCGATGGCGCGGGAGGCCCGCAAAAAGTCTGGACGGGCGAGTCAGAGAGACAGAATGGCCCCAAGGAGATGCAATGTGTACCCACCTCGTAGCACGACGGTCGAAAAGCAAAACTGCGGCGTCAGGGCCGGCTGGTTCGGTGGTGAGGCCATGGTGTCGTGATTCTGGCGCTGTTGTCGCCGCTCTTGCTTGTGCACGCGGTCTGCCACAGGCGGCGCCGGCGACGAAGGCTGGTCGGCAGTCCCTGCGTTTGGCCTTGTCGCCGTCGTGTCCGGCGACGTCCACAGGAGATTCGCCAGTGTGGTTGTAAGCTGTTTCGTGGGGCCGACTGTCTTGCGTAGTAGTCGGCTGCACGGCGAGAATACTAGAATGGCTCGGAGGATCCTGCGTGGTTCAGCTCCGCAGAGGAGGAAATGAGCAATGTATCGTCGAGCTGTCGGTAGGAAAACGTGGAGTGGTGATCTTCGGGATGGACAGCGGCGTATGATAGAGAAGGAGCGGGGCGAGATGTGCAGAGCGGGAAGGTATTGGGAACATCGTTAGAAATAGAACCAATTCCCCGGCAGTCGCGGTGGTGTGGTTTGTGGGGCGGAACGACCAAATGGGCCAATTGGAGACCAGCATTCGACGAGTTCTCGACACCATCCGCCAACTGAGCTTTGAGCTTGTTTTGAGTGTCGCTGTCTTTATTTGAATTTGAGATAAATCTTGCCCGTTATCTTTTTATTTGCCTCTATTTGGTTGCAGTGACGTGAGATTGTCGCCTATTGATCATCGCATAGGTTTCCATCTAAAATGTCCATCCGTGAAACCTCCCTCGTTATGTCCCGTTTTCGAAGTACAGATATTTATCGCACTCTCTATCCATGGCGTTCTGCAACCGCCTCAAACAGAAGCAGTCCCTTTCTATTAATCGTCGTGTAAAAACAAGAGCATCGTCGTCAGGACATCCTCCGGTGTATATCTGCTCGTTTCTCATAAGCAAACAGCCTAGAACTTCAGCCCAGCCTGCTCGGGCACAATGCTCTTGAGTGTGTCCGCAAGCACCGCCTGCCGGACGTTCTCCATGGCCCACACCTCCATCTTGGTCTCCGTCTCCACTGTCGACGTGCCCATATGCGGCACAATCAGCGCCTTGTCGCTCTTCATCAGCTCCGGGTGCACTTGGGGCTCGTGCTCAAAGACATCCAGGCCCGCGGCCGCGACGTGGCCCGAGGCCAGTGCGTCCACGAGCGCCTGTTCGTCAATGACGGCTCCGCGGGCCGTGTTGATCACGACCACCCCCGGCTTCATCTGCGCAAACTGCGCAGCGCCAATCAGGTGGCGCGTGTGTGCGTTGAGCGGCACATTGATGCTCACGACGTCGACGCTGCCCAGGAGCTCGTCGAGCGTCGGCACGTAGACGGCATGGCCGGCCGCCGCCTCCACCTCGGGCGCCAGACGGTTGCGGTTGTGGTACAGCACCTTCATGTCAAACGCAGCGTGGGCCTTGCGCGCCACCGTGCGGCCGATGCCGCCCATGCCCACGATGCCAATGGTCTTGCCCTGCGGATCATGGCCGAGCGGGGGACCACCGTCCAGGCCGCGCCAGTGGCCGGCGCGGATGCTGCTCAGCGTCGGGGCCAGGTTGCGCATGGCGCCGAGCAGCAGAAAAATGTGAATGTCCGCCGTGGCCTCGTCGACGGCGGTGGGTGTGTTGGAGACGCGGACGCCGCGGGCGGTGCAGGCGGCGACGTCGATCTGGTCGTACCCGGCGCCGTTGTGGCAGATGAAGCGCAGAGACGACGGCAGCGCCGACAACAGCTCGTCGTCGATGCGGCCGGTGATGCGGAAGGACTCGAACGTGCGGTAGGCGACCTTAACGCCATCGAGCGATCCCGAGCGGCACTCCGCAATGAACTCGGCACGGCCGTTGGCCTTGGGCACGACAATGTCTGCCACGTCGCCAATCGACTTCCAAGTGTCGTGTGCCCTGTGTTGCATGTGTCAGTATATTTATATATATATGGCTAGTACTCTTTGTATAGCGATAGACTGCACATCTTACTTACAGTTGGATGGTGCCAAGCTGCAGGACCTGCATCCGTGGCGACTTGTCGGCTGCCATGTCGGAGTAGATGTGGAGAATGGCCAATGGAAGATTTGCGTTGCTTTGGTAATGAATCGTCGAAGCGTGAGGAGGTTGAAGGCAGAACGTTGGCTGAATGATGATGGTATAAGAAAGAAAGTAAAAGAGAGCGTCGGGGAGAGAGAGGAATGGTCCGGTATTTATATGCTGTAAATTGTGGTGAACTTTGAGTAGAGCTGCTTTGACCGTACTGAAGTATGTGTCACTTTCTGCGTCACTCCCTTTTCTTTTTCACTTGACGTTGAGGTCAAGCTGACGCAGATGTGAGTTCAATCTCAGTAGAAGTTGATACGGACAGAGAGAGCGTAGTAATTCGTCGAGTCTGCGCACAGACAGTGTTGTGAAAAAGAGCCGGTATACCTAGTCAGGCACAATGGTACGTGAGTTTGCAAAACACAGACATAGGCAGAGGTCCCAGGAACCAAGAAACGGGGACGTACAAGACGAGTCCGCTCGAAGGCTTGATGCGGAGGCGTGGGGTGGAAAGGGGGATATGCGCTTGAAGGGTCAGGTTTGAGGCTAACGTGGGGAGTCGGCGTGGGGATTTGGGAGTTGGGGAGTGGGAGTGGGAGGATGGACGAGCTGGTGGAAATAACGAGCGTCCCGTTGGGGGTTTCGACTTGGGCATGGCAACGAACCAGGCAACCAGGCACTCGCGATTGGGCAGAAAGACTGTCAACATAGGCGAGATTTTGAGAATAGACTAACCCTTGGTTACTACACCGGGAACTTGCCGTGAAGAGACGTTATATGGCCAATTGAGGTGACGATGCTCTGATGGCGAGGACGGCGCAGACAGAGGAGCTCTTGTGCAAATTTGGCACGACAGTTGTTCGCAGCGTCGATTTGCCAAACGTGTCTTGCGCAGGCGAAAGAAGTGCACGTAGATTTTCTAAATTTGGGAGACGTGAGACACAATAGGGAACGGCAGAGGAAAGCAGAGAAGAAGAACGACAGTAAAATGCGTTGTGAAAGAGTCAGAGACAATGGACGGGGTTTAGTCGGTCGATGGATTTTCGCCGCGACGCGGTTTGCACAATAGCGAGAGCCTGGTCCGTTGCGTAGGACTACAATATTATGACAGAAGAGAATAGCGTGGGAAGGCGAGACGGGGGTTCCACGACGGCGTCCACTTTGCTGGGGCGCTGTGCGTCCTCGACGCCCTTGCAATTCGAATTCGCTGCCTTACCGTTTGGTCATATTTTCTGGTTCCTTTTCCCAACTTGTCAACTTTGGGGTAGTATTAGCGACAACGGAGATGCGGCGGTGGCCGTCAGCTTTCTCGGTGGTTGGCCCAACTTGGAGCGTTGCAATCCCTGTGATAGCGTCAGTCCCCAAAGCCCCAAGGGGACGAAGACGGGGGAAAGACCGGGGAAAGACGGTGAGAGCAAAGTCGTAGCCGTCTGGGGGAGGCGGTATTGTGGTAACCCGAGACGGCAGCCGTAAAGCAGTCTTTCCGCTTGTCTTATTCGTATTCTTTTTATAGCGATGTCGTCGAATGAAGATGCGCTGGTCCACCTCTGATGGAAGGGTTCTCGCCTTGTTCCTGGAATACTAGTTAGACAGGAACCAAAGCGGGCGCTTGGACCAAGACTGTCTAGGGAAACTGTCTGCATCTTGAGAGTTTTTCGTTTCCACATGGCTGGGATCTGTTTTGTTGTCGGAGTCCATATGGCGCTATTGCCTCTCGTTCCAGTCGGGGACGGGCCGCGCAGATGACACCATGTCTTGGTGCTTACCACGGCCCCGCAGAGCTTACAGTATGCATAGTGGGTGGCGGTGAGTACTTTTCCGCATCCGTACATTTTATTTGTGTATGTGTTGGTTGGAGCACCGCTGTTGATGGACGCCGTGCCGTCCGGCGTTATCGCTAGCTTTTATGTGTGCTGTATGCAGTGAACTGCACTTGTGGGGTATTTGCTAGTAGTCGGGGCAATGGGACAAGATGTAATCTGTCATAAAGTGTGGTCATCGATGGGGATCGGGAGGTCGATTTGCTTCAGCGGTTTCGATAAAGAGAAGGGAATCTTTATTGACATCCTTGTCCCAGCATCCAACGCAGCACAGATCATATCCAATCCCATGAGCCGCCGTTACAATGACAGCAGAAGAAAAAAAAAGAAGTTGAAGAAAAAAAGAAACGGCCAGTTAGAGTACAAGAGTGTGCTTCTATGGAAATGTGGGAAACGCATTGAAGATGCAATAGTGTGGTCAAACATGCCGATGCTAAAAATTCAAAAGCTTACACCAATAAACAACAGGTATTGAACATAACATGCCCTTTTAAGGGTATTGCAAGACATGGCATAGTCCAAATAAGCAGATCCAAAATAATAAACATCATCGTACTATACAGAAAATGAAGCCGGGCTTATGGGTCCGTGAATGGAATTATTTCCTGGAAAGAAGAAATGATAATCGGAGACGTTGGGGTGGGATTGATCTAATATTAAGATTAGAATGTCGGCAACGCGGTTTCGTGAGTGGAGTGCAAGCAGGTTCACGGCAGCAGAAGTGCTCCTTGCTTGGACAAGGTCGCGGAGTCGGGCTGGGTTGGATTGTTACACGGCATGCAATAATGCTTTGTGTAGAGAGTTGTGGGTACAAATCGCGAGATAGCAGATATCTTGTGTCGGCGATAACGGACCTCGTCCTTTGGCGGCTATTCTGTAACATAGCTGAAGTGGGACGCTGGCCACTGTTCATGCAGACAACTCTGACACACACATGCGCAGCGTCTTGTCTGGTCCCGCGGCCAAAGACATACGAGGGCGCACCGAAGAAACGGCCACGCCATTACCAGTGCGTGCCGTACATATCGTGTGTGCTTCGGGTGCTACGGTTGCTATTCTTCGCTTGGTTCTTGTTGTTGGGCGAGTTTTGACCATTCGTCGTTGCCCTACCCAAACACAGATGTAAGTCATGGGCCATAGTCGTAGGGCTTCGTATACCGTCCAGCGTCTCGCGAATCGGACACATTGTTCGGGTAGTCGTGGTGCGTCCTGTCGGGCCAGTAGGTTCGCCGCGGCTCCTCTTTAATGTAGGTAGAATCGAAAGCCGTACCATGGTATTCGGAAGACGACACAACGGGGCGCGGAGAATGCGATACCGGGCCGTAGGATGTGCTGCTGCTGTGGCCCTTATGGTCGGTGCTTTCGTTGTGGCTGCCGTTGCCGATGCTGTTGCCGCTGTGGCTCTGTTGGTACGACGTGCCCGCGGATGACGGCCCTGTTCCGTTGTAGTAGCTGGATGCAGTACTACCAGAGTTGCTTGAGACGGATGAGAGAGACGAGGGACCACCAACGATGGATGGGGACTTGATTCCGGCTGAATTCGCCACGGAATTTGATGCAGCTGAAGAGGTTGTCACCGACGAGTAGGGAACAGGTGGGGGGCTCTTGGGCCGTGGTTCCGGAGCCGTTGCTGTTGTGGTCGATGAACCTTGTGGGGAAACATGTGCGGTGGCTTGCAGGAAAGCCGGATTGTTCTGCTGTTGCTTGAAGATTGGATCATAGCCAGCGCAATCGCGCTTAGACTTCTTGCAGTTGTTGCAGGTCGGATGTGTTTCGTCGCACTATTTCGCAACTGTTAGTTATCATTGCTCGTTACAAACTGCAATTGTAGTTGACTCGAGAGATGTAGCGAAGATGGCGGGGAAAGTATGTATATCGGAGAACCAGTTGTTGTATGTAAACAACCTGTAGCAAATGAACCGCGATGGACCACGGCGAGTAACATGGTCGACCAAGCGCGCGTGCAGACGGGGAACGTGCAATCTTTTTTTCCCTTTTCTTTTCCTTTTTTTTGGTTCCGGCGAATGAATGAATCCTCATCGTCAAAAGACGTCGCCAGATGCTGGAAGACAAGAAACGTGGTAACCGCACACGCTCTGTGTGTCTTCGTATGCGCCCCAGGACCTCGTTGTTGGGTTTCGGCAGTCATGTTTTTTGCCCCTTCTACTTTTTCTCGCATGTGTGAAATAGTAGCCACATGGCACTCGCCCGATGGATCGTACCAGCAAATTCGGCAAAGTTACAATTTGTGCCCTGCAACGTATAGGTCGCCTATCTTTGCACGTTTCTGCTGTGCTTGCTGACTTATGCACTGCACATTGCTTGGCCAATACAAAAAATAGGATTGTCGGTAACGCAAAGAGAGGCGGCCAGTGTGAATCAAGCAAGCAGAAAGGGGGGAAAAAACGACGAATGGAAACAAAAACCGCAAAATCCAAGGCCAACGCCGATAATATAAACAATTGTAGCAGTCGTATGAAACTCACCTTGATGCGCCGTTTCCGGCAGGTCATGCAGCCAGTTTTTGTTCGCCGCTTGATTTCCTTTATGAGAATCAGCTAAAGACAAGTTCGCTTGCCATAAGACGGGAGGTTTTGACATGTGAAAAGAATACCTTTTTGTAGCGAATGCCTCCCATGGAGAAGGATGGCATCCGCATGTCGTCGCCGTGGTCGTGGGGTTGACCGTAGTGAGAGAACGATGGGAGATTGTGCGGCTGGATTCCATATGGCGGTGGCATGGAAAAGAAGGGCAATGGGCCCGGCGGGAGACTGGGCGGTCCGGAATAGGGAGTCGAGTGCAAACTGCTGCTTGGTGGCGGGTGCAGCGGGTCAATGGTCCTCATGCTGGGCAGAGACGGAATCGAGTTGTTCGGTGGTGGTGGTGGTGGAAGCGGCGCGCCAACGGGCGACGGACTGTACAATTCGCTGACACCCATGCCCGGATTACCTGGGCCTTGATGATTGCCGACGCTCTGGCTGCTGTGCGACGGGTAGTATTGGTGATTTGAGTGTCCTGATGAGCCGATTGAGGACGTTGATGGTGGCGGCGGCAGTTGATGTTGCAGTTGATGTTGCTGGTGCTGGTGCTGGTGCTGGTGCTGGTGCTGGTGCTGGTGCTGGTGCTGGTGCTGGTGCTGGTGCTGGTGCTGGTGCTGGTGCTGTGGCTGGTGATGTTGCTGATGCTGGTGCTGGTGCTGTTGTTGGTGATATTGCGGGTGAGGCTGGTGTTGATGCGGATGTTGGTGCTGATGGGATTCCGGTTGCTGGTGTCGGTGATGGTGCGACGGCGGCGCGGGCGGCGTGTGCTGGTACGACGAAGGCCCCGGGTAGCTCATACTGCCGCTGTCGGACAGGCGAGGTAGACCCGCATGATGGGATTGATGGCCCGCCATGGTGAGATGATGTGAAAGCTGCCCAGAGTCCGAGACAGAGAGGGGAAGCGTCTTTGTTTCTCGTTGTAGCGCAGTTGCAATGACAGGCGGTCGTGCTTTGTTCGTTCAAATAACGTCGACACGCTCGTTCCCACGAGACACAGGTGCGCCACAGCTATGACTGCAGGCCGGCCGGGAGAATAGTGAGGCGAAAGTGTCTAGGCTCGCGTCAGGCCGACGATGCTATTATCAACTGTATCGGACGGCGTGGATCATTTTTGCCTGCAGATGAAAGTCTCGACACGGACTGCAGCACATAAAACGCGAATTGTTCGTGCTCTAGAGCCCGTTCAGTGTTCGTGATGCGAAGCTGTCGAACTGTCCGTAGATGTCGTACTCGGACCGTTTCGCTGTTATGCTTTGAGCAGGACGTCTGCATACACTTGTCGAGAATTGAACTCTAAATGCTGAAAATGCAGTACGCAATGTCTATTGTGTTTTCGTAATACTTTGAAAATGCTGTCGAGCGGAGCCGTTGAAGGTTTGTCTGCCGAAGTGTCGTGTGTTGTTGTGTTGTTGTTGTGCTGTTGTGTGGTTGAACGACTGTACAGACTAGAGGTCGAAGGAGGACGAGGGAGGAAGACAAGTGCGCCAGGCCAATATTTTATTTAGGTTGGTCGATTTTCCGTGCTTGTACGACGTGCGACCAAAGTCCCCACCAACCTTTGTGCTGGAGCCGTGGTTCCTTCCAAGCAATCATAGTGAACCCACTACAAATAGAATATTGGACGTGCGACTGGGGAAGGAGCGGCCGACTAGGGAAGCGACTAGGGAAGGAGGCCCAAACGAGGGAAAGAGCGACTGGGGGGCTCGGGGGTGTGTCGTAAAGTGCGACCGTGGGCCGGTTTCCTGTGCCTTTGGATGGGGCTGTTCTCCTCTTGCCAGGGGTGTTTGGTAGTGGAAAGGGAGCTAAATTGCTTGGTAGGAAAAGTTGTGAGTGGGGTGTGCAGAATGTAAAGACGAAAAACACGACAAAGAGAAGGGGGGAGGGGGGCGTGAGGCTAAAAAGGGCCGCAATTGTACAGCAAAGGAAAGATGTGTTGTGTACAAAAGAAAGCAAAATCGTCCAGAGGGAAAGAGCAATTTCCTCCTTTCTGGCAGACTTGACGAGGCAGGCACACTCGTGGTGTTTCCCATAGCGTTTCTAATCCTCAGTCGCGCTTGCCTACTCTGCCGCTTCACATGGCTGTCCAAAGCACTAACGGCTCTCCATTCGGCTCTGCTTTTACGTCCTTCTCGTCCACCATTCGTTTTGTTAAACCCGGCTTGCAACCCATGTGCCCCGGCTGCACGAATAGAAACATTGTCAGCGCCAGACACAGTAGTTTGGTCCAAAAGGGTATGTTGCCGACTCTACTGATATGAAGCAACGGGTCGCTTGCTAGCGCTGGAACGCTGGAAAGGCAAGGCCTGTTTCTTTTTTTTTTTTTTTTTTTTTTGTTCATACTTTTTTCACTTTTTTTATTCACATCCAGATATGAACTGGCCGGAAGTTGCCCACATCCGAGGGTCCAAAAGATATGCACATTTTCCGCCCAGCCCCCAATTTCCGGGCCATACTATTGAGGTCCTGCAAATGTTGCTGGCCTTTCCACACGCATCGTTCTGGAAGCCAAACATCCTTCTTGCCCGCCATTACCTAGCTACAGCCTTTTTCTGCCAAACTGTTGACTGGACAAGTCCGGACATCTGTACAGCCAAATACCAAGAGACGAGCAGTTTTTCGTGCAACAAATGTGCCGAGGATGGGAGGTGGGTTATGGGGTGTGCAAGGGAGGGGCTGTTGTCCAGTCGGATGCATCTTGGGGTTCAGGGCCTGGCCTCGTCCAGGGCTGGCGGACGGCCTTGGTTGTTCAGCTCCCGGTTGTGCTTTGGTCGAAGCGACGCTGGGTCCTGTCTGCCACTTTCCCGGGCCTTCATGTACTCTTCCTTGCTGTACAAAGCAATGTACGACATATGTTTTTTTCAGTCGTGTTTTTGGCCAGTCACCGACCCCATGGTTACATGGTCTATGGCTCGTCCTGCAGTCCCCGAGTTTCCCTCCCCCCCCTTTGCAGGCGCATCTTGTCTGCTCTTTGGGTACGTCGTATCCGACAATGTCTTTCGAACCGTTTTCCCAATTTGCCAAGTAATGACTGGATTTTCTGTCTTCTTATGGGCCAGCTGTCAACTGGCGTTGGGGTGGTATTATTTCAACGAGAGACAAAACAATACGACGTAGAAGATTGCCACTTTGCAGCTCGTTACTTGTCTGAGACCTTCCTCCTTTCCGCTTTCGCTTCAGTTCGCCTCTTCTCCTCGGCATAAAGAGTACGATGCCGTCGCTCACTTATTTTTCTTCGTCTTCCAAGTGTGTGGAAATTTGACGGCTGCGCTAAACTCACCATCGACGGGTGCGATCTGGGCAGTCCAACCTCGTGCCTCTTTGTGACATTTCACCAAGGTTGGACACTTGCCAAAGTAGACCATCCCTTGCGTCCTGTGGGCCGTCTTTGGAACTTGGCTTCTCCCTATTAGCTAACAAACACATCGTCGCACCCACCAGCAAACAATGGCAGGCATGGGCAATTGTTGGCGCAGAGAAGAGAGAAACGAAAAAGAAAGTTTAAATAGAAGACTTGAATACGGAAATGACAAAAGACAGGGGACTACCGGGCTGAGATGGGGGGGGTGTACAAGTGATACAAATTAGCTGAGAACGTTTTGGTGAAAGGCGAGATTGAGTTTGATAAATTTTGGGGGCTTTTTACGAGATAATACGGGGCGTCTTCTTTTGGCTCTCGTTCTTGAACGGTCAAACAGGAAGGAAAAACAGCGGGTGAGCAGCGACAATCATGCCGCAGGCTGCGGATCTCAATGAGACGAAGAAGGTGAAGGAAAAGAAACGCCGCAACGCGAAGACAAGGCGATAGGATGCAGGGGAAATAGAGAGAATGTGGGCTCGAAGAGAGTGCTGCGAGAACAGGATGTTTTCTTCATCCGTATCTTAGTTTGAATCTCAGCGGCCCACAACACAACAACGGACCAGGATGAACAAAAACGAGCAAAAAGACGATGACAATGTCGAGATGTAAGGCTGGTACGAGGCATGACGAAAAATGTGCGTCGTGCTCCGTCGTGCTCGTATCGCTATGAAAGAGTGAAAAGAAGGGGGGGCAAATGACGCACAGAGAAAAGAGAACAGAGTGATTATAGAACCCAGCTCCCCAGCTACCGCACACCGAGGCGCACAAGACAGGGAACAGGGGCAGTTCGATGAGCGTACTTCGTAGAAAGCGAAAATGCTTTCCCCGTTCCTCCTGTTGTGCCGCGCTCACATTCGGTCTGGATTCTTCCAGGGGTTTGGGCCATGTCGCTCATCGATCCAACTATTTTAATTAAGCCAACCTAAATCGAACCCTCTCGCCGGGACGTTTGCCGTGCATGTGCTTGCCGAGCTTACCTCGAAGGAATGTGAGAAAATGCTTATGTGACGACAAGCGTCTTGCAACGGAGTGCCGCGACATCGAGTTCTTTCCGACTCAATAGCCAAACCGTCGGATACTAAGTCAAATAAAAGGAAATGACTTGTCCAAGGATACGCTCCCGTATTGTACGGCATGAACACAAGATGCGAATGCCAACAACCCACGCCTTGGATCTTAGATCTTGTTCGCCGTGGTGGTTGGGGGCCTGTATGCTCCCTCAACAAGGTGATCATCTGCACCAGACTCTCCTTATTGGATTATCATCTCCTAGGAGAATCAACACCGAAAATCTTGGAAGAGTGAAAGCAAAGGGGGGAGGAGTGGCGTCGGAATGGTCATTCCCCGCCTGGTATTGGCTTGCTTTTGCCGGCCGGCCGTTCAGCATTCTGGGCGAGAAACTAGGAGACGAGCGGGAGGACGATGGGGGGAAAACTAAGCAAGTGTGTGAGGGGCCGTCACGCGAAGGAAGCTGGACAATCACGATCTACGCCTTTCCTGTTTCCTCGATGATTTGCGCTTCCCGCGCCGTTGCCGTCGCTGGTATTCTGTCCCTTTGTGTTGAATCTGTTTCTTGTCACCTTGTCACATTGTATTTGTCTGTTTTTTACTTTTGTGTTTTGTACATCGGCACAGAAGGATTCAATTGCATTCGGCAATTGTGTCACAGCCGCTCCCATCTTTGTTGTCCCGACCAACAACGATGTATGTTCCTATTTCTTTTATTTCGTTTTGGATTATTCTGTGCTTTGGTCCTTTTCAGCTATGCCGCATGAGCCTCCCTCCACATAGACACTCGCGTCGATGCAGTGCAACTTGCTTCTGGGCTGTTCCTTGCCAAGGAGTTTTGTGGTCTTAGTCGCGGCTGTGGACAAGCCCTCGGCAAAAATAAGTATCGAAATACATCGTTGTGTGTCTCGTGGCGCGTTTGGCTTGGGCTGGGTTGGCCTGCTGCGTCTTCTAAACGCAGCGCAATGAGGCAATACATTCGCCGTCCAGCTCCCCTCCACCGCCTTTGCTCCGAGGGTTGAACATGGCTCAACTTGGCTATACTTGCGGCGCCCGTCTCATGCTGTGGTTGTACGACATACATCCTGACAAGAAAAGGTACACCATTATCCAGCATCTAAAGCGATACTTGTAGACTTCTGTATTCCTGTGATCGTCACGAAGCCATGGCATATGAGGCCCACTAAGTACTTGCCAGTTGTCTAGCAAGTCCGACCGTATTCTCCGTATTTCGTACTCTGCATTCCATTGTGATTGCTTGTCACGGCCTGTCTGCAGGCACAAAGGTGGATATCGATAGTTGGTCCCCGAAACAGCGGACAGCCGCGGGAATGGGACTAAGTCATCCCTCGAGCCAAGCCTGCAGAATCGCAGCGCGGAAGGAGCTCTTTCCGTCGTTTAGTTTAGCGTCGTGATAATCACAAGCACGGCCTGGCCCAAAAAACCTGGCCGGGCCCAAGCTAAATCCACCACTCCACGGTTTAGCGT